AAGAACTCTCGCAGTCCCCGTCTCGTTAAAGTGTCAGCCCAAGGTGCCTTTAACTCCACGCGGGACGGTTGGCTGTGCTATAAACTGCCGCCGCTGGTCACGGGGAGGCGGATTCTGCGAGCGGTGTCAGGTGCAGAGATTTAGTCGTTAGTATCCTATGATTGTGTGGTTGGTTGAATGAAAAGGCAGCAACAGACTGGCGCCGCCGAAGTCGCGTGCGTGTTTGCGCGCGCCGGCCGCCGGCCCCTCATCTTTTACTGCCGCTTCTCGGGCGATGGACATTCCCGCCGCCTTTGCGGAAGACCCGCGTTTGTTTGCGCGAGCGTGCGCGGCGAGGCTGCTTCCGAACGCCGGGCAGCCGAGCCAGTCGGACGGAAGCGGAGACGGCGAGCGGCGAGAGCCGGCGAAAGCCCTCCTGCCGAAAGGGCTTCCTGAGCGCCTGCCAAGTGCAGGGTAGGCAGTGCCGCGCGACGCGGCTGTGTGGCGGGCCGGCCTACCCTCGCAGGCGTCCGCACTAGGAGGAAACGAAACAGAGGAGGCTTCCTCCGCACTGATTGCGAAGGTTGGCTAGTTAGGCTTCCAAGAATGAGCTCGCCGCGTGGCATGGCGTGGCATGGCGAGGCGTGTGCGCGACGTGACGTAAGTTCAAGTTCTTCCGGCGATACCGTCTGAGGGTCCCGTGGAGGTTATGCGTGTCAAGGTGGGCCGATCCCTTTCGTACTCCCTCCCCCTCCCCTCTCTCATTTAGGACCGGCTGTTCCTCCTCCTCCCCTTCCTCCTCGCCTCCCTCCCCCGCTGCCGGCTTTCTCTTTCGTTGCAGCCCCTCCCCTCCCCCCCTGCTGCAGACCCTGCAGACGCCGGTCCGCCTGCCCGCCCACTAAGTGGCCCGCCGGCGCGCCGATGCCGGTGCAGCAACAATGGCTCGGCGTCAATCGAAGTGTTGTACGTGTGCACTGCTGACGCCCCACGACGGCCCGACGTCATGGCGCGCTACAAATCGTCGTGTGAGTGCGCCTCGCCTCGCCTCGCCTCCGGGGCCGGCAGTCCGTGGCACTGCGCCACGCCGGCGGCCACAATGGCGGTCGCTTTGCCGCTCGTCAGCCTCGGTCGGCGCTACTCGGCACTACTCGGCGCGTGACGCGGCGGTCCTCGTTGACAACGGGGATCATGGTGTCCGCCGGCGCGCGCCGCTGTTTACTGTTTGCCCTCCGAGTGCTTGCGCCGACTCGCTGACTGCTTACTCACGGCGGCGGCGGGTCTTTGTCGCCTAGTCCCGCTCGGTGGGCGGTCCGCGCCGTCCGCGGCGGCTGAGATGAACTGCACCGCACCGCGGCAAAAATAAGGGTGGAGTATATTTTGCTGGTGGTTCATACGAGGGACGGCGGAGTGGCTGGACGGGGGGAATGAAGTACAGTACCACGGCGCTTTGTGCGACGCAGTTGTTTCTCGGATTTTCTCGGTCCCCTGGCCTGGCAGCCGCCAGCCCGTTTCAGCGTTTCGGCGTTTCGGCCATGTATGCGGTGTATGAGAAATATACGCATCCATGGCTCGGCTCTGCGACAGCCGCAGCGGCCGGCGGCCAACGGCTCGCGCCGCAACAGGGGCGGGCAAGCACACATGACCCAGGAGCCAGGGACAAAGTCGGGGGGAGGGGGGCGGCACTGGGCCGGATCGTGGAATCTTAGCGAGCTCGGCGAGGCCCGGCGAGGCCCGCCGCTGCAACCTCCACGGCCTGGGCTTACATGGCGTGCGCGGCGGCGTGGCGTGGCGTGGCGCGGCTCGGCGCGGGCTCGGGCAGGTAGGCCTCTGTCCAGTTGCGAGGCTCTTGCTGCAGTTCCGCTCCAAGCCCGTCCAAGTCTGCTTCGTGCTGCTGCACCGCGCCGCTCTCGCCTCGCCGCTCTCGCCTCGTCGTTCGCGCCGTAACAAGCAGCGCTGCAGCGCGCGGTGGCAGGCTGCAGTGTCTCGCCGTGCTCGCGGAGGTGACCGCATCGACCGCATGCCGTGGTGACGCTCCGGATTAAACGCGTGGTGAGTTTGAGTGCCGAAGTGAGTGCGGAGTGCTCCGTGAAGCCAGCGGTCTGCGGCCGCGGTAGTGCAGCGCGCGGCCCGGCCCACACGGGCGTTGCGGCAGTGTTCGCGGTTCGCGGTTTGAGGTGTCCGCGCGGCCAGTCTGCCAGGCCAGTCTGCCAGGCCAGTCTGCCTGCCAGGCCGCTGGGCAGGCATTAATCTAGCCCCGCCGCCATTGAACCTTTACGATGCCTATAAACGCGTCGTGCGCAAATGGCGCCTTGTGCAATATGGGTTTTCACTATGCAACGTTGTGCGCGGGCCGCGCACGCGTGCAGGAAGAAAAGAGTACGCGGCCTGCGGGGTCTCGGCGTGGTCTCGGCGTGGTCTCGGCGTGCCCGTGGCCCGAGACGGACGGGGCGGCCAGGAACCAGGTCGGCCCGGGAGATGGATATCATCTGGAGCTGTCGGCCGGTGGCCGTTTTAGCGACCAAACATCTGCTGGTGAGAGCGGCCGTGCGGGCCGGTGTGCGCTCTGCGATTCCCAGTTTCGCTGGGCCGCGGCGGGGCCCTCGCACAAAAGGTCCCCGTGTGCTGCGCCGTGCGAGTCGCGTCGTGGCCGCGTCGCTCGTCGTGGCCTGGTGGGGCGAGGAGTACGGCGAAGTGTACGGCGAGGCGCACGGCAGACCGCGCACCGACGCGCACCGCACCGCGAGGCGTACGGCGAGGCGTACGTCGAGGCGCAGGGTTGGTTGCTCAATGATCCCTAGTCGCGTGTCCAGTCCGGGTTGCAGCCGTTGCAGCAACAAGGCGACAGGGACAGGCGACCGCTTGGCGGCTCGGCTCTGGCTGCCCCCTCCTCCGTGGGACGCGGGACGCCGCCTGGGACGCCTGGCCGCCGCGGGCAACAGCAAGGCCGGACGCAGGCGTGCAAAGGCGCGGCGCGGCGCGGAGCACTCCTCGATCCTGAATCGGAAGCACCGCCGCCGCACCGCGCCGTCGTGCACCAAGGCGTCGTGGCCGAGGCGCCGAGGCATCCCGTGCTCCGCTTGGCTCCGCTTGGCTCCGCTTCCATCGCCGTCACGCGACGCTTCCCCGCCACCACGTGGTCTGCTCCGCGCTCGCACCACGGAGGCGAGGCCCGCGTCGAACTTCCTCGCGCCGCCAGTCCGAGAGCTGCTTCGCCAGCCCCGGTGCGGCCCCGGTGCGGCCCCGGTGCGTCGATCGCGCGGCCTTGTCAAGGACGGTGAGGACCCCACCCCGGCGTTTGACGCGGCCCGGCGCGGCGCGACGCGGTGCGCGGTCTAGTCGTCTGGTCGCCTAGTCAGCGACCCCGCCAAATTCCGTAAACAAGGCGACCTGGCAGGCGAGCCCTCTCCCCTCTCCATCGCTCTCGTTCGGCCCGCTAATACTTCGGCCACTCCACTCTGACCCCCCTCCATCCTTTCCCCCACGGAGGCCCGTCCGGTTCCCGAGATGAGTCTTAGCTAACACCCGGCCCCGCCCCGATCACCCAGACGGAATAAATTTCACTTGGCATGAATGAAGAGAGCGCACCGAGAATGCCGCCAGACGTCCTGGCCTGCTTGGCCTGCTTGGCCTGCTTGGGCTGGTGAGGAGCAATGGCGTGCCGCCCGGTTTTCGCTGGGATTCGCACGACGTGGTGGTCGCTGGCCATTGCCGCTGGCCATTGCCACTGGCTACGCCGGTCCGCGCAAATCGCCTGCCGAGCCATTCAGCAGATCGTTCTGTCACTCTGTCTCCCTTGCACCCTTACGGAGAGCCCCATGAGTGCGACAGAGACAGAGCGACGAAAAAAAACATCTGAATCAGCCTGCTACAGGCAGAACGCCGAGGTCCGCCGAGCGAAGGGCCGCCGCGGAGGCACGGCAGGGGCGGGGGCCTCCTTCCCTGGCGGGGCCCTTGTCTGGGAGCTGGGCTGCTACTCAGCCGAGTGATTCAGAAAGGTCTTTTCGTCGCTCTGTTTCTGTCGCACTCGTGAGGCTCTCCATAAGGGTGCGAGAGAGACAGAACACGAACCGCTCTTCTGAATCGTTCGGCCGTTACTCCGGGCCCCCTCCACCGTCCGCCAAAGAGCTCACCTCCTGGCTCATGGCCCACCGGGCTGGCCACCGGGCTGGCCGCCAGGCCGCCAGGCCCACAGGTGCGGTGCGCTGTGCACAGGGTACGGGTCCACGTGGCCGCGGCCGAGCCCAACCGCTTAACAAGCCGCGGTACGGGCGGCTCGCTACGCCCCGCACAGTGCGCCAAGTAACGCGGGCGACAGCGACCTGCCCCGCCCCGCCCCGCCCCGCCCGGCCCCGCCCCGTGCATTGCGGCTCCAAGTCTCCACTCCGCTCTTGCTCCGCTCGCCCCGCTTTGAATGCAAGTGATGCCCCGAAGCCGCGCCAAGGCGCCAAGGCGCGCCCCACTCCGGTTGCGCAACTCGTAGCCAGCCGCTGGCTGCATCGGCTCGGCCCTGCCGCCCTGCCGCCCTGCCCTGCCGCCGGTCCGTCCAGCCGGCGGCCCTGGTTGGCTAGCCCTAGTGGTCCTTCATGGCCACCGCCCTGGTCATCCCGGCTCCGGGTTTTCCCCATTAGCTGCATCGTCCTCTACCGGCGCTCTGCTGCGCTGCGCCGCGTCGCGGACGGAGGAGGAGGAACAGGTTCGACTCGGTGGCGCTGCCCGCCCCGCTGCCCGCCGCTGCCCGCGGTGCATGCCGCATGCCAGCGGGTACACGGCCAGAGAAAAACACGGTCGGGTCGCGCATCGCGCATCGCCTCCCTCGGGAGCGGCAAGCAGTGGCGCATCCGGAGTCGGTCTGAGGGAGGGGCAAAGGAGCACTTTTTGTCTGTACAGCCCCTGGGCAAAGTGTAGCTTGTTTCTTACCTTTCAGGGGGCTGCCTGGAAGTGGGGTCAAGTGTCCTTCTGCCCGCACTGGATCCGCGCCTGCTCGGAAGCACGATTGTCATTCTGCCTGTTGCCTGTCCCAGGTGGCCGTCAGACCCCCGGTACCAGAAGGCGATCCGCGCCGAGATGGACGTCAACAAGATGAACAACAATGACCTGTCCATGTGCAAGTCGGACAAGCTGGACGAGGAGCTGCTCAAGCTGCCGAACCGCATCTCGGAGACGTTCGTCGGCCACAACATCTTCGTGACGGGCGGCACCGGCTTCATGGGCAAGGTGTTCGTCGAGAAGGTGCTGCGCAAAACCCCCGACGTCGGCGGCATCTACCTCCTCATCCGCAACAAGAAGGGCAAGGACCCCAAGGAGCGCCTCAAGGACGTCTTCGCCAACCCGGTAAGTGCTGCTTCTGCTGCAGCTCTCTCTGTCCTTCTCTTCCTCACACTCGAAGGGAACTCCCCGTGAGTGTGAGGGACACAGAAGAGTTGGAGGCACTGTTCGCACGGCACCCGCATCGTCGGGCCTGAGAGGCATTCGATCATTAGTGGTCCAGACCGGCCATCAAAGCAATCGCAATCGCAATAGCAGAGTCAAGAGGTGGCCTCCCAGGCGCGCCGCGCTGCGCGCCGGGCTGCCTACCCTCGACTCGGCGGGCGGCGTGCTGCGTGTCACTGTGTCACACGGCGCTGACATTCGTCCATCGGCGAGACGTGCCGCTCGTGACGGCCTGCGGGCTGACTCCCCGCGGCGGCGGCGTCGCTCGGTCTCTCTCGCACCCATCGGTGACGCCCCGCGAGTGCGAGAGAGTGAGAGCGACGACGCCGCTGGAGTCGCTTTGACGGGCTGCTCCCTCCGTCACGCTTCGCGACACGCTTGACGGTCCATTCGCTTCGAGACACGCGACGCCCCTTGCTTTGAACTCGCCCGCCCGCCGCGGCCGGCCACCGGCACCGCCGGCCCGGCCTGTGCGTTCACCTCTGACGGAGTGGTCCGGTCCGGCGGTCCGGCGGTCCGGCCCCCGCGTCGCGCGTCCGCGCGTCGCCATCCCGTTTCGCGCGTAGAGCGGCGGCGCCGGGCTGGGCCGCGCGGCCAAACCATCCGAACCGGGCCGAATCTATTTTTATCCGGCGTGCGCGACTTGTTTCTTGTTTCGCTTCGTTTCGCGACCGGTTGGGTCAAGTTCAAGTCCACGCTGGCCGCGAGTTGGAGATGGGAGCCCCTAATTGTGACTCATAGCGAGCATGGCCGCATGGCCGTCTTGTAGGCGGACCGGTTCGGCGCGCGCTATCTCTCCGCGGGCGTTACGATGAGCGGCAAGTGGTTCACGCACTCTGGGCAACATGTCGTAGCGGCCTCTTGGTCTAGGGGTATGATTCCTGCTTTGGGTGCAGGAGGTCCCGGGTTCAAATCCCGGAGGGGCCCGCGTTGTTTTCTGCGTTTTTGCGCGCTGACGTCATGTGCCTCTCTCTGTCCGCAGCTTTTCAACCAGGTGAAGGAGGAGCATGGCAAGGACATCCTGGAGCGCAAGGTGCACCCCATCCTGGGCGATGTCACGCTGCCCGACCTGGGGGTCTCCCCCGCCGACCGGCAGTTCCTGGCCGAGAACATCACCATCGTGTACCACATGGCCGCCACGATCCGCTTCGACGAGAAGCTCAAGAAGGCCGTCATGCTCAACACGCGCGGCACCAAGCTCATCCTGCAGCTGGCCAAGGAGATGAAGAAGCTCCAGGTAGGTGTGAAGCCGTCGACACTCCGGTCGGCACCCCGCCAAGCGAGTTAGTACGCATCAGCCGGTATCAGCCGCCCGTGGGCGCGTTTGGCACGGCAATCCAGTTTGCCGGGTTTTCTGCTAGAAACGTCTGATCGCACTGCCAGCAGGACGGGACGGGACGGGACGCACCGGCTGGGGAGTGGCCGGGGTGCATATGGACACGCGGAACGCAAAGCGACGCAAAGCGACGCAAAGCGACGCAAAGTGAAGGCCGAGGGTAAACACTCCAGGCGACGCGCCAAGAGCTCCAAATGGACGCGCCAACGGGTGGGAGTGCCGGGATGCGCGGCAAGGGGCCGTCCGTTTATTATGTTACGCACCAGGCGGGGAGGGAAGAGGAAAGAGGGGTCCGCGTAACGCTGCGGTGCATGGAGGCGCTGGAAGGGGCGTCTGAGCCAGCGCAACGTTACGTTGAACACTACTCAACATGAGCGCACTTTTGATGAAAAGTAACAGTAAAATAAAGTAGACCGCGGCGCCGCGTTACGTTGGGGGAAGGGGGTGTCAAAAATGGTCCAAACCCGTGTCACATAATTAATGGACGGCCCCCAAGGACAGAGACTCGGGCGCAAATGGACGGGTGGAGAAAGCGCGTAGAAACAGAAAACAAGTCAACTGAACGTACTCACGAAATTAACTCGGGCCGGAAGAGAATTAGTGCGGATGACGCGGGTCGCGAAAAGTCCCTCGGTGGAAGTGGGACCGCCGCACAGTGGGCCGGTTCCTTTCACTCGGCCCTTGCCTCGCGTTGCCGTTCGCGCGCTCGCGTTCACACACGTGTCCCCCGTCCCCCGTCACAACGGCACTTTTGCGCAAACGCGTTAAAGAGGACTTTGTGGCGTGCCGCGGCGCCGCCTGCCTGCCGCCCCGCTTTTCGAACCATTTCGGCCCGGCCTGGGCTGCCTGCCTGCCTGCCTGCCTGCCCGCCTGCCTGGGGGCTTGGGTCCCGGAGATCCCGTCCCGGTCCCCGGTGACGTCGCGACGGGACTTTGACGAAACACGCTGTGTGAACGGGGCGCCACCGTGGGAGCGGCCCTAATGATGATCTCCAGCCGAGATGTGACGTCTTTTCTGTATTTTATGTTTATGCTTTCTTTCATCTTGTGACGCAGTTCTTCGCCCACATTTCCACTGCCTACTGCCACCTCAACGAGCCGGTGCTGTACGAGAAGCCGTACCCGCCGCCCGCCGACCCGCACAACATCATCAAGTGCATGGAGTGGATGACCGACGAGGTGGCCGAGTCCATGACCAAGAAGTACGTCAACGGCCTCGCCTTTCCAGGTGTCGCAGGCGCCCCTGGTCTAACGCCACCCCTTGTTTCAGGATCCTCGGCAACCTGCCCAACACGTACGCCTACACCAAGGCCCTGGCCGAGCACCTGGTCGTCGAGCAGATGGACAGCCTGCCCATAGTCATCATGAGGCCTTCGATCGGTAAGAAACGATCCAGACAAAACTGCGCGCGCCCCTAGCGGCGTTCGAACCCGCGCACCTGACTAGACCTGGCGCTCGACACGTGTTCGTTGTCCGTTGCAGTGGTGCCCATCTGGAAGGAGCCCCTGCCCGGCTGGACCGACAACATCAACGGCCCCACCGGGCTGCTCATCGGCGCGGGCAAGGGCGTCATCCGGTCCATGTACTGCGACTCGGACACCTACGCCGACTTCCTGCCCGTGGACATCGCCGTCAACGGCATGATGGTCGCCACCTGGAACTACATCAAGCTGGGGTAGGCTCAGCATTTCAACCTTCCCTCGGCCACCCCTTTCCGAGACTTGTCTCGTTCACGCCATCCTGTTGTTCCTCTTGCAGTGACCGTAACAGGCGGGTCTGCCACATGACCTCCTCCTCCGAGATCAAGCTCTCGTGGTCGGAGATCGTGGAGCTGGGCCGCGGCATCGTGGAGAACGTGGTCCCCCTGAACGGCGTGGCGTGGTACCCCGGGGGCTCCCTCAAGAGGAGCAGGACGTACCACAGGATCTGCGTCTTCTTCTTCCACTGGGTGCCGGCCTACATCCTGGACGTGTTCATCTGGCTGTCCGGTAACGAGCCCGTGTAAGTACCCTACACCGCGACCAGCGCAGCCAGCGCAGCCAGCGCACGAAGCAAACAGCAAAGCAGTCTGCAGGCAGTTTGAATGATGAATGGGTGTCGTGTCCCCGGCAGGCTGAAGCGCGTGCAGAACAGGATCGAGAAGGGCTTCGAGGTGTTCGAGTACTACGCCAACAACCAGTGGGACTTCAAGAACGAGTCGGCGATCTACGTGCGGCCCCTCATGAACGCGAGGGAGCGGCGCGAGTACAAGGTGGACGGCGACGGCATCGACTTCCAGCAGTACTTCACGGACTGCGTCAAGGCGGCCAGGGTGTACATCCTGAACGAGCCGCCAGAGACCATCCCCGCGGCCAGGCGGCATATGCGAGTGTAAGTGTTCGCTTCCAGGCGCCGGGGTAGCCGGCGTTCGGTCATTTGTAGTCCAGCCGTTGAAGGCAACAGAAATAACAATGGCGATAGCTGGAGATGCAGCCAGCCCAGCCCGACAGCCCGTTGGGTTGCCTACCCACACGGCGGACCGCCCACTCCGTCCAACCACTAGCTTCGCTCCTTTACTGACTGCGCGCTCTGGATTTTACAGGATGTACTTCGTGGACTGGATCGCCCACATCCTGTTCTGGTACTTCGTGGTGTACCTGCTGACGCTGTGCTCGTCCACCGTGCACGACGCCAGGGAGCAGGTGTTCGGCCTGGTGGGCGGCGGCTTCCGCAGCATCCTGGGCTCCAGCGACAGTGTGGCGGCCTCGACGGGGGCGCCCGCGGCCCCAGTGCCCATGTCCGACTTCTAGCGGTGCCGCCGCGGCGCAGTCGAAGAAAACGACGCAACCAATTCTCCTTCCGAAGTGTTGGCAAGGTTTGCATCAGAGTGGCTAGTGAACTTGGCGAGTTTGTAGGCGAGAGGCGAAGGGGGTACCCACACCACCGTGTTTGTGGCCGTCTTCGAGATCTTTAAGGTGCTATCAAGCTAAAGAATACCTCTTGGAACACCCATCTACCCCACTGCGGTGATCGAATGCAGCTCAAAAACAACGTGTTCGTTCATCCAAGACCCACACCGGTGGGTAGTTTGGCTTGCCCTGTACTCAGGGAAGTCACAATATTTTTTGTGATTCTACATTTTATACAAATCGGGGAGTGAGTTGTGCTCAGACTCCCTGAGATGGGTCATGGGTTGCTCATAGTACATGTACGAAGAGAGATATGTCAAATGACTGAATATATCCTCATCCTCAAGATACTGTTAGGGTATGTTTAAGACTGGATTTATAGAGATAAAACTCGCTATCATTTTTACATGGGTAAAGTACATTGTTGGGTACATTTTTTATTCCACATCAAGAGTGTAGTCAATAATCAATGATATTTGGACCAATAATTATGTTACCAAATAAATTCAGGAAATAAATAGGACCTGTCACAAAAAGTCCTGCGAAGCTTTCCGGATAGGTTTTCACTAAATTTGTTTCTGTAGAAAAAAATTCTTGGGTGCTTATGTTTATGTTAATCCCTTCATGATTACTCAAATCATTAATGATTGTTTAAAATTCTTGTTTAGACTTTAATGTTATAGTCTCGTTAAGTTTATATGTTTGAATTTAAAAAATGAATGATTTTTGAAAACAATCTTCAATATTTCACTTTTATTTTTTTACCTCTTCACATGATTCAAAGAGCACATAATGCATAATATCACAGAGAGTCAATGAACAATTTTTATACCTCAATTTTTTATTTTTTTTTAAGAAGAGGAAAAGCTCAATTATTTACTTTTTCCTGTGAGAGTCTTTAGGCAGTCATTTCCCAGGTGATAAAGATGCCAAGATCCCTCTTCTGTGATGTCACGAGCTCCTCTTGCTTTGTAGAAATCTTGAGCTGGGTTCCAGTCCAAGACAACAAAATCCATGTCAACACATTTCATCTCAACTCCTTTCTGCAATCAAGACCACACACAGAAATGAGATAAATTGGAAGGTGTTCTGAGCTCATTTTAAGAGTGAGGATGCAAAGTACCTGAACAACTTTCTGGAATAACATGTGTCCAACGCCTTTCCCTCTAAAAGTCTCAGTTACATAAATGTCCTCAAGGTACATTTTACGACCAGTCAATGCGCCATACGCATAGAAGTAAATAGCGTAACCAATAAGTTTTGATGAATCGTTGGGATCATCCACAACATAGCAGTAGAAAAGTGGTGGTTTAACATCAAATGAATCACGTTCTAGATCTGGAAAATAAAAAACTAAGTTTTATGACTTACTTCTCCGCAGTATGAGGCAGTGAAAAGAAAACATCAAACATACCTTTCTCATCTATTCGGGGTCCATCAGGCATTTTTTCAAAATCAGCTAGTTCCTACAGTAAAAATTTTAAAAAATAATTAGAATGACAGTATTGAAATTTTCTGCGAAACATATTTTGGTTTAGGTCTTCTGCTGTGTTTTCCCATACCTGAATGAGACGGCGCACCTCCTTGCAGTCCTCCCGTCTGGCGTCTCTAACTGACAGCGTCGCCATGGCGGTCCGCACAGAGGAAGGCCGCGCGGTTAGAAATCCTGCGTCGATTCGACTGGAATGCGCGCTGGAATCGTCAAAGTTTATGTTGTTATCACGGGCGACATAACCTCACACCTCATGTGATATGAGTCTCCCCCCCCCCCCCCCCCCCCCCGGAGTGCGAGTCGACAGCAACACGTGGCGCCGCGCGCGGCGGTCGGCGTCAGCTAGAGCGCCCGCACCGCGCCGTGCGTGCCCGTGCGCCCACCGGGGAAGTGCCACGAACTTTACAGCTTGCTTTATGGAGGAAGGGCGCGATGGCGCGATGAAATGTGGAAAAACGGGTTGGCTCGACTCCATCGCACGCGGCGCATAGCGGAGCATAGCCGAGCGCACTTAGAGGCTGACCGCGCCACTGGGTGCGAATATAAATAAACAGTCGTTTATCAAAGTTTATCGCGAAATGTGAGAGCAGGCTCCGGGCGGGTGTTGCAGTGCAGCGCACCATGCACCGTGCACAACAAGAACGCCGCTGATTCATATCGAATTGCGCGGGACACAAAGTCATCGAGTTGATACTTTTTCCAAATGTTGATACTCACAACATAGCCATTAAATTGTGTTGACAAAAAATAACATGTTGCGGAGAGGATTATCACGTCTGTGAGAGTGAGAGTGTATCTGTGTGTCACCCGAGCAAAACAGATGGAAGTATCAGATGCCGGTCTTTTTACGCTGTTATGTTTGTTTGGGCGGAGAAAACAGCGAGGAGTGCGCGCGGCCGAGCAGCCGAGGAGGGCGGCGGGGAGCCGGCAGCGCTCGCGCGTCTCTCCCGCGCCTCCGTGCGGTCGCGGGTGGTCACGGGGTCACGGGATCGCGGTGCGGCTAGATAGGCCTGGTTATCGGCGCTTCGGGGGGCTTTCAAGCTTCTGTTTTCAAAAATGACATTTGAGTGGGTGCACTCAAGGACGGAGCCGGACGGAGCCCACTCGAGAGAAGAAAAAACAAGGAAAGCTTCATTTTGTCGCTCGGCACGGCAAAGTCGCAAAGTCAAGTAGGGTAAATATATATCGATCAGCAGCGGCCTGCGTGTCCGAGGGCAGCAAAAAGTGAGTGGCTGCCGCTGTGCGGTGGGGCGTTGCTGGGGATGTCCGCTTACAGCTTGTACACACTAAATGTTTGTGTACTTTCATATTCCGTAACTTACACCTGCACAAATACGTACTTATAAACAAAATGTCCGAGAGCGTTTAGTGTGTACGCAGGTGAAAAACTGGTGGGCGCGAATTCGACGAGGGCAAGCGCTTGTCGTTCCACCGGAAAGTTTGCTTTGACACTCGTTGCGTGCGACAAGCAACAATCGCGTGGCACGTTTTGAGTCGAGTCACGACATTACACGTATCGAGAACAAGTGTTGCAGAGCAGAGCAACCTATAACACCACGCCAACGACGAGGACCCGCTACTCCAAGGAAAGAAATACCCATCCGATGAATCACATTGTTTTCGGAAAGTGAGGACGAGGACCTGTATCTACTGCCGCGAGAGAGGCCGCTCCGATTTCGAAGCTGCCTCGAAATCAACACGCAAGGAGTACCTGTCCTGGGACAGGTAGCCTTTGCGTGTTGGTTGTTTCAACGACCCCTTATCTGCAGATTGGCTTTTCGATCTCTATCATCTCGAGGGAAACTCCCGCGCTTCTCCACGGCGTTTCCGTGAAGGGGCGCCCTCCCCATGTCTCCCTCTCCCCAGCGCGGCCGAGGGCTGCGTCCGAGGGGGCACTGTCTGGCCGGCAGCCTCCGTCCCGCGGTGCGCGGTGCGCGGTGGCGCGGTCACTTGCCCTCGCCGGGCTTGCCGGCTTGCCCTCGCAGCCCCCTCCTCGCACGCAGCCCCGCGATAACGCCAACGCCCCCATTGGAGGACACAAAAGGACGGGGCAGCCGGGCCATGGCTGAGGCTGCAGCCCGCGATCAATCCACGACGGACAGCCCGCCGCACCGCCAACGCACCGCAGCATCCCCAGCGACGACACCATGGCCACCATCGAAGCGATCGTGTTCGACCCCAAGGCGAAGAAGCTGAGCTTCGGCAAGGTGGACATGCCGTCGCCGCCCGACAAGAACGAGGTCATCGTCAAGGTGGCCTTCGCCGGCATCTGCGGCACCGACCTGCACATCATCGACGTGAGTGCCGGCACGCCCGAGGGCACGCCTTGGGGCACGCCTTGGGGCACGCCCCCGCCATCCCCCGGCCGCCCCCTTGCTGACCATCCCCCTGACGTCGTTGCAGGGCGAGTTCCCCTGCAAGGCCTCCCCCTTCATCCTGGGGCACGAGTTCAGCGGCGTGGCCACCGACATCGGCACCGGCGTCACCCACATCACCCGCGGTGACCGCGTCGTCGTGGACCCCAACAAGTAAGTGGCGGCCTTGGTCTTGGGGCACGGTTCGTAGCAAAACGGCCGAGAGCATCGCGTTGACGCCCCGCCCCGTTGCATTGCAGTGGCTGCAATGTGTGCCAGCTGTGCTCCGGCGGCGACTACCACATGTGCCAGACCGCCGCCATCAACAACACCGTCGGCATCTTCAAGGATGGCGGCTGGGCGCAGTACTGCAAGGTCCCCGCCGACCAGGTGTACCGCCTGCCTTCCACCATCAGCCTCCAGACGGGTGAGCATCGTCGCCGACGTCGAGCTCGGCGCCAGCGCCCCCTTGTTTACCCGCCCGACCATGACCCCGTGACCTTGACCTCGTGACCCCGGTCCGCAGGCGCACTGTGCGAGCCCATCTCTTGCCTGTCCCACGGCTGGGACCGCCTCATCCCCGTGCCCATGGGCAGCCGCGTCCTGGTGACCGGTGCCGGCGTCATCGGCGCGCTGTGGGTGTCCGCCCTGCACCACATGGGCCACCGCAACATCATCGTGTCCGAGCCCAACGAGACCCGCCGCGGCATCATCAAGAAACTGGGTGAGTCGCGTTGCAGAGTGTGGCCGAGAGGCGCCGCGAGGCGAGAGGCGGTGTGGAGCCCCCGGCAGGATAGGCCGGCCCGCCGAGCGGCGCTGCGCAGGTGCTGCATCCCGGCATTCGCAGGGGCTCCGCTCCTGCTGCAGCCGCAGACCCATTCCGAGAGTCGTTACCGGGTGCGCCGAAACGAGTGCGAGCGAGATAGGCCGACGAAAACGTCTTTCGGAATCAGTGTGCCAGAGTGTACTCAGGGCAAACAGGGCCAGCAGGCTGAGACGAGTGCTTGTGCTGTGCAGACCTCGGCGTGCAGGTGGTGCACCCCGACGAGCTGATGGCCGCCCGGTCCAGGGACTTCTCCTGGGGCGTGGACGTGTGCATCGACTGCAGCGGCGCCGCCCCCGCCCTGGAGGCCGCCGTCACCCTGCTCAGGCCCGGCGGCAAGCTACTCGTGTTCGGCGTGGCCGCGCCCCAGGCCCGTATGAGCATCTCCCCCTACGAGATCTACAAGAAGGAGCTCACCATCCTGGGCGTCATGATCAACCCGTTCAGCTTCGTCAAGTCCATCGGCTTCCTGGAGGCCATGGGCGAGAAGTAAGAGCCTTCCTGACGTGTGCCTGTCGTGTCGTGTCGTGCGAGGTGCTCATCTCGTTGGCGTTTTCACGTTTTCAGATACCTGGACTACGAGAAGTTGGGCGTCCGCGTGTTCTCTCTGTCCCAATACGCCGAGGCCATGCAGGAGCTGCGCAAGGGCGCCATCAGCAAGGCCGTCTTCCAGCTGTGATAACCAACAACGCTCTCCCCTCTCTCTTTCTCATCCTCTTCGCATACGCTTACCCCCGCCACCCTTTTGTAAAGACAAGACAAAAGAGAATAAAAACACAACCCCCTCCCCCACAAAGCACGTCTCCATTCATTTGCCCCTTTGGTCGCAACGTGCCGCCAGGCCAGCCGCTGGCCCGTGCCGCCAGCAGGTTGATTCCGAGCACAGGTGTCACTCAGTCTCTCTCGCACCCGTACGCGACGCCCCATGAGTGCGAGAGAGACAGCGACGAAAGCGGAGCTCGGAATGAGTCTGCTGGCCGAGCCGCCAAGCCGGCCCATCCAGCGCCAGCATGGCCAGCATGGCCAGCATGAGATGAGGCAGATGATGTTGATAGCGTCGATAACGCCCACGCGGCGTGGCCGGCCGGCCGGGCCTTCCGACCTTCGGGCTGCGTTCCAAACGCTCCGCCATGCTCCGCGCTCGCTCGTCTCTTCGAACGGCGCCGCGGCGGCCGGCGGGCCGATTCGAACACACCCCCGGCCTGGCTGCGGCATGCCTGTGGCTGGTGCCTATGGCCGCCTCTGGCATGCAGCACGGCACGGCTTCTTTTTACACGCGGGACCGGCAGGAACGGACCAGCCCAAAAAAAAAGGGCGTCCGAAACTGACCAGCGTCACCGCGGCCCGCGATCCGCTCCAGTACGGCGGCACCCACGCGACGTGGTGCACATCATACAAACAACACCATGATGAGCCTCGTCGTCCCCGTCGCCCTGGGGCTGGGGCTCCACGCCGCCCTCACGGCGCAGGTTGGTGCTGGTTGGTGCGGGTGGGAAGAAGGGAGGGAGGCACCTCGCGGGGCTCCGCATCCCGGCAGAGCGGGTGCAAGCTGGTGCAGTCGAGACACCTAAGCATGATGCACGTCGGAATTCGCACTGGACGGCTGAACCCACTCAGGTTGAAGTGTATACACAGTGATTTTGGATTGCCTGCATCCTGAAATAATGGTGCTCTGGGCTTCGTCTTAGCCTGGGTGCCCCGGAATGGCTCCCCATTGCAAGGGCCTCCGAGACCGAGCAGACCGAGGCAGTGGCGCCATGGCAACACGCTGGCCGCGGCCCCCGCGGCCGCACGACACCTCGGCGTCAACGCCGGTCGCGGTGGCCGCGGTGGCCGCGGGGGTCACGTCCACGTCCACAGTGTCCGCTGTCACGTCCGGCCTGCCCCGTCCCCCTCCATCGCACGCTGCAACAATCGCGGGACGATAGTGCACGCAATAGATAGAGTAGCGCCAAGCTGCTGCGGGGAAAATTAATGGCGCGGACAGCTGGTACCTGCCGGCCGCGATTAGCCCATTGCGGGCGTTGTGTTGTTCTGGCTGGGCCACCACTTGAAGCTCGGTGCGCCTGAGCCCGGGGGCGGCTGGGGCAGAGCATTGGTAAAAGATGCCTTCGCCCTTTCACCGCCGCGGAGGGTGTTTTTCTCTCACGCAACTTGACGCCCGGGAAGAAAGAAAATCGTAAATATCAACTTGAATCGCGAAGGCGTTAAACAGTAACTCCTGCGGGAAGTAGGAGTTACTACCTAACTCTCCGCCCTCTTTGTTCCCTAAAATGATCTGCGCCGCTGCAAATGACGGCCCCCTCCTCCTACGCCACTGACTGCCTTGCATTGCATGTGCCGCCGACCCCACCCCGCAGGCCATGACCGCCCACCACCGCAGCACCGACGACGACGCGACCAAAGCCGAGGCGAGGCTCCTGGCCGCCGCCATCGAGACATCCCTGAAAAACGCGTTCCACCCGTTCTACATCGAGTCCAACTTCGAGCCCGACGAGGACTTCATGACCGGGCTCGAGGGGCTTGAGCTTGGGGGGCGCGTGCGCCGCGCCGCCGAGCCCGAGGGCAACGCCGAGGGCAACCCGGACGACGACGCGGAGGAGGTGACGGAGGAGGAGGCGGCGGGCGGCGAGCCGCCGGCGACAGGTCTGCGGCGATGGGTCATCCGCATCCGCAACGTCATGTTCGGCCGCCGTGATCTGGAGGGCACTGAAGGTGAGCCAAGCCCCAAGCTCTCCAAGCGGACCGCGTGCGATACGGCCGTTCACCGCACTGCCAAACAGGCCAACGCCCTCCGGGGTTGCTGCAGGTCATGTCGCACCTCGAGACCTAGCGGCCTCAACGCGATCATCAGTGCCACGGTCACGTTATCGCATTCCTCTCATTCAGTTATTGGTTTAAAAGTTGTTTGCGATGATAGGCGTTTGTCTGTACCGCCCCTTTGACAGTCCATGGTCCTGTTGCAGACGGCGAGGCGGAGGGCGAGCCAGAGCCCGGCCGCACATGGGTAGAGAGCCTGGCCAACTGGTTCTCTCACGGCATCAAGTCCCTCCTGCTCCGCTTCAGTGGCGGCTGCCCCGAGGAGGGCGGCGAGGCCGGCGAGGCCCCCGCCATGGACGGCCCCAGTGACGACGAGGAAACGTGGAAAACCGCCCCGTCCTCCTCCCCGAGCCCCGTCCCGTCCTCTACCCAAGGCCCCTCTACCCCTGGCCCCGCCAGCCCCGCCGGCCGCTCTCCCAGAGGGCGCAAAGCTAGGCCCTCCGGCCGTGCCACCAGCACCACCAGCACCGCCAGAAGCGCGCCGGAGCCAGAGGCCGAGCCCGAAGCCACGACGCCGAGGCCGTGGACAGCGCTTCCGCCGCTCTCGACGACTCCAAGCGACGCCGCGGACTCAGACAGCATCGCCCCCGCGCCGAGGGAGGCCACTGCCAGCGCAGCGCCGGCCGGCACCGTCTACGACGACGAGGCGTTCGGCGGCTCGCACAACGCGCCCCCAGTCGAGACCAACGAGCTCAACTAGCAGTGCAGTGGACGACGGTTGACCGATTGGCACGTGGAGGCCAAGGCGAAGGTGGAATGGGCCTTCCCTCCTGCCCAGAGTAATCCCTGACATACCTGACTGACATTAAAAAAACTTCCGAGCTTTCAGTATCCCGACGAGTAATCCCGTTTGGCTTGATTGGTTTTCAAATCAAATATACATCAATTTTGGTCTCTGCTTTGCCTTGTTGTGTGTTGTTGACAGCCTCCGCACGAGAAGGAAATGGCACCATGACACCCGACGCACATCAGATCTATGACCATTCCCTCTTCCCCACCTCTATAGTTACTAAGGCAGTATTCAGGAAGTGAAAGAAACGCTTAATGTAAAACATTCACTTTATTTACACAAATAATTTCTTTTATTACTACAAATACAACATTATGTACAGATAATAAAACACATCTTAGGTGATAGTGTCCTTTCTGACTGTCAATATTCTTATTCATAGAAAATCACAATGAAGATGGGCAGAAATATTTGTCAAAATTGCTCTATCTGAATTTCCATTCTTAGTCCATAATTTTATTTTCTGAAAAAAATATTATGACTTGAACCTGCTTGAGAATAAATGAAGACCAGAAAACTAATATATATACATATATAAGAAGAGCAAAGCCAAATTTAATGTCAGCATCCTTAAATAATCTATTCATCTGCTAAGTTGAAATATGATCAAAACCATTTAAAGAATTTTAAGATTGTATCTTGAATAAAATACATGAGCGATGGCAGCTGCATGAGAACTGGAAAATCTTGGAATGTTTTAAATTTGCAGATGAATGCACTGACTAGCTTGACACATTCACAAAATCCAGAAGTAGTAGAATGAGAATTGTACAGTGGGCCACATGCAAGCTGCTCCAGCATTTGACAAGTTAACTTGTCATGAAAATCAAAGAAAAGGCTTTTTCACAATACTTTAGTAGAAGTGTTCAAAGAACAAAAACAAAAATGAAAATAGGGTAAGAAGGAAAGAAACTCTGTACAATTCCCTAGCAATAGTCATAAAACTCTTGGGTATAAAATATTGTGTACTTGCTAGGATGTGATTTAGTTACAAATGATTGTGATGGAACTCAAATTTCTCAAAGATGAATAAACAAAAATTTTACAATGACCACAAGTGCAAATCTCAGTGTGCAAACTCAAACAAAGCCCTCAAGAAAGTTTGCTTGAGTAGTGGGTGGGCATTTCTGTTGTCCCCAGTGATAGGCACAAACATGGAGAAAATAAAAAAATCTCTGTGATTTGCAAGCAGGGTTTCTAGTTTTTGGTAACTTGGTGATCACTACTTGACTCTTTTCTGTTGACGTTGGCGGTAAATATCGTTTGCAGGCGGGGGAATCCCCATGTCATCATCATCGCTGTCATCAGCTCCCAAGCGCTTTTTTCTCTTAACAGTAATAAACCCTTCACCTCCATTTCCGTCACCATTTATATAGTGAACACTTTTAGCCATGTCAAAAAGTTTGACATCATGTCCATTGTCTGCAGAAGGTGTCGAACCTGTAATTTTAGATTTTGATGTTGATAAATTACACCACAACTACCTTATCATAAACCACATAAAAGTTCAAAATATCTTACAATGTATTTCAATTCGTAATAACTGTTCCATTAAGGCATCAACACCAACAAATGGCCCATGAAAACAGTCAGGAGGACACAAATTGGAACACAACTGTGCCACAGCGGGAGGATAGGGAAATACACCACCTAAAAATCAGAGGTAAAAAAGAATAAGTGAAAATATTACAATAAAGCTGTATAGACATCTACAAATTTTATCTACCTACCTGAGACAGGATGATCACCAGGAATGCTTTTAAATTTAGGTTTAAAGGGAACCATTTGGGAGAGATCTGGTTTTGGTAAACTGGCAGGCTCATCATCTGCATCTGCACTGCTTGAGTGGTATGTCTTTGATGCTGTGACCATGTTGTAGCCTATCGATCTGAAAAAAATTAAAAATAAGGTAAGTATATCAAGAAGTGGATGAAATAACCTCTGGAAGGAAATTTTGACTCACCTTAATTCTGATGGTGTACATGGGAACAAATCCAAGAATTTGTACCGGTCTACGAGTTGTGCAGTCTCTTTTCCTTCAAATTCTTTGATCTGCATGATGAAAGATAAGATATCATTACAATCAAGACTTTCTATTGTAAAAGAAAAGATAAGTAGAAGATTTAAGCTCTTTATTTTCTTTTCATATATTTTTTTTGGAGTGTATGTGTGTGTGACTCAAAACATACCTCTCTAAAGGAGATTGAGGTAGGTCTTAAGGGGCGAGATCTTAAAATACGTGGATGGGGACGGGAGGAGGTCATGCCGAAGGGACGGTGGTGATAATATCGGGTCAAAGGAAGGGGTGATGATTGTTTAGAGTTAGTTTTCGGGACATTGATGAACACCTGATTTCATCAAGATTGAAACATGCAGGGGGGTAATGGAAAGTTGAAGGAAACAATGTTGTTCAAATACATACACTCTCCAGGACAGCGGCTCGTCTCCTCTCCACCTTGACTATACTTGCTAAATCTCCAATATTTGATTCAAACTCCAGAAATCTGTTCCAAATTTCAACAGATTTTTCTGCTTCTAAACTGCCTGAAGATAACACTCTTTCAAATAAGACTCTTGTATTGTTGTCTTCGTTGAGATGTGAAAGGTAATCTATGTAGCATAGAACATATTCTGGATTGTCAGGGAACTTCTTCAAACCCAACTCAAAAATCCTAAATGCTATGTTTTTGTCTTTGCTGCTGTAGTACTCCATGAGTGCAGCAGCGACATAAACTTGAAAATGTGATCGGTTATCTTCTCGAGCTCTCTTGAAGACAGTTCTGGCAGATTTGATACCTTCTGCTCTTCTGGCAAACTTCATGTACTGTATATATGCCTAAAAACAAGACAAGAGAACCAAAAAATAACAGAGTTAAATTGCGATTAAGAACAGCAAGGACACATGAGTTCAGTTCACACACAAAGAGGCACATACCAGAGTGGGATCAGCATCTTCCATTTCTAAAAACTTTTCATATATTTGATGCACCTTTTCGTATTTCATTCTTCCTTCTTCAAAATCCGCATATGCAAAGTAAAGCAGCATGTTACTCTTGAGCAGAGAACCGGTTGCCCTTTCAAACACTGCACTTGCTTCGTCAGAGAAGAGCTTAGCAGCCGTTACATCCTGCAAAATTTATAAGGTATGAGCATATAAACACAATAATTTAAAGACTCATAAAATTATCAAGAAATAGTTTTAACTCACCCCTTTTTCTGTCAAGATTTTAGAGCTTTGGTCTAGAAATTGAGCGGCTTCGTACCAAACATCAGCATGGTGACCCAGACAAAGAAGACACTGTTCAAATGCAAACATCACCCTTCGAGTAATGAGAGAAGTGTCCTCAGATCTCAAAGGATTGCTTTTTTCCCATGCAATGTACTTTTTCCACAAATCAACCTAAAATATTAATTTTAAAATGGTAGGGAAAAAAGAAAATTAGAAAAACTTACAAATCCCAGCAAAGCAAATCGTAATCTTCTAGTGAAACACTCAAACTCACCTGACGCAACTCCTCCAACGTTCCCATAGGTGGTACACTTGGAATATTTCTGTTCAGACCGCGTGTGACAGCCTCGAGTTCCTTTGCGACACGCCGAGCATTCATGTAATCTTTTGACCTCTCCATACCCATTTTTTCAGCAATGATGGGATTTATTGCTTGCTCAAATGCCATATAGTCTTTCCATAGCTGTTCTATATTTAACATTGGGTTTACAACGCCTCTTTGATAAACCTACAAAAAACAAACAACAAATGTTAAATTTTATTTTCAGTGTAGTTTTTGTGCTCCCAAAGTAAATATGAAGTGTCCACCTACTTTGCGAACAGCGCTTATTTTTTGGTTCTCTGCATATGACCCAACAGCCTCTACTCCTTTCAGAAAATTGACATAATCACTCCATATGGAGTATGACTGAATGTCCATTCCAATTTTTTCAAGAGCAAAATCATACGCCTGGGCCATTTTTTCTCTGTTTAAAATTAGAGCGATTAGTAGCAGTTCAAATGATTCACTGAAAACATTGTACAGAGATGTGCTTACTTGTAGGAAGCAAGGGAAGCTTTAGTTTCTTTAACATACGTGAGGTAAAGTTTCCACAAATCAATGTTAAGAACTTTCATTAGACATCTTTGAAATAACTGAAAATGAAACAAGAAAAGAAAGTTTTACCATTTAGCATAACATGGTTGAACAGACAAAGGCACGGATTCACATGTGCCCAAAGTTTTAGTTTGGGTTGGTCTGACTGCTCTAAGCTAGACCAAAAATATTACAGATTATTTCTTATATGTTAGTCTACCACTACTTTATCTATGTTGAATACTGCTTACTCTACCTCAATCATTGGAATAGTAACACTTCATTAAAAATATTCTTGCTAGGTTTCTACGACAACCTATCCTCAATCAATTATAGAAGTGCATTCGTTCTCAGGAAAACGTTTGTCTTTGAATGTTTTAAGCAGATAAGGTAACAAACATGACGCGTGCAGGAGTTAACCAATATAGAAACACCACTAAAGACAAAGATAGATCTTTAATAAAAGTCAAGTAATTTTTAATTCCACCATCCCACAAAATATAAAATAAATTGTTTTTTCTTAATGACTGAATGGAATACTCCGACCATGGAACTCAATAAACAGAGCTGCATTTTTTTTAAAAATGAAAGCATGGCAGGTCCCGGTTGGTTACGTGGCAGGGATAATGACGAAAAAAAGAAAAAACAAATCATTAACATAAAATAGGTATTATCTTATTTCTTTAAAAATGATTAAGTTCAGTGGAAACAGGGATAAAAACACAAGTGCCCTTAAATAAAAAGAGGAAGTTGAAGAAGACCGTCATTTATTGCTTGAAAGATATACAGACAAGACGCTCCAATTAGACTGATAAGAGCCATGGTAGATCTTAAATCCTTACACTAGATACCTAGACAACTGGTTTGGGATAAGGAATCAATGGTATTCTTTTTTAACTGATGATTTATTATTACTATGATACAAGACTAGCACCAAATAGAGATGCACAACACAAACAGTAAAATAATAATACCCGATTGGCAATAACAACTTGAATGGATGGTTAGAAATGGGGTGAAAGTGTAAAAACTTATATAGAGAAAAATAATTCAAAGACCCAAAAAAAAAAAAAGAAAGACAGATTGTCTAGTATTTTTTATTTGCTTTAATTTTCCTATGTATAAAATTTGGCTGGAAATGTTTTAAACAGAGGAGTGTGGAATGTAATTTCAAAAGTGGTATCAGAAGAAGCAAATAACAAGGAAAACAAAATTGGCAAATAGGTTTGTTCCTTTGACGGGAAAAAAAACAAAGAGGCTCAAGTTACAAATGACATTACCATGTTGAAATGGAACACAAATGTTTGATGTGCATTCTGTGTTTTAACTCCAGAGGAACTGGTACCGGTCATATTAATGGTTAGTGAGTGTCTCAGAGAGCCTGGCAAAGACCTCAGTGAGAATGATGCTAGCAGATCAGTGTTTGAAAGGGTCAGTTGTCTTTAATGGGGTTGAGTGGAGACAAAAAAAATTGGAAGTCACACATTTTGTCAAATCAGGAAGATCAACAATAAGTACACACTACAGACCATCCACCATGCCTATCAATTACCATAAAAAATCAATTTATATTGCAAATACACCACATATATTTTACTTTCAAATAATGGTATAAACAAAAACACAAAACCAAATGATGTTTGTGGGTGCAGTATGTAGCAGTAAAGCTTCATACTAGTGAGTGTTGATGCACTGAGAAAAGTTTAGGTTACTGTAAAGTTGCCACCGTATCTGGTTCCAAGCTGAGCTAATAAAACTTCAATAGTTTCATGATGTAAAATATGTTTCTTATTTTGAGGTACGTTAGCAATTAGTAGATTTAAGTGACTTTGAAATGAAGTCCTCTTACAACAATAGGGAAAGAAACCCTTATAGTTCGGTAAAGTAATTGAGAAAGTCATGCTTAAGATGAAACAGTAATGAAATTTGTTTCCAGATATGTGACAGACTGACAACTCAAGAATCCTAATAAATTACCATCAAGGATGGTTGTAAGTGAAAAACTCGACAGCCTTTTCATGAGTGCTTTAAACCCAGTGTATTGGTCGACAATAAGACATACTATACACACTGCATCAGTATTTATTTCCACCAAAATCAGAGCAGCATCACAGCCCAAAACTAAATAAGTAAAGTCTTTATTATCATATCATAATCAAGTCATGGCTTTTCACCTCAGTCTTGGAGTATTTTAAACTAACTATCACAGATCAAAAGTAGAATTATTTAAGAAAAAAGAAATATAGAAATAAAACTTGAGGATTTAAGATTTTGTATTAAGTTTTTGGAACTATAAGTTTAGTCCCTGTAATTTTATCCCCTCAAAAACAAAAGAACTCAAAAGAACGAGGATAGAGCCATGTTACCTGAGAGTGAAATGTCGAGACTGAACATACCTTTTCAACTTTTTCAAAATTCCTGGCTTTCATCTAAAAGAAACAACAGAAAATAAGGGTACAAGAACCAAATTAGAAAATTTTCTTTTCTCACCATGGTGCAAATACAGTGAAGAACGAGAAAACAGATGAAACTTGTACTTACTTCTTGTTCAATATATATTTTCCAGTATCGCCCAGAGCTCGGAAATGTCGTTACCAGCTTCTCAAAGAGAGGCCGTACATCGTTGATCCATTTGATTTGGGATTCTCTGATAAGGAGGCTCCATGCTTCGAGGTCATAGGGGCTATCGATGATGGTTTGCTGGGCTCTGTTCAACTTGTCCGTACCCCAATCCTGTTGACGAAACAAATACAATCATGTTATGATCAAAATGGAATGGTTTGAACATGGTGAAAGCCAAGATAAAGATACCGTGAACCAGAAAAGCTAAGCCATTTAATTAGAAACATCAAGGTACAAGAGTGCAGGGAAAAGTAGACATGACCTATTCATGTGTAAACACACAGTTCCTGATTGTATGAAATGTGAGGTTAGAAATAGCCCTACCACAATGACACGAATGAACCAACCACACAAAGCGACCTTGATGCAAGGCCGACTGAGGAAAGGGAAAAGAAAATGAGAACTTTGCATATGTAATAGAATTGGTCCCTAATTTGAAGTTGGTGACCGCGGACGGTTGTGCTAGCTTCTCTACGTAGACAAAGGTAGCATCACAACAAACCCGTCAGCTCGCTCAAGGTTTGGACGCGAAAATCGACACGAAATACTTACTATTTCCAACTTATCTTCCGCCATTCTAAAGGCCTAACTGTAAAGTCAAAGCACTCAACTAGACAACGCTATTGGAAACAATATCAGCTGAGCAAACGATAAATGCTTTCGTCAAGAAAGCGTAGTGGTGTCCGAAAGTGTTGGTTGATTTTGTGCCTTGTCGAAAAACTGCAACCAACAACCAACAACAGGACGCAACGTACATGCGAACATCCGGTTCCGCCTTCTCCGTGCACCGGCGCGAAAGTTTGAATTCTGAAAACGGCGTTATACTTTAGAGTGAAGTGCGAAGTTATATTTGAAATATTTTCGTTGAGGTGGACTCAAAACCAAAATCGAGATGCTCTGATGCCCAAAAAGGCTTGGCTTCGAGCGCGAGGGCACGCGTCTCGAGGCTGTTCCGGTAAGACGATGAAAATTTGTTGGCGATACGAACAGGTTTACACGAAGGCAACTGCATTTGAAACATTAAGGCCATGTAGAAACAATTAATCGGCTCCCAGTCCCTACTCTTTTACGTTGGGTTCACAATTTGGACCGTGCCGCGTGGGAGCCAAGCCGGACTCAAGTCAAGCCTGGAGGCGCCTGGATGGTAGGCCCCCCAGTCGGCGTCCGTGCCACAGGGGCTGCCTGCCTGCGCCTCGGGCCAAGGCCCTTGGCGGCCCGTACGGCCCGGTGCGGCCAAGGTCGGCCAAATCCCCCTTCCCTCGCACCGGTCATCCACAGGACGCGGTCCCCGATCGTCGTCGCAGTGGAATAGTGAAGGGGAGCCACTCTGTCAATGCCCCTTGCCCCGTGAGCGGAGTTTGCCGGCCGTGTGCCCGCCAGGCTTAGAGCCGTTTTCGTCGAAGTCTCAATCGAACCCAAACGGGAAGCCCCCTAAGTGCGAGAGAGACGGAGCGACGAAAACGACTTTCGGAATCAGGCTGCTGACATTGGGTAGTGACGCGGGGTAGTGACGGCGGCGACGCGGTCGTTGTGCCGTTTATGATCGAGGAAGCAGGTTGACCCTTGACCCCGGTGGGCTGGCTTGGCTGGCTTGGCCGGCTTGGCTTCAAGCACCCCGTTCTCTTTAAATACCGGCCGTGTAGGGTCATGCCTCGAGGTGAGTGCGTGAGCCGCAGACTGATGCAGAGAGTCGTTTTCGTCGCTCTGCCTCTCTCGCACCTAAACGGGACTCCCCATGAGTGCGAGGGAGACAGAGCGACGAAAACGACTCTCTGAATCAGTCTGGTAGTCTCCGCCCTCGTCGGCAGCATGTCGGCAGGAGCAGGGAAGTCGAACAGGGAAGTCCCATCACAGGGCGCCTCAGGACGGACAGGGCTTGCTCGCCCGGCGCCCCTCGCCGAGGAGGGGGACGGAGAGTGCGCGCGTCCGCCCCGCGGGCCCCGCGTCCTTTCAGACACTTTGTTTTCGAAGAGGGCATGTTGGCCCCCTTTTCGGATAGGGGAGGGGCAGGGGAGGTGGTCGCGGTCGCGGACGCGCGAGGCGCGAAGCAGCGCAAAGCACGTCGTGGAAGCGAAAGCACCGTTGTTGGCTTCAAGTTGGCGCAGGCTGCTTGGCTGCGCCATGGCTGTGCCATGGCTGTGCCGCGCTGGTACTCGGCGGCTTCGCGCTTCGCGCTTCGCGCCTGTCCTCTACCCCCTCTCCCTCTCTCTTTCTCCCTCTCTCCCGCCCGCGCGGCTGGCGCGGCCCTCTCTCTTTCTCCTTCCTCCTGCGTCCCCGCCGATGACGGCGGCTCTATTTTTAGCCAGTGCGCGGCGCACGGGAATAGCCATGACGTCAGGGAGCTCCTGATTGGTCGAGCGGAGAGCGGCAGCGGTGGCAGCGGCGGCAGCTGTTTCGGGTCGGAGGGGCCGGGGGTAAAGGGGTGAAAGGGAAGGGGAGGGGAGGGGATCCTCCGTAAACGCCGAGGCAGGGCGTGACGCGTGGCGGCAGGGCGTGTTGTTGTACTATCGTTCTCAGAGATCGTCAGCAGGGCGTGCAGAGCTGCCCTGCAGTGGTCAAAGCGTCGACCACCTCAACTTAGATGAGCGCTTTGGAGGCGCACTGCGAGTGGCCACCGTGTCGGTGTGCCCGTGTGTGTGTGCATGTGTGCATGTGTGTGTGTGTGTGTGTTTGTGTGTTTGTGTGTGTCTGTGTGTGTCGCGGCCGCGGAACACGTGGCTACACGATGTCAACATGTGTAGGTGGAGTCACGATTCGAGACTCGACGCGGCGCGAAATTGACACCTGCAAGTCCCGATTAATCAGGGGCCTAACCTAACCAGCCGGACGAGATTGCATTTGCCGAAAACGACGCACCTAACTGATTGCGGACAATGCCATCGTAGTTTCGTCCTTGTCGCACTCGAGGGGCGAGAGAGACACCGCGGCGAGACGCTGTGCGGAATCAGGCTCTCCATCGAGGGGCGGGCCGATAGCGATTAGCGATGGAAATCCGAATCGGAGGCCATCTGAGGCGAGGCGAGGCACCCCGTCGGAGGACTAGCCCCACTGGCCCACGCGCGCCGCGGAATCACGCGGAATGCCGAGGGGGGTAGGGTAAGGGGCAGGGGGGCCACCTCCGCGCGCTTTGCCTCTTTGCCGTTTTGCAGTGGTGGGTTTCGTTTTCGCTCGCCCGAGCGTGGGCCAGACTGGAGCGGCCTGGAGCTGCCGTGATGCTGCAGGAGTATAGAAGCCCACACTCATTCCGAGCGATCTGCTTTCGTCGCGCTGACTCTCTCGCACTCGTGGGGCGTGCCGCAAGGGTGCGAGAGAGACAGCGTGAGAAGCAGTGCTCGGAATCAGCCTGCTGCCCGCGCCTTGCCCGCGCCTCGACACTGCGAGCTCCAGGATGATTTCGCGCAGTGGAACCGACTGTCCATCTCTCTCGCACTCATGGGGCGTCTCGTCTCGGAGCGAGCGAGATACAGGCATCAATCATCCAGCCTCTAGGTCTCTAATGTAGACCACTGCTGCGGCGGCGGCTGACTAACCGTTGCTGCTGTGAACGGAATGCAAGCTATGCTGCCCTTTGGAGCTCGAGTTTGTTTTTCAAAGCCGGATCGACAGGCAGGGCGCGGATTTGGGTCAGAGGGTGCGGTGCTGCGCGCGGCCAAGGCGCGGCTTGCCAGGGGGTCCTACAGTGGGGTGGCTCGTTGGCCAACATGCGCGCACTAGTCTCGCAGAGTGGAGCAGTTGTAAAATTTGTTTGCCTTCGACGCGGCAGCTTGTGTATCTTTTGGCGCGTCTTTTGGAGGAGGTCATGACCGGCCGTATTTCTCGGCCTACGTCTTGTTGTGTGTGATGACCCTTGCGCCGCGAGGCGGGCCGCGCCCCGCCGCCGCCCCGACCGCCCCGGCCGGCCTGGTACGGGTACGATCATCGTCGGAAAAAGACCGAAAGGCCACAATGCCACAATGCAGCGGCAACAACAAGGAGCCACTTGACGCGAGGTAAGTCTCCTCCAAGGCTGGGCACTGGCTGGGCATGGGGCCGTTTGTTACATCCCCGTCGGTCAGTGATATCACCAGTCCGGGACGAGACGACTGGGACAGCCGCGCGGACCCGGCGCTTCATTGACGGCGAGGTTCAGGTTCCGCGAGGTGCGCGTCGAGGTGCGCGTCGAGGGGCCGGGGACGCCGCCGAGAGGGACGGGCACTCATAGAGCGCGTGCTTATTCTTTTGCCCCTGTGATGCAACTGACCGAAGTATGGCCAAGCTTGGCGAGCTCGTCGCGGGATCCGGGTATGACTTCACTGGCCAGCGCGAAATTGGCCATCCAATGAGTAAACCCCGCGCCGAGCGGCAGCAAAAACCCGGCGTGGAAACTTGACTTCGATAGGCACACACTCACACACATCCGTGCCGAATCGCAGATCACACGGTGGCAAGACCCTTTTTATTTTTCAGTCTTTTGCCTCTTGTTTTACAATAAATTATGGTTCGCGCGGCTCTTACTGTGACGGCTATCTCGAGTCGTATAAATCGTTCCATGAAAAAATATGCGGTCATCGGATATCATTCATCTTGGCGGTGGGGCGCCGATGTCTCGGCCGGTGCCGCTATCCGCGCCACTCCACTCCAGCCTTTCCTCTGCAGCCTCCGCTGACTCGCTGTGTCGGCGACATTTCCCGCCCGGCTTTTCCTTTTCCTCGCTTCCTTTTCCTCGCGGCTTTTCCTGCTTTCGTAGTCCTTCCCCATAGGCTCAGCGCGGCACTCGGACTCAACGCACTGGCCGATGAAAGATCGCGGGTTTTGCTATTTACGGGTGGCGTGCCGCCGCATGCTGATGCACGCATAATTCCTCTCCTCGTCGATACGCCGTGCCTGCCGTGCCTACAGTGGCTCGGCGTGACGTCACGGGCGGCTCGCTCATGAAGCCATCAGTCCCGCCATCGCTGGCAGTGTCGCGTGTCGCTCAGTCGTAGCGACGCACGGTCACCTGCTGTCGCACGGCTGCTCACAGCACCGAGGGGGCGCGAGTTCAACTACCCACACTGTTACATTTTATAATTATTAAAAACTTCATTGCTGCAGGGTCGCGCGTATTTGGGATCAATGGACATCGTTCGATCGGCCCTCGAACGTGAATCGCAGTTGCCCGATCGGTTTGACGACGGCGCCCTGGACGTCATCGACGTCGTCCATCGCAAAAGCGCGCGCGATCCTGGCCGAGGCGATGAGACGTCCGATGGGCCGTGATCGCCGTGATCGATGCGCGCATCGATTGCCTCGTAATGACGGCGTTTAGTGTCGCGCGGCGTGTAATGGCCGTGCCCCGCGGCGGGGCGGGGCGGGGCGCTCCGGGTGTGATCACAGCGGCGCGCGCCACCGGCCGCCGCATCACATCGGCTTGCTCATCTCACGCTCGTGATCTACTTTGTGGGCGTGTGGCGTGTGGCGCTGCCGGCCGCGGCCTCAAGCGTCCGCTCGGGCGATGCACTTTGAAACGGACCGCCCTGCGCGGCAGCAGGCAAAGGCAGCAGGGCTGCCAACCCGACTTCTGTCTCTGGCGTGGTGCGTGGTGCGTAGTGCGTGTGGTGGCCACCCTGCCTGTCACCGCTCGCCCCCTCGCCGGCCGGCCAGTCTCGATGTGACCTACGGGCGAATGGGGCTGCGCGCGTGATGCGTGTTGTGTTGTGATTCTGTGATTGTTCGATGACGTCGGTCAAGCGACGGGCTCAGACGGTGTGGTTCCGTATTATGGAGTACTGCCACCTGCTGTCGCCGGCATTCCTCTTGTTCCGATTCAACCTCCTCGTCGATGAGATTCTGGTGTTCCACTATCTGTGCCAACGGAGCAGGGAGGCGGAGGCGGCCCGGGCGCGGAGGCCAGAGGACGACATGCTCGCGGCGCTCTGGTGTCGACAGCGTGGTTGCGGCGGTTGCGGGAACGCCAGTCTGGCGAGGAGGGCGAGTTTCCTGTGGAGGCCCAGCACACCACCACGGTGAGTGGAGAGGAGAGCGGATTGAGCAGGTTTTGCGAGTTGGAGCGGCCCAGCCCAACGGCCCCAATGAATGAGTCGTGTCTGCGCCAGTCTGGGGTTATCAGGCAGTCAGGCACCAAGGCTGTCGTCGCTCCGGCGCACCCAACGCCAGCCAACACCCTCAGGTCACTGGCCAAGCACACATGCATCTGCTGCAACTTGAGCAGTTGTGCGTGTTTGTATGCGTCGATGTTTGGGAAGGGGGGGGGGGCTTAGGGACACGGAACAGACTGAATTCTCTCGACTTGTGTATTACTCCGCTCCTGTATTATCCAAGATACTCGTGAAACATTTTCTGTATTACTTGTGTTGTATTTATTTGTATTTGTCACATCAGCTGCATTATTTGTACGTATTACAGTAAAATCTTGAATTTTGAAACTAATTTGCATTGACCTCATTACCTACGTACACTATATTAATTGGTTTAAACTGTGTAATAACTTTGAATATTTCTAATTTACTTTTCGCTCGGTTCAGGCGAGTCTGTAAACTTTCGCTTTCACCGTCAACATTTTAACTTCTACGAACGCCGGAGTCGGGGAAATTGGCTAGCGGCAGGCAGACTTGACGTTGACACCCCTCGCACCCCAACCCCGCGGCGAGCAAGGGCTGCTGCCGCCCAGGCGCGCATCCAGACTCGATAAAAAGGAGGTTCGGTCGCACATTTTGCCTACGTACAGACGGATTGGATGCCGCATGGCGCAGGCGTTTGATGAAGGGCGAAAGGAGGAGGTCGTGACCCTCGTGAGCCACCCCCTGGATGTGCGCCTGTTGCCGCCCTGCCGCCCCACCCTCGCGGCGTCATGGCGGTGTCGCCCGGCTGTCCTCTCCTTTCCTTATCTTAGGGCAGGTCGCGGCCCCCTCGGCTCGGCGAGGACGGCTCCAGCACTGCGTCGGACTTGGCCGGCCGGCCGGCCAGCGCTCGGCGGCGTCTAGGCGGGGCGGAACGAGGCCCGGCGGGGCACTAGAAGGGACGGGGTGAGGTTAGGGGCATTCTCGTGGTGGAAGTGGGGGGCCGGCGCTGTGCCCCCTCCCCCGGCCGCGCCGTGTTGGGCCCAAAGCAGAGTCGCAGTCTCACCGCGACCATCACGGCACAGAGTTCGGACCCGTTCCCGCCGCGTCCGCCGCGTCCGTCCCGGCTCGTCGCGTTGCCTCTAGTCTTTGCCATGGGCGTGTAGCAGTGGCCGCAGTAGCGAGTAGCGGGGCCCGAGTCTCCCAGTGTGCGTGTTCGGCGTGTTGCTCAGGATGGGCGGTGTGCATAGGGCTGGCCTGGCTGGCCCCCTCGGACAGGACTGCGGCTGACTGAAGCCAGCTGAAGCTCTGCCTGTAGGTGTGCCTCTGTTTGGTGGCCCGGGGTGCCGGCGTCCGCCCACCACCCTCCATTCGCTGTCTCTGCACTGTCATTCCGTTCCCCCGCACTTTACTGTATCGCGCGTCCCGCGACCGCACTTCGCACTGGCGACACGGGTATCACCAGTGGGCCTGTCTCGGTGTCCAGCCGGGGTGCAGTGCGATTGCAGTACCGTTGCAGTGCTGCTGCAGTGGCCGTTGCAGTCATTGCCTTCGCGGCGCCACGCCAGCCACGCCGCCGGGGCGAAGCGCGAAGCGGGCGAGGAAGTCTGGTGGCCGCGCGCCGCGCATGACGTACTGAGGCTTATGGTCCGCTGCTCGCGGCGGCGCAGGCGGCGCACCATGTTTGACGAGCGTCTGTTTAGCATAGCGCCGGCGACTGTCGTCTACTCGCCCAGCCTGCCGCGCTGCCGCGCCTCGTCTGGTCGGGTCCCCTCGGCCGTCGGTGCAGTCATGCAGTGCACCAGGCATAGGGCCGCCTTTCCGCCCTTGCCGGCCCGCCGGCCCTCCGGCCTTGGCGTAGCCTTGGCTTCTCCACGGCCGGCCCGCGGTGGCGGTTCCATGCCCGGCCCGCGGTCCTATCCGCAAACCGGCTCCGAGATAATTCACCGGCCCCACCCCACCCCACCCCACCCGCGCCGCGCCGCGCCCTGCTTAGCGCCGAGCCAAGCCGAGCCCCCCGTCCCCGTGCTTCCGCGCCGCCACGCCGCTGGCTTGGCTTCCCCCTCCACCCCTCACCTTGGCAACGGTTCCCCCTCTCCGCGCGCCGCGGGACCCGACATGTAGAGGGCCCGCCCCGGGGTGAGCTCTTGTCGGCAGTCGTGGCCGAGTGGTTAAGGCGACTGACTAGAAATCAGTTTCCCTCTGGGAGCGTAGGTTCGAGTCCTACCGACTGCGTACTTTTTATGTCGCTTATGACATGTCACTGGCTGTTTCATCGTGTGGGTGAAGTATGACATATGGTACGCTTGCTCTCCACGATAAACTGAGCATAAATTCCCAATCTATTGAGAAAGAGGAACTCGAGAGTGGGCGGCGAGAGAGAGAGAGAGAAAGATACACACATTCTCTTTTCATGAAACAAAATAAAAATCCCAACAAATTTAAATGAAGCCGCCACCATTAGTCTATTGCGAGGCATCTGAAGGTATAAAAAGACGTCCGAATGGCAGTGGCAGACAGAGACAGCGAATGGGATCGGGTATTGGCCTGTTGGGGTGGCCTGATGCCTGGTCCGCTGAGTGACAAATCGATGTTGACGCAGTTGTTCGCCATGAAGGACGAGTAGCGCCTGAAGGAGCCCCACCGACCGTCGAGACCGTCGATATGGATGCGACGCGGGCGAAGCGCTGCCGCGTCGTCGCCGTGGACTCGGCGAGCCGCGCGGGGGCGGTGGCCGGGCGCGGCGCCAGGACGACCAGGACACCGCGGCGTCAGGCGCCTGCCGCCACCAAGCTCAAGTCGAAGCTGCGGCTTAGGATCCCCGCCGTGCCCCTGACTGGCCGCCCCCGCCGCCGGCGCCGCCGCCAGGACGGGCACCGCGACGACGATCTGCACGGCGTGCACGGCCTGCAGGAGCCTCTCCACGACCTGCACCCCACCTGGGCGTGGGGCAGCGGCCGGCTGCGGCGGCGGCAGCGGCACCGGCAGCTGCTGCGCCCCCACTCCATCGGCTCCACCGGCTCCACCGCTTCCTCCTCCTCCTCCATCGCGTCCGCCTCGTCCTTCGCCTCCACCTCCTCCTGCTCCTCCTCCTCCTCGACGTGCTGGTCGTCTACGTCTCCGGAGCCGCCGCAGCTGTCCAGCGCTTCCAGCGCCAGTCCTGACCTCAGCGCCATGGCGCGGCCACCCGTGACGCGGCGCACGGCCAGGATCGCCAGGTAACACTGCGTGCGCGTGTGTGCGTGTCGTGTCGTGTATGTGCGTGTGCTCCCGTTTGTGACTCGCCTGTTTTGGATACTTTCCGCCCGCAGTCATCATGTAAGTACTTTCAGGGAAGCACCGTTCCGGAGAAGGGGTTGGCGGCAGGGAGTGCCCATGAGTGCCGGCCGGCCAAAGTGTTTCCAGCGGTTTCTGCTTTCGCGGCTTTCGCGGGGTCTTCGTGGCGACGCAAAGGGGAAAGGACCGACGGCGCTGATGGTTGGTCGCACCCCTCCCGTCGGAAACCTCCAGTCCGGCAAAACTAGCAAGGCTTGCCTGGCTTGCCCACAGAGCCACCCGCTTGGCCGCGCGTGCCGCCTCGGCGACTGTGTTCCGCCCCCTCCGGATCGAATTCCGTCTGGATTTCCAAGTCTCCTCCGCCGTCAGGTGCGGCGCACTGTGGCGCGGCGTAGTGGCGTAGCGGATTCCTGGACAACAGATGGCGGCGATTGCGGCGCGTGTGTGGGATTGGTGCGATTCGCGGCCCACGCAGTGCCCCGCCACGGGCAGCCACGGGCAGCCACGGGCCTTTCGACCTGACTCGCCGCCGTGCCGCCGTGCGCCGTGCCACGTCGGGGTGGTGGCGGTGAAAGTGGAGACCGTCAATGGGGCGTCTCCCTCTGCTCGGGGAGGAAACCAGCCAGCTTTCCGGCACCGGCGGCGAGCTCGGTGGTGGGGAAGGGGGATGGATTTCGCTGCATGTGCACTGCAGGACGTGCCCTGCGGCGCGCGGAGCCCCGCCGGAGAGCGCGGAACCGCGTGGAACCACGCCGGCCGCTGTCCGTCTGTAGTAGTGCCGTGACGGGCCGTGCCGGTGGTCCGCCGTCCCCACCGTCGCAGTGTCCAGGCGTCCGGGCTTGAGTCCGCGTGCTCCGCGTGTCCGGCGTGACAGTGTGGCAGTCGTTGCGGTCGAGATGCGTCGCTTCGCGGGGCCCTTCGCGGGACCCTTCGGGGGGCCGCGCCGCGCCTTCGGGTGAGTCTGGCAACAGAGTCGTTTTCGTCGCTGTGTCTCCCTCGCACTCGCCGGCTGTCCCGTTAAAGCGCGAGAGAGACAGAGCGACGGAAATGTCTGTCGGATTCAGTCGGCTGGGCTGTCTCTGGACGGCGCGGCGGGGTGTTTGTCTCTCTCGCACTCGTGGGCCATTTGCTATGCGTGCGATAGAGACAGCGAGCAGGGCTGCTGAGGGCGCCAGGTGCACGCGGGGCGTGTGCGAGCGCGGCTAGGCAGCGGGCTAGCGCGCCCCTCTGTGCGCGGTGGTGGCGGCTTTAGCGCCGCGGCTCTATTTTTAGGGGGGCAACATGCATACGCGGCCCGCGGCGAAAAAAATATTTTGGTGGGCAAGTTTTGCGCGTCTATCTGGTTGCCGCGGCGCGGCGTGGCACGGCGTGCCGTGTGTGCGGCCCGATAGGATAGCTATCACTCCTTATCGCAGCGGGCGCATCGCGGGGCGCGAGACCCGAGGCCTCAGTCGCCGTGCTCTGTTCGCGGACCCCGCGCCGTGCGCCCAGCCCTGTCTCCAGCCTAGCCCTCCGAGACGCTGCTACTCCTTGCGTCGCCTAGCGCGGCCCTCAAACCGAGCTTTGGGAAAACATCCATCTTCCCATTCCCCAGCGCACGTTGCCGATCCTGGTCCACAATGCGTAGGTCGCTGGTGGCCGTGCCCCGCTGCAGACTGGCGTGCTGCCTCCAGATGGGCTGCTGGTGCTTCTTAGGGGTCGTCGTGATGAGCCTCCTGGACTAGAGGTACACTTTGTGTCTGTGTGTGTGCGTTGCTGTGCCTGTTGCTTTTCTCTGATTGGTGGACTCGTTATCAATGCGCTTCGCTGCTTCGTCCTCGCAGATAAACCCTGGCTGCGGTCGCTTTTTCGGCGCTCGTACTTGAAGAGAAAAAGATGTTTCTAAAGTTTGTTTTCGGCGGGACCTCCGTAGGGCAGCGAGGCCGCCACCGTGTTGACGTCGTCGACGTGCCCCGCGAGAGAGTCCGAGTTTACGGCCATTGAATGAAAGATTGGCACTACGCCGATGCCGTAGCCGCGTCAGCAAGCCGTCAGCACCGTAGTCCAGAAAGCCGAGACGGCGAGCTGACGGCGCACGCTCCGCCCTGCATGCCCTGCCTGCCCCACCCCTTTCCGCCGCGTTTCTCCTGATTCCACCCCACATCCTGCCCCCTTCCTCCCCTTCCCTTTTCCGGACCGGACGGAAGTCGTTGCGGAATGTGATGCTGGCAATGGTCTGAACGATTGCCCGCGTTCGCGCGCGTTTCGTCGGGTTCCGCTGACCCCAGCGCGACGTCCCTTCCCGCCGGACTGCAGTGTGGGAACGGCTGCCGCGGTCCGCGACGTGTCCGCGACTCCCAGGGCCGCCGGGCCGCGACCCGCCTGCCGTCCCTGCCGTAGTTGGCGCGACCGGCGTGTTTTCGTTTTTCCGGAAAGCGCCGCGTCCTGCGCGAATAAGGGAATGGGATGTCGTTTGTTTTTTCGCGGTGGCGCGCCATGGCGGGGCGGGGCGCGGTCGAGCCGCGAGAAGGCCGCACGCTTGGATGAAAAGTATATCCCGTGCTGTTGTTTTTAACAGCAGGCGGCGCGGCGGGGCCTGGGGACCTTGAGCGGGCCGGGGCATCGCCCAGCCAGGACTCGCGGCCGCGCCGGGCGCCGTGCATTCCCGCCCCGCGCGCGGAAGGCGGCGAAAGCCGAAAGGCTGGCCGCCTGACCGCGGCAGGTCAAGCCTGGTCAAGCCTGGTCAAGCCCCCGCCAACGGCACGCCGTGGCCGCCGCGCTGTCGCTGCTTTGCTCGCTTTGCTGTCGTTTTGGTGGCCGCGCCGTGACTTACCGGTGCGCCGGCCTGCCGCGCTGCCGCGCCTGTCGTGTCCTGGTGGGCCGTGAACCCGGCGCGGCCCGTCGCGGCGCTGCGTGTGCGTATGTTGTGAGTAATGGAGTGCGGCCCGGTCTCGGTGTCTCGCTGCGCCTTGGAGGGGGCCGTAGTGCGGCAGGGCCTCGGTGGCCGCGGCCAGGGCGGAAGGCGGGCTTGCTGGCGGGCCGGCTGCCCGGCTGGCCGCGCCTCAAGAGCGGAAATATCGGCGCGGTCGGGAATAAATTGGCTTTATTGGGGTCGGCCTGCCGGGCCTGCCGGGCCTGCCTCCAAGCCTGCCCCCGGCCTCCTGGCCCACCGCCAAGGTCGGCGTCGGCCGCGACAGCCCCGCCCTGGTCCTGCCGGGGTCCTGCCTGGGTCAAGCCCCCGGGCGCAGCCGTTCCTTTCTGCTGCTTCCGAGGCGCGCCTTTCGGAACAACGGCGCCGGCTGGCCGTCAGTCCATCGCCGCCGCGCCGCGGGCTGTGGGCTGTGGACGGCAGGGGGCGCCGCAAGGGCAGCGGGGTGGCTGTGGCGGTGGTGCTGGTGGTGGTGTGCATCAGCAAACTGATTCCGAGAGTCGTTTTCGTCGCTCTATCTCACTCGCACTTAAGTCTCCAGAGAGGCAGAGCGACGAAAAAGTAGGGAAAACGGCTCTCGGAATGAATCTGCAGGTGCCCGATGCGACCGCTGCCGCCATGGCGGACGCAAAGATGATCGTGATGATCCTGAGCAGCCGGCCGGCCGGACCCGGAATGCAGTGGCGGCCTGGCGGTGCGCTAGATTGGGCACGGCGATGGCGGTCGGGACGCGGGCCACGCGGGCGGCGCTGCGATTGCTAATCACGCGTATCACGCGCACCCTGCGCGGCGCGGCCGCTGTCTGGCTGTATGCACTGCACTGGGGCCAGAGAGGCGCGTGGCTCCGCGTGGCTCGGCGTGGCGCGTGGCGGCGGGCATGGCCGTGTCAACGCGCCGCCGTGGGCGGCCGTGCCAGCATGCCGCACCGCGGGGCCGCGGGGGCGCAACGACTCCGTGTTGGTGTAAACACGGTGCCGGGTCTGCATCAATTAGGCCGCCGAGCTGAAGCTGGCCTTTGGCCGGCGCGCCGAATGAGGCTACGGACCCCGGCGGCGCCCACGGCCTCCTCGACGCAAGGGGTGAGGAGAAGGGTGTGGCGGTCGGACGGACGGGGACGCTGCTGGACGCTGCGCGCGCCACCGCCACCGCTCGCAGGTGCGGATCCTAAGCACGGGGAGGTGGTTTATAGCTTTCTGTCTACTTGCAGGGACAAAGCAGTGCTGTCTACCTTACAGCCGGCCTACCTAGTGTCCAAGGAGGGGGTAATTATCCACATCCCCCTGCCTCCGCTGGATTCACGTTTGACCTGAACGCGCTCGATGTGTCGATGTGTGCTCCGCTGAAATTATGGAATTAGCACACGCACTACGAGCTGCAGGTGGGAGGCGAACGGACGGACACAGACAGGCAGGCGCACACGCAGACACGCACACTCGCGGCGCGCGGTTCGCGCGGTGGGCCTCAGCGGTCCTCCTCTTGGTCCTCCTCGTGCTGTTGGAGTGGGTGTACCAGTACGTACGTACGGCCGGCCGGGCGCGCCGCCTGTCGTTGCCAAGCGTGTAGACGCCGTGCCGCGCCACCAGGTGACATCACGTCCGCGACGAGCGGTGACGTCATGGTCACTTCGGTGCGCCCAACGCCCAGCCAGCCGCCGGCCGGGTGGCGGATGACCCCGCTCCCGCTGCAGGCCGCCAGGATGCCACCAGGATGCTGCCAGGGCCCAGGGAGGCTCGCTGCCATGCCCTCCCTGCAGCACGCAGTCACGGCCATGCAGCCCGTCGCCTTTTCACAAAGCTGCTCGGTGAGGATAGGCCGCGCGGCGAGCGGGGCTGGGACCAGCTAGGAGAGCCAGGACCCGCGGGCTGTCTGGAAGGCGAGGGAAGCCGCCGTGCGGCGAAGTCGGCGAGGCCCCGTCGCCGCGTCTCGTCCCCGTCCTCGCGCGGATTCCGAGGAAAGTGGCCTCGCTTCGGGGAATGAGCGGCAAGTTTCGAGCAGCCCGTCTTAACCCCCCCCCCCCCGGTCCCCCTTCTCGCGGGTGTCGGCAACTGTCGCGCATTGGCTTCGGTCGGTATATCGCGCGGCGGACGCGGCGGGGAGGGGAGGGGGGCAAAAATTAGCAGCCGCTTCGTTCCCCGCGGCGTGGGGTATCGCCGCGGCCCATGGTGTAGGGCCGCGGCGCATGACGCGCGACTTTTGTTTTCGCGGTGGAAGTTTGACCTGGTACACTGTGATGCTTGCAGGGAGCTGTACTCCGCCTGGTCGGGGAGGGTCGGGGCCAGCGCCTACATCCCGTCGGAGAAAGTGCAGCAGCTGTTCAACGACTTGCAGCTCTACCCCTCCAAGTTGGAAGGTGAGTCGCGTGCGGAGTGCGGGGAGGGGAAAGGGGGCGGGGGAGGGGGGGGGAGGAGGCAGCAGCGACCCCCTCATCTGCCCGGCGCAGTATCGCACACCGCATCGGCCCGAAATGATGCGAGGCTGCCGTTTTGGGGAATGACAGAGTGCGCCGATAATCGGAACGCCGCTTATCTCTGGCCGGCTCGCTGTGCTAGAGGCTCCGTCCACCATTTCATGGGCGATTCCATTTCAAGTCGGACAACACAGTGTCTGAGCGCGGCGTGGCGGCAGCATCAACATCCCTCCCTATCGGCGTGCCTGTCCGTGAGTCCGTGCCGCGGGGGTGCCCCGTCCGGCCTGTCCGGCGCCTGGTGCATTTAAGTCTTCCCCGCGCGTGGCCGGCGGCAGTGTGGTGGTGGGCCTTGTCGCGCCTAGAGCCGAGATCGGTATGGCGCCGTGCAGCGAGCAGCAGCAGCAGCGGCAGCAGCGCCCCGCCGCCCGGAGGAGCACGCAGGAGTACGGTGAGCACTCCGATTGGCCAGTCGCGTCGTCGTCGCCGGGCCCTTGTCCACTGCCGCGAAACGCGTTGCGAAACGACGCGAAACAAGATCGACTTGATGGCCAATACGTACATACTGCGCGCGCGCGTGGCGGGACGGGACGAGGTACAGTCCCTGCTGCAGCCTGCAGCGTCGCCCGGTCGCGTGCTGGCGGGGGCCAATGCTGGTGGGGCGTCGCGGCGGTCCGGCCCAGAGCCTGGCGGAGAAGGGCTCTATGAATGAAGCGGCGCGCCTTGGCGGTTGGCGGCATCGGGGCAGCGGCTCGCCTTTCGCTGTTTTGGCTTTGTCGCCGCGGAAAACGCGACAGTGGGCAGTTCTCGGGACTTCCGCCTGACGGCCCGCCCCGCCCCGCCCGCCGGCCCGCCCCGCCACGCCACGCCACGCCACGCCACGCCACGCCACACCTCGCCGCACGTGGCGCCGTGTAGTAAACAGTAAACACGCACGCGCCACTACGGTCCCCGTCGGTCCCCGTGGCCGCCAGTGGCGCAAGCGGTGCAAGCGGCGCAAGTTTGGAAACTGATTCACGGCGTCCTGCGCAGAGCGGCGCAGAGCGGCGCAGAGCGATTCCAAAAAGTGCCTCGTCGCTCCCGTCTCTCTCTCGCACTCTCGTCAGCCCGACCCCCCAGTGGCGAAACCGCTGTTCGGAACGTTCGGAATCACGCTGCTGAGTGGGGACCCTTGAGGCTGATTCCGAGCACTGCTCTCGTCGCTGTCTCTCTCGCGCCCTTGCGGGACGCCCTGCGAGTGGGAGGGAGACAGCGACGAAAGCAGCGCTCGGAATCGGCCAAGCGCGGCGAAGCGCCTGCGTTTCCCGCCCGCTGCGCAGGGCTGAGGACCGGGTTGCCTATCCGCTCTCCGCACGGCGCTCCGCGTCAGCGCCTCGCCGCCAGCGCGGCAGACTCATTCCGAGAGACGTGCTGTCTCTCTCGCACCTATAGGGGACGCCCCTTGAGTGCGAGAGAGACAGAGCGACGGTACAGGCTCTCTGAATCAGTCTGCAGGAGTATGAGTAGTGGTGGTCACTCGCGCTGGAGCGATTGCGGTCGTATGCGAGTCACTCTCCCCGGACCGAGGCGGAACGCGAGACTCGTTCGGAAAGTCGTTTTTGTCGCTCTGTCGCACTCACGTGGCGTCTCGTGTGTTAGTCTGTATTCTGCGACAGAGCAGAGAGCATGCATCGTGGTGCTTCGCAGAGAAGACGAGCCAAGCCCGCCGAATCCAGTCGGTCTGCTGAGTCGCGCCCAGAATCGACTTCTGCGATAGCTCTCGTTTTGGGTACGACGCTCGCGCGGGGGAAACTCGGAAGTGAACGCTCTGAAATGTGTTAATGTGGTGTTTGCTTGATTCCAGTGGTCGAGATGTTGCGGTGCGCCCAGCAGCGCGCCCAGCGCACCGAGCCGGCGTTTCTCACCTACGAGGAGTTCTCCCTGTTCGCCAAGGAGCTGAAGCGCGCAGCAAAGGGGTGAGTTGGTTGTTTTGTCGTTCGCGTGTTGACGCGAGGCGGTCATCGTGGAAATGCAGTGGACGTAATGAGTGTGTGTGTGTAGGGGGGGGGGGGGCGCTTCGCGGGTCGGGGCCAGGTAGGCCGCCAGGTGGGAGCGGCGCTGTGAGAAGTCGTAAGAAAGTAATTATTGGCGGAGCCAGGAACAAGGTGGCTTTGCGGAGGCGGGCCGTGCGTTCCCAGAAGGCTCGACCACTAAAGCGCGGGAGGGGGGGGGGCGATGAATTAGCAAGGCGCTGGCGCCGTGAATTATTGAATAAAGCGCATCGGCGTTCGATGGGTCTCCACTCCACTGCCGCGAGTGGACAGCCTGGAGAGCCGCGCCCCCTCCTTTCCCGGAAACGGCTCGTCGCAGTATTCATCTCTTCCAAGGACTCGGACTCGATGACGGAGGCAGGCTGGCTCGGCGCCTTTCGAGTCTTGTGACGAGCTGGCCGGGCTCGCCTCCTGTCGTCGCGCTCCCACGCCCGAAACGCACTCTTTTCTGGTTCTGGAACGCTGCGAACTCGCACCGTGGCGTTGATAGCCGAGGCACAAAGTGCCCCCTCCCCCTTTTTTCAGGCCACGTGACCTTCCCCGGCCCGACCTTTGTTTCACTTAGACCCGATATGAGTGCCGAGCAGCGAGCAGTGCGGCCGACGCGAGCCAACGAGACGTCACCCCGATCTTGAGGCCGCGCGTGTCACCGCCTAGCCTCCGACTGGCTTGAATCGCACGCAGCACGCACCGCGCACCGCGCACCGCGCAGCCGCCGTGCAGCATGTAGCGGCGGCCATGTCGGCGGCCATGTCGCCGGCCGTCCCCAGGCTGCTGCCGCCCTTGCTGCTCGCGCTCGCGTGCGTCTTGGTCTTGCTCTCGGCGGCGGCGCGCGCGCACGACTCTCTCGACGCGCAGGGCAGTAGCGCCAAGTCTGAGCCGCGGCCGCCGGCCCATCGCCTGCCCGCCCATCGGCTGCCCGTCACTGAGCGCCGCCGCCAAGCCGCCAGGTACTTTTCCGTCTGCGTGGGCGTGGAGGGCACGGCACGGCACGCGTCGGTGACTTCGGTTGACGCCCACCCCGCCGACCCCGTAACGCCGTCTCCCTCTTTTTCGAGCCTGCGGGGGGAGGGGGGGGGGAACTTCCGCGCTTCCGGCCGGCCGCCGAGCCGAGGCAACAGGGAAGGCCTGTTGCCGCGGACACATGTCGTCGTCGTCGTCAACCCTGTCATCCACTAGGCCGGCACTGATGGTGGCGCCTTTGCTTGCAGGATCTCGTGGACGTCGCCGCTGTCGCTGGACCGGGATGGCGAGGACACGAAGAGGAGCAGGACGCGGCGGAGGACGTCCAGTAAGTGATTGGCTTTGGTTTGTCGCACTCGCCGGCCGCGTGCCCCGCGTGCCGCTGCCGCTGCACCGCGATGGTACACTGGTACACTGCCTATCGGTGGCGCGGCTCGCTCGCCTCTCTCGCCTCGCACCTGCCCGAGCCAGCCGAGCCGAGGGACCAAACACGTAAATGGTTTCGTCACGTCCGGTCGCTCGTATTTTGAAGCGCGGTGCCCGCGGCTTGCCCGCGACGGGGGCACGCGGACGCGAACGCGAACGCGGCTTTGGCTACGCAGCTGTGCGAGGCAAGGAGGCTAGAGGTTGTGGGAAGGGGCGGCGGCGGTGGCGGTCCCGGGGGTGGGGCTGTGTGGAGGGGGAGGGGTGGTTACAAGGCAGGCGCCGTCGCGATGGCGCTCCGCGGACGACGACGACCTCCCTAGTGCATTTGTTGATGTGCACACGGCGCTCTGTCATGGTGCGATGCAAAAAGGGAGACCTGCGTCAATTTTTTCGTCCCCCGTTCCCCCGAGGTGAGTGGCAACGGAGGGCTGTCCTGCACCGTCGTGTGTGGCTGTAGGTTAGGTCGCTCCGTCGCACCCACAGGCAGGCTTGTTTTGCCTTGCAGTGATGCAGTTAGTTGATGACAGTGGAGTCGGCACTTAGACAGGACGGCGGGCCTGGACGCGACCTTGTGGTGGGGTCACTCTGGCACACCCTGCTGAGGCTGGCATAGCTCATTTTCTGCTGACACGGTTGTCACTAGTTCGCTGAAACAGTGCTGTCAGCATGGGAACTGCAGAACGAGGCGTGGGCAAGCTCTATGCCCTAGTGAGTTTGGTGTTAGTTGTCATCCACATTCATGGTTTGTTTTGCTTTGTTGCAGCGCGGTCACCTCAAGTATTCTTGGGAGGCTCGTGCAATCCTACGACCTGGCGGCAGGATGTCGCAATTCCTCTTCTGCAGGATTTGGATATTACATTTTACAACCCGGTATGTAGGATGTGGATGCTGAATGCTTTGAGTATTTTAACAGTCTCTTGGCCAATAATCCCTCTTTGTTTCTTTTTCCTTGCAGCAAGTGTCAGATTGGGCACCTGAGCTGATAGAGAAAGAACATTTTGCCAAGACAAATGCAGAAGTTCTTTTCTTTGTGATAGATAATCAGACAAGGAACACTGCTTCGACTGTTGAGGTAGCATTTTATTCAGGACTGAGAAAACAAAAATTAGTTTTAGTTGTACATCCATACCAGTCATCAGGAGCAAAGATTGCAGGAGAAGAAATCCTTGATGAGTAAGTACTTGAGCCATCTTCACAGATTTTTATTCTCCTGTTGAGTTTCTTGCATTATTTATCGGTTATTTCATGATTTTCCCAGTGAGTGGAGAGATCTTATCAGCAGCCAGCGGGTAATGCAACTACTTGCTGAAAGGCAGGGCATGCCCTTTTTCTCAAACATCCGCAATGCTATTGATGGCATTGACAAGGTTTTGAGAGAAAAGGTACCTGCTCAAGAACTGCAGTCAGGGAAAAAAGGTTTAACCCAGATAAATGAGTCAGGTAAAGTTGCCCATTTTAATGTTCAAATTGATTCACTATGAGTTAATTAAACCAGTGTTTTAATGGCTTTTTTTGTTTTGTTTTTCACTTTTCAGGTGTATTGGAAAAAGAAGCTAAAGAAAATGTCCCTGTCAACTTTGATCAATTTAGTGCAAGTGTTGTGGATCCTAAATCAAATCAAGAAAGTGAGCATTTTTTGTACAACGATACGCTTGGTACAGTTGGTGTTGGGCCTCATTCACCCTCTGAATCATCATCATCATTAGGTTCTTCTAACAGGCCTTTCTCTGAGTCTGCTCCTGTGCCAGCTACAGATTATGCCTCAGTTTCTGTAGCAGATAGTTCGAGGAACACAGCCTCAAATTCTGATCTCATTTCTTGCTCGGTTGCTAGCAACGCAAACAATTCTGTTTCTGGTTCAGATTGGGGACATGTATCTCTGTTCCAAGCTGCAACTGTTTGGTGCGGCTCAATTCTTTCTGTATTAACACCTTTCGGCAGGTTCTTAGGTACATAAACCTTAACAGCATGCTCATAGTTCATACCACATTTCTAGTAGTTTTTTTTTAAATCTATTTTTGTGCAGTATGCTGTGACACTTCTTTTCCTTAAAGCTGTTCGCTCTTCACTTGAATAGAAATTTACATAGCTGATGATTGCTGCTAATACACTCCTGATTCATGAGACAAGGGCACCTTTATCTTGTTCCTGCTTCAATTTTTTTCTGGATGTTTGCATGTGAAAATAATAAAATTAGTAATTTCTGCATTTCTTTAGTCTGTAGGTCCCTTTGACCTACGCATTTGCCTTTCTTGCACATGAGACACATTGTTGTTGAGCTTTTAAAAATGCATTCATTATTCATAAAACCAGTGTGTGTTGTTGTGTACAGCCTTGCTTGTTGTTGTGAATACTTTCCTTTGTTTCCATTTTTATTTTTTGTCTAGTTGCCTTAACTTGGTTAATTTTAGCTACCATTTTAATAATCTTTCACTGTTGCAGGTAGAAATATTTCATCCTCAAGGCCTTTGAAGTCCTCATCATCAAACCAGCAGCCTAGCTTTGATGTGTGTCTCTGTGGAGATGAGGTTGCAGTTCCTCTTCTTAAGTAAGGGACTTTCTTTTCCAAATTATTGATGTAAGACTGTAATTTAGAGAGCTGTGATTTTACAAGCTGTTGTCTGTTCTAGGAAACATGGCTTGAAGTATGTTATACCTCCTTCTAAGCAAACAGACTGGACCAAACAGATGCTGCAGTCCAATGTAACTATTGCAGACAGGAGCAGAGTTCTTCTGTTCATCATAACAGACTCCTCTCGAGCTTTAGCTGAGCTGTGTTTGGTATGTTTCCCTTTGCTTATTAAAATGCCATTCCCGGGCCTGAAACTATTTTGAACTTATGATTGCTGTTTCCAGGCTGCATATTACATTGGACTTGACTACAAAGTAGTGCTTTATGTGGGTCTCCTATCAGAAAAATCTATCATAAATGGAAAGACGGTATGGCCATGAATGAGTTTAGACTGTAATTTTCTAAAAATGATCTAAAGTGGGCATATTTTGATTTCCTTGTATTTTATTTTCAGTTATCAAATATTGCAATCAAGGAATACAACCGTGGTCGCATGTACCTGAGGGACTTAGCTGTACGACAAGGTGTGGATGTATTAGACTCTGTTTCTGCTGCTGTGGAGGTTGCCGCCCGAAAGTGCATTAAAACAAGTGCAGCTCGTTAGAGTTTTTGTTGTGATCCATGGTTTTTACAAGAATGGAAGTTGTGGAGTGGACCTGCACTATGTTTCTGAGGTGGCTGGATTTTATCAATGAGGAGAAGGGAGGGGAAGGGGAGGGCAGAGGGGAGAACAAATACAACTCCCTTTATTTCAACAATCATGTGCTTAAAATCAGACATCTTAATGTGTTTTTTTTGTTTGTTAAGATGTTGTGAATTTTAACTGATGCTTGAAACAGATTTCTTCTGTGATTTCAAAAATGTTATTCCTCATGTTTGGAACATGAATTAAAGAATTTCACATTTTGATTGAGTGGGAGCATTTATGAATGTTTGAATGGTTTTTAATAATTTATTGCGTTTATGTAAACTGTGTGCCTGTGATTTTGTAAATTTGTGTGTGTCTGAGAGAGTGAATGTGTGTGTACATATTACGCTGAATTGTGCTTCTGTATTTGAGTGAAGCATGCATGTGACAAATGTGTGTTTATGGGAATGAACTCAAAAAGAAGCCTGATTCAGGATATAACAGCTTATCATAAGTAATTGTATTTAATTAAGAGATGTTTAGTGTATATTTTTTTATATTTTTCCAAATGAATTTGACTTATTGTTGCACATGAAACAATTTTGCTTGATATTTTTTAAAAAGATGCATACCTTTGTGAGCCAGTTAACATAATGCAGCTGTCACAGTCACAGTGCAGTGTTGTCAATCAATTTGGATCTGAATCCTGTCTGTAGTCTTTGGGCCCACTATTTTGAACTTTTGTATTAGTTGCCCTAATGTGTTAATAATGCATTTCTTCAATTGTAAGAGCGCTAGGCATTTTGGTTTTCACTTGTGACCAAGTGTGATTTCTTGTGTAATAAGTTGGAATTTTACGCATCTTGAAGCCATGTGACATAGTCATTTTATTACTGTGTAACATATGCAGGCATGTCTATGGTTTTGAGTGGTCTCCCAATATTCTTGTAGAATCATGACCAATTAGTGTCTTTTTAGTGTTGTTTCTAAAGCTCAAAATGAAGATCATGGGCATTGGACCTAAAAGAAACCTCTCTGCTCTGCTTAGAGTAACTTTCTCTGTTATTTTTTTCTTCCAAAAGTTTTCGCTTTAAGGCATTTGTCAAATTCACATGCAGACTTTAATATGGCTCTTGCCATGTCTCTGCATTTTATTTTCTGTTAAAATTAATGTTATTCTTATTTATAACAATGAAATGCAATGAGTTTGTCATGACTCCTGTTTTAATTTAGTAGCCAACCTATGCAAGTTTAACCAAATGTCTGTTTCTAAAACTCAAATCATAGTTCATTGTTATTTATTAATGGTTAACCTTAGTGAATCAACCAACAAAAGGATAACATGCAGACTAATGGTATTCTGCTCTGTAATCACTCACATGGGGATGCTGTGTTAAAATGATTAAGGCTTTTATTGTTATGATTTACTAGCAGAGTCAGGAACTCCACGTACTGCTTTTGTGTGGGCAGTTTGCTTTTGCAATTTTTGATGTGCTTTCCTCTTCGATTTTTGTATCTGAGGAATTTTAATCCCAAAAAAGTATGTGGTGTTGTTGACTTAACTAGGACTTAAACTCTGTGATGGATCTGCTGAGCCCTCCAAATGGAGCTTGACAGTTAATGTAATTCATGTGTAATGGCAGATCTTGCCCGATTTGATTATCTTGTGATTCTTGGATTTTGAGCAAAGTGGATGTCACTGATAACTGAAAAATTTTACTTTTCATGTTCTGACTCTAACATTTTTATATTGCAAAAGAGCTTAATTTAAATGATGACTTTCAAGAGTGCTCACATTGTTATTTGTTGTCCTCGTTTTAAGTTTAAATATCGGTAAAAGAAGACCTCAAATTTCTGAAATTTATTATTAGCTGATGTATTTTTATGTTATGTTCTCAGAATGTATGTGAAATTTTCCCATTCTGTGATTGTGTTAATTATGATCTAATGGCTTTGCCACTCTTGAATCCTTTGAATCATTATGGTATCTGTTACACTGTGATACACTGGCACAACATGTCATCTTACAAACAGAACTTATTTATTGGTGGCATTTGCCAATAGGATGCTGATAGGCTTTTGGAGTATGACTCTTTGGTTTTCAACTGGTAATTCAAATTATTAGTCAGCTAATTTGTTTTTTACAAACAGTATCATGCTTGTATGTAGTCAAGGAAAGTTAATGAAGTAATGCGGAGAGGTACTGAAAAGGGTTAACTGATGTATTCTACCATTCTTTTTTTAAACAAATAAATTACCACTTCTTAGCTTGGCTGTGCAATCTTTGCAAAGCATTGAATTTCACAAAATGCTGTGTATATTAATCTATTTGTACATTAATAAAGAGCCCCAACTTTTGATTCAAAATATAAACACTGGTTGGTTTCTTTTGTCCTAGCATCACCATTCACCACATTCGGAAGAATTGACAACCCACTTTACCGTAACTGCAGGTCTTGTCTCAAGTAACTTGTGGTACTTCCCCATTTCCAGCCAGACTAGACTACGAGTACGAATCCCCTCCCCCTTCCCCCTCTTCCTCTTTGATGCGTTGCGTAAAGTTTCTCATCCAGCCTTGCAAGGCGAGGACCTGACGTCATCCCGTGACGTCAGGTAAAGTGTGTTGTTGTTTTGTGTTGGTTGCCAAACCCAGAAAGCAGATTAGCCTGATCCGGCTTGACGGGGCCGTTTCCCGGATAAGGCATGCCACGTTTGAAGTCAGGCCGGACATAGTGAAGCGACAGAAGTCAGGCCGTGTCCAGTAATCTTCACCTCATCATGACACTACGTGGAATAGGACCTAGCACTTTTAAACGTGCCCGGTAAACACAACCTATTTTGACTACTCACTGAATAACTGAAAAAAATTCTTTGATTTGATGAGTTGCGCTCTATCGGTGTACAGCTGTCTGCTGTCGGCTGTTCACTCTAGCTCAAGCTGTTTGAAGTTGTCCGACTGAGGATCCTTGTCCTGCCATTCTTTTCTTTAATTGTTTCTTTGATTCTAGATCGTCATCCATATGGCAATTGCCTTTTAGTATTTCTACTGGGTTCCATGAGCCTTTACGAGTAACAAGGGCATATTCTTCTCACCACAAGGAACACACTCAAGATGGATACGACTCAAACAAAGCTGCTCTCGCTGCTGGGGTCGGAGCAGCATTTGTTGCTGGTTCTCTGTTTTACAGTTTTTACACAGGTCAGGATCTTTCAAATATCATAGTATATTTGTAATGGAAAGTAATCAGCTGCAGTGTGGCCTTGTTTTGTTGTGTTTCAGATAAAAATCAACACGTTTTGCAGGCTAAATCAGACCCCTCTAAAAAGTCACCAGTTGAAACAAGACCAGATCTGCCAGTGTATACCCTTGATGAGGTGATGCAACACACCTCAAAAGAAAAGAGAATATGGGTGACTTATGGTCAGGGAGTGTATGACATTACAGAGTTTGTGCCGCAACATCCAGGAGGATCGGAAAAGATCTCGATGGCTGCTGGAACATCTATAGAACCATTTTGGATGCTGTATGGTGTCCATAAGAGTCCTAATGTTCTGGCCATCTTAGAGAAATACAGAATTGGTCTGTAATCTATTCAATTTTCAGTTTAAGTTATTGAAATTCTAAGTCTTGCTTTCAATTAAATTTTCCGTTCAGGGAACTTATCTGCTGAGGAAGCTTCTGAGGCAACTGCTAACATGGAAGACCCATATGCCAAGGACCCCCGCCGACATCCTGCTCTAAAACCATCTTCTACAAAGCCATTTAATGCTGAGCCACCTCCATCTATTCTTGCAGATAGCTTCATCACTCCTGTGTAAGCTTTGCATTAATATCTTACTTCATTCATATTCATATATCCTTCACAATTCTTCATTGTGGTGCAAGTCAATAATTGTTTATCATTTTCAGGGATCTATTTTATGTCCGCAATCACTTACCAGTACCTGACATAACTGAGAAAGATTATAATTTAGAGATAAATTTCAAAGGCAAGGACTATACCTTCTCATTGAATGATCTAAAAAAGAAATTTGAGAAAGTCACTATTACAGCTGCAGTAATGTGTGCTGGTAACAGACGAGGAGAAATGACTCAGGTTAATTAAATATTGACCATTCATAAACACTTTATTCAAGGAAGCCCAAAGAAAATGTATTACATCATATTAAACTTATTTTACTTCCAGATCAAACCTGTCAAAGGTTTAAACTGGGGGCATGCAGTCATAGGAAATGCTACATGGTCAGGCCCAAGACTCAGTGATGTTTTGAAGTACATTGGTGTGAAGGAAGAAGACCCTGCCATTCAACACATTCAAGTATGCATTAGCAAATCAATTCAATATAAGGAATGTATGGAAAACTAAAAATACTGAGAGGAAAATTATTGACTTTTTCTTTCTTTCATTTTCTGTAGTTTGAAGGACTCGATACAGATGTTGCCAATGTCCCATATGGGGCCTCAATTCCATTTGAGAAAGCAATTGACCCGAAAGGTGATGTGATCTTAGCATATGAAATGAACGGTGAACCTTTACCTCGTGATCATGGTTACCCTGTTCGTGCTGTTGTACCTGGTGTTGTAGGGGCTCGAAATGTCAAGTGGCTTGGTAAGTTGTCTGTTTTTTCCTAGTTTGATGCACTCTTAATTTTTAAGATATTCAGCCTTTAAAATTTAATCTATTTAAAATTTTTCTAGGTCGAATTGTAGTGTCTGACGTGGAGAGTGATTCTCACTGGCAGCAAAATGACTATAAAGGGTTCAACCCAAGTGTTGACTGGGACACTGTTGACTTTAAGAAAAGTCCAGCTATACAAGAGCTACCCGTGATATCAGCCATTTGTTCACCTGACAGTGGATCTGTCATCAAACTGAATCCTAATAATTCTATAAGTCTGAAAGGTAATCAATTAATGACCTATTTCTCCTAAACAGCTGAGGTGACCCATTTGCTTTATACATTTGCTTTTGGCGTTTAAGGATACGCCTGGTCAGGCGGAGGCCGCAAGATTGTAAGAGTGGACGTGACAGCAGATTCAGGAAAAACTTGGTATTCAGCTGATATTACTGATCAAGACACAAGAAAAGAACCTCGTCATTGGGGTTGGTCCTTGTGGTCCATTGATGTTCCTGTGCCCAAAGGAACAAGTGAGGTAAATTCCTATGGGTCCTTCTGCAACTTGATGACTGTCCTCCTTACACTGCAAATTTTTTTTTCACCTGCTTCATTGGTTACTAGGTTGAACTGTGGGCCAAGGCTGTGGATTCTTCATATAATACTCAACCGGAGACTTTTGCCAATATTTGGAATTTACGCGGAGTACTCAGCAATGCATATCACCGAGTCAAAGTGAAAGTTGCTGCATAAATACATTCAGGCATCCAGGCAACTATCAGCCTGAAGGTTTTTAAGTTTAATCAAGTTGTACTTTTTACATAAGTTTTGTTTTTGAATATTTTCCTTTTATATATGTTAGAGAATAAAATCACTTGCCTTTTAAGTGCTTATTGTCTAACAACTTTTTTTCCACATAATTTTACTGTAATTTCCCTTAAAATTAGGTAGACTTTGATAATTTGCCATTAGGGGTCACACTATTAGAAATAATTAATGGATAATGCTGAGTTTTCCTTTTATTGCAAGAAAATAAAACACGGTCAGCATTCACACTTAATAGTGTACTCACACTCCACCCCCTTATTTTCCAAAAGGAAAAATAAATTAGTCATTATGAAAATAAATAGAGCTGAACGTTACCCGCGGTACTATGATCTAAAGAGGGGCACAATGCAATGGGACATATTTTACCTTTTGATTGGTTGTTAATGAAAAGACTAAGCAAAAAGCAGTGACAACGACAACAATAGAGATAAGATGAATTTTTAAGCCCAAGTTATTCTATCACAATTGTATTACAATAAATACAGACAAATAAAATGAGGACCCAAAAGTAGCCTCTGTTATCACAGAAACACGGCATCTCTTCAGGAGATGGATAGAACACTCCTCAAACACTCGAAAAAAAAATCAGCTCTTACTGTCATCAGTCAAGAACTTCTGGAGATGTACCTTAGGTATGTTCTTCAAGGAAGATAAAGAGTTACAAAGCAGCTATAAAATGGTTTAAGTTTTACAAAGAGCAGGAGTCTAAAAGACCTTTTTGTTTCTTTGTGGAAGGATGGATTCCTTTGCATAATTGAAAAAGCTAAGCAAGCCATATTTCTTTCCTCTTCTTGAGAAATAATTACTGACAACATCATTATCTGAAAAATGAATTTAGGCAGATTAAAATTGACACATCTAAACAAGAATGGGAGAAGAAGAAAAATTAACTTGAAAAGGGAACTTACTTAAAAGGGGTGTTGTTTCTGAATGCGTCGGGAGTACGTTTTCATTGGCAGATAATGATACAAAAAGGGCAAATGGGACTAGCCAGAGACAAAGGGTGAAATACCCTATCACCTGTAGACAGAGAAGACAGAGAAAAATATTTTAAATGTCAGAAAAAAACATAACAAAAGTGTTGATTCATTATGAGCTTACCTCAGAGAAAGGATGGTAGACACTTCCAAAATAGCTAAAAGCTAAGTAGTGATTCACTACCAGCATTATTATCGCTAATAAAAATTGAGGGGAACTCAGGACCACAACAGGGAAAGAATTCAGTATAAGGAGATGAGTGAGATGTGCCAGTATTCCACAGGCATTCATAGAAATTGGAAATTCTTCAAAAAGTATAAAACATACATAAATAACTAAGGAAATCTGGAGCGAAACAAAAAATCAAAACACCATGACTATCGTCAAAATAATTGGCACTCTGTTAAAATCAAGGAATGAGTGGTCAACAAATACATACCACTGACATCCACCATATAACCTTCTTTGAAGCTACAGTGTACTCTTCTACAATTTCCGCAAGGTAGTAAAGTCCAGCGGCTGTACATAAAATAAACGATTAGAAAGGGGCGATAGCCACGAAAGTATTCGAAGTAGACAACTGGTTCTTTTGGTCATGACAATTAAATATCCGTCAACCTTTGACAAGTTCAGGCAAAATAATATGACTGAGAAAGCAAAGCAGTTCATGCTTATTTTAGAAAAATTAATAGACAAATGCAAATAACCTTACCTATGGATATGACAATGAATAAAATTTGTACAAAAAATGCCACATAACTTAATAAATACAAAAACCACATGATAATTGTTAATTAAAATTAGAAGTTGGAACAAAATTACGAGAGAGACTTGTTGGCTTTACTGCACTACAAAATAGAAATCGGCATAATTCCTACTGCTAGGAAATTTGCAAACACTTCAAAAACAGATGACAGTGACAGTTTTCGAAAGTCCGTAAATTTCTCATAGGTGATGGCTGTACGGGCGGGTCCATGTCCGTGTCAATAATCCCTGGTAAAAAAAAAAAAATTCAGATAGTCCCTCCGCAATGACCATAAGGGTCAAACATAAACTTTTTTTTTCAATTTTAAAAGTCTGTTGGCCGACTGAGGAATCAAAATCGTCAAGCTGCTTCTTAGAAATAAAGAGCTGCACTTCTCCCATGTAGGGAATTTCTGCTCCTGCATTTGCCCGTCCTCGGGCGATGCTTTCCGGTCGGCACGCTAGAGGGCGCTCCTGACCAACAACGGTCCAAATTCGCGAAATCGACGCACAATCTTTTCAAATTTGACCCTCATTGAAGATTTGGGGAAACTATTTTATGTATTATTCTATCCATACCCTGTCTGCTGCGAATCGGAACGGTTCGGACATCACCCAAATCTTTTCTCAGTCTTTGTGCATTAGGACGGGAAAGGTGGGGGTGGAGGGGGCGATCAACCGCTGGAAATACGCAATGTTGTTGTGGCTGTTGTGAGAAGCATCTGGTTGGAGTCTGTAGAAAATGCCTGCATTCCGATCTCGTGTTGGCGAAACAAATCGTATTTTGTCAGCAAGCGGGCTGCTCGGAGGGCATTGGAAGAATTTGAGCTCTTGAAGCTTATGAGTGAAAGTGCCAAGATCGACGCGAAGATAATACCATGGACTCAACAGGTCGGGAAGAAGGGCTTCCTTGGTCCGTTCGAAAAATCCTTGAAGTTAAGACCAAAGTTGTGTGGTGGAATAATGGAAAGCACTTCGTTTAGTGAATGCCCGCAAAGTGCTGAGCTGTTGTGGTGTCCAGGCTCCTCTAAACGTCGTTTCGAAGGTGCCTGCCAGATGCTGGAAGGCTTGGCCTGGATATGTTCACATCAGGATGGACTTTCTAATATGGATTTTTTTTTGTCAGTCGATGCCTTAACACTTTATTGACAGTGTTTAAATGACTCAATGCCATTGGCCTCTTCACTGAAGAACAATGCATCCCATCAGGCGGCGTAAAAAACGACCCAACTATGGTGTTCGAACTGTGGAGGTTAGTCGTGGGAAGAATGGATTCGGATTTACCATATCAGGCCAACAACCATGCATTCTGAGTTGTATTGTAAGTGGTAGCCCAGCTGAAAGTGCTGGGTTGAGAGCTGGTGACTATCTTGTTGCTGTGGATGGAAGAAGTGTCAGTAAGATGCCTCATGATGATGTGGTTCGACTCATTGGTTGTTCCTCAGGCATTCTGAAACTGCAAATTGCAGAGAATTACTACTCCGACAGTTCTGATGATGATGTCTTGCCTGTAAGGCCTAAGCCAAAGTACTCACATAAGGGTCGAGGAAGTGGTCACCAACAGCAGCAACTCACGCCTCGTCAAGGAGCTGGGCCTAATCAGCAGAATCGTATTGCAAAGGTAGTGCACGATTTGAGGACAGGAGCCATGTTTGAAGAAAGCTTAGTTCAGCCATCAGCCTGTGTCATCACTGACTGGAGCCCTCCGCCGAATGCGCCCACTCCTCCTCCAAGGGCTTATCAACAACTCCCATCTGAAGCGGAAGATGTTGAGCTTCATCAGTTCATCATTGGATACTTGGGAACCATTGAAATACCAAAGCAACTTCAGCCAGGATCCAAACTTCAGGTATAAACAACTTTCAAACCTTTTCTTTGGAGACCTAAATGCACGAGGTGGTCAAGTTCAGCTCTGGTGGAAGCTAATGCAATTAAAAGTCGTAGATCCATGTTTGTCCCTCATTCCCCCTATGTTCCCACTTCAATTTCAAACCTAACTTACCGTTAAAATGTTCTGTACAGATTGTATGCGCCTGCGTGCGCAAGCTGCGTGCCGAGAAGCGTGTGCCCACGCCCGTGGCGCTGCGGGTGCTCGCCGACGCCATCCGCCTGGTGGACGCTCGCGGGGGTGGCGACGGCCAGGGCCAGGGCGGCCAGGGCGCGACGCTGGCGGAGTACCCCGCGAACCGCGTCCTGTTCTGCGGCGGCAACAGCGGCAACAGCCCCGACGGCGACCGCCGTCACTTCGGCCTGGTGACGTCAACGCCCGCCCTGGCCGAGGCCGCCGAGGCCGAGGAGCCGGCCGAGCAGCAGCCCTCGAGCGCGTGCCACGTGTTCGCCGTGGACGCCAAGCAGGCCCCCCACGAGGAGCACGCCGCGCGCGCCGCGGCCCTCAACATCGACTGCGGCGGCGGGGCGGCCCAAGCCGAGTGCGCGGCGTTCCCGAGGACGTCGGAGCCCGTCCTGCGCGCTATCCAGCGCCTCTACGCCGCGGGGGCGGCCGAGGAGGTGGGCCGGGGCGCCGCGGGTCTGGGCGCCGCGTCGCCGCACCCCAGCCTCGCCGGCTCGGCCAACTCCAGCAACAGTGACTCCGGCATCGGCTTCCGGGACGACAGCGGCCACCAGTCGGACCGCCACGACCCCCTGGGCATCCTGGTGGTGGACATGGAGCACGCCAGGCTGCAGGGCCTGGGCGGCCTGGGCCTCGGCCATCCGCCGCTGCCCGTCATCCCCCTCCCGGACAGGAGGCTCGCAGTGCGCGCCATGCCGGACCCACAGGTGAGCGTGCTGCCGTCGCCGAACCTGATGGTGGACTTGTGGTGGTCCAAAAGGGTGCGGTTGTCTGAACTTGGCTCGTCTGTCCCAGGAACTGTGCTGCCCCGTGGAAGGGGGCGCTCGCTCTGCCTCCGCGGACGGCGTCAACAAGACGGACAGCGCCAAGCGCGCTTCCCGCGCGACGCACGAGCGTGACCTGGACCGCGAGCGGGCCTGCTTCGCCAGCCTGACGAGCGTGCCCGGCGTGGCGCACTCGGCGGACGACCTCAGCGACCTGCTCTCCTACAAGCTAAGCCCCAAGGTGTTCGGCGGCCCCATTGGCGTGCCGCGCGTGCCACACGTGCGCGCGTCGCAGGCTTGCCACGCCACGCACAGCCTCGAGGACCTGACGCTGGCCGACCTGGAGCCTCTGGACCTGGACCAGCACCCCGTGCTGTCCATGTCCGCGCGCCACCTCGGCGGCATGTCCACGCCGGGCCACATGGCGGGGCACTCCGGCATGGCCGGCATGGCGCACTGGGGCGGCATGTCCGCGCCGCTCACCGGCAGCCTGCAGGAGCTGCGCAGCTTCGTCCTGAGCTGCTACGAGGAGGCCGAGCCGCAGTCCCTCAGCGCGTCGCTGCACGCGGCCCGGCCCGCCACGCACGCCGCGCGCCCCGCGCACGCCGCCATGCGCCCACCGCCGCAGCCCCGCTACCGGCACTCCCGGCACTCGGCGTCCGCGTCCGCGCTCAGGGCGGCGGCACCTCTGGCGGTAAGTACGACTCGGCACACGTCTCCCGGCCGCCGCGTGACATTTTTCTTGAAGTGGGGGACGGGGGGACAGGAAGGGGCGCCTCGTGGCTCTGGCCGGCCCACAGGCTGCTTCCGAGATTGGTTTCCGTCGATTTGTCTCTCTTCCTCTTTTGGGCCGTTGAGTAGCGCACAAGAGTGACGGAGCGATGAAAACGACTCTCGGGACCAGTCTGCTGGGGCCGCGGCCCCGCGGCGTTGGGGCAAGGGGAAGACGGAAGCAGCAGCACCATGCACCACGGCCGGCATCCGGGCGGGGAGGGGCGGGGCGGGGCGGGCGCAGACGGGCGGCGCGTGATGCCGGTATCTAGGCAATCAGTTTCCACAGACCGCTGCGATGCCATCGGAATGCACGATGGGGACTACACTGTGAAGGCTGGAAGAAGGGATCGGACTGGTCGGGGGACGCAGGGAGCTCCTCGCACCGCCAAGGAGCGCGCCCATTATTGAATGGAATTTGGCTGCGAGCCTGCGAGGCTCGTGGTGGCGGTCACATGACGGCCGGGGTCGGGCAGGCGGCGGGCGGGCTCGAGCTGTCTGGCTGGCGCCTGCTCCGCGCGCCGCGCCCTCCCCGCTTTGCCGCTGTGCCCCGCGACGGGCCGGACGGCATGTGCCCGGCGCCTTGCGCTGCCTTTGCCTTGAGCGTGATGTGACTCAGGCCAGGCCGGCCGTGCCCCGTACCGCCGCCATGCCTCGGCCATGCCGCTACCGCGCCTTGGCTGCAGCCGCAGCAACGCGCCGATGCCGATGGGATCGGCCTGTCAGCCTGACTCAGTCACCGCGTCGCGTCCGCGCGGCGCGTCGCAGTCCAGTGCGGGTGGCGTGGCAGCAGCACGCAGGCGCCCACGCAGCGGCGCGCCGCCGGCCCCGGCTCGGAGGCACCGCCAAGTCCGCCGTCACGGTCCCGGGGGCCTTCGCCGGCTCCAGCGTCGTCGTTACCCCGCGTCGCGTCCGTCGCGGAGACTCCATGCTGCAGAATGCTCGCCGACGGCGTGGTGCTGGAGAGGCCTCTAGAGAGCCCCCGCCTCCCCCGCCGGGCCGCCCCCAGCCACCGCTCCGTCCGCCTCACTTCGCGAGTCTGCGTGGCGGTGGGGGCGGGCCCCAGGGGGGCGGCGAGTCCCGTGCCGCCCCCAGCGGCAACCGTGGTGCCTCGGGGGCGGGTGATACGGGGGCGGCAGGCCGGCCCTGTCCATTGGACCTTCTCCGTGGCCGTGGCCGCCCCGCTGTCGCTGTGGTCCTGGGCGGGCCGGCCCAACTGGCTGAGGATGTCCTTCGACCGGAAGCAGTACCGAAGCTTGCCACCCCGCCTGCGTGTCAGGCCTCTCCGAAAGGTGTGTGTCTGTGAGTGAGTGGGTTCGAATCCCCGCATTTCCGGCGCGACAGCGACTTGCCTCGCCGTCCATCCGGCCTTCCTGCTGACGCGCTGACGCCGCGGACGCAACGCCATGTCGCGCCGGTCTTGGTTCCGCGTAGCGCGCCGCTTGCTGCGCGGTTTGATCCCCGTGCATTGTGTGCAGTAATTATCGCCGTCGCGCTCGCAGTCGTGGGAAGAGGAGCATGGTGTAATGGGGCACGCACGGCGCCACTGATTCCGAGAGTCGTTTTCGTTGCTCTGTTTCTCTCGCACTCTTAGGCGCCCCGCTTAGGCGCGAGAGAGACAGGCTGCAGCGGTGCTGTGCGGGGCCGCGGAGGGAGTGGCTCTGCCTGCCCTGCCCTGCCGCCGGCTGCCGGGATCGAACCCACACGCCGCGGTTGCGTCTCGCGTCGCCGGCAAGAGCGTCGGTCGCGGCCGCCGCAGACCAGAAACGAATTCGAAGGATCGTATCGTCGCTCTCTGTCGCACTCCCGTGGCGTCCCGTGAGAGTGCGAGAGAGACAGAGCGTCGTCACTCACCTTCGGAATCGCTCGGCTGCAACAGTGGACCTTCCTGCATACGGCGGCTGCAGCGGTCTAACTGCAGGATGCGCTGCTACACGCGCTACACGCCCCTCGCGAGCGGACGGCCCGCGGGCGTCGACCCCCTCCCCTTCCCTCCCTACCTCCCTCCCTTCCCCTCCCCTCCCCTCCTTTCCCTTCCCTTCCCCTCTTTCATCGCCGCGAGTCAAATCTGTAATTGTTGCCCGGGTGCACGGGAACCGACGAGAACGTGTTTGTGTTTGGCCCGTGTTGCCGTCGGTGCCAATAATGGAGCCTACTGGCACACTGGCGAGGCCAGGACTTGGGCAATGAGGTGCGCTTGAACGACGCGCCATCCATCCGTCGCGAGGACATGCCGTCCAGCGTCCGGACGCGGGCGAGTCCTTCCTGGCCGCGTTGCAGATGCAGTGCCGCGGAGTGCCGCGGATGCAGTGTCGAGGAAAGCGTGTGACGTGGAGGGGAGAGGGGAGGCGCCGACACAATGGCAGCGAAACGAAAGTGAAACTGGAGCCGTCGCCCTTCCCGTGCCGGGCAGCCTAGGGCAGCCTAGGGCTCCTAGGGCGAGACCGGCCAAGGGCTAGAGTCTAGGGGAAGGGCCAGCCAGCCTAGATGTAGCGCCTTGACGACAAACGCCTGCCGGTGCGGGCCCGTCGAACGCGGCGGTGTGGCGGGCCTGCCTACCCGGAGCCCGGCAGGCGCTTGGCGGGGCGTGGCCGCGTGTCTGCGCGCAGCGCGTCCCTCGTCCTTGCGATCTATCGGCTGTTGCAGTTTGTTGCGTCACGCTGCGGCACGGCGTGGCATGGAGTGGAAAGGAATGCTTCACGCACGTGTGCGCATGTGTGCCAGTCGCCTCGTTTTCCTCCCGTAAACTGTTGCCCGCGGTTTTGTTTTGCTCGCTCGCCCTCGCCGCCGTGTGAAGGTAGTGGTGTCTCCTTCCTCCCCGCCCGGGTGGCTGTGCCCTCTGCCAGTGTCACCATCACCCAGTCACCACCCGGTGCCTCTGCCCTCTGCCAGTGTCACCATCACCCAGTCATCATCCGGTGGCGCAGCTGCGCTTGCGGAAGCTGTCCTCTGCGATTCACCTGTCCGGCTGCGCCATGCTCCGCCATTCAGAGTGATTGTCGTCGTTGCCGATGCAGCGTCGCAGTGGCGGGGCGGGGCGGGGCGTGTACTGCCCGTACTGCCGCCTATTCAATAAGCCAATGAGGCATTGATGCCTGCAGAGGTGTGCGGTACACTGCAAGCGGCCAAGCGGCGCTCTCGCCCCTGCGGATGCTCGTCGTGGTGGAAGGCGTTGTTGCTCTGCTGGCGCTTTTTTCCGAGCCACTTTTGTAGCCCATCCGCCTATCCAGTTCAATTGGACGCCGCTTCCCTTTTCGCTGCACCCGCATGCCGCGCGTCGCGCGTGCTTCCCCCGATTTGTTTTTAAACCTAAAATAGAATGGGCTGGGAGAGCCGCGCGCGCGTTGTTGCAGTGGACTAGTTACGTGATTTGTGTTCATTCATGTCGCGTCGCTGCTTGAAAATAAAGAGAGGGAGAGGCGTCCCTGCAGCCCCGCTTCCTGCCCCGCCCCGCCGCGGCGCGGTGCGGTAGGCTGGCGGCCCGCCCCGCCTGGCCCGCCCCGCCTGGCCCGCCTCGCCTGGCTCAGTTGGCGGTGGGTCTGCTCGCGGCGCGGTCGTGTCGTCGCGTGGCGTGCTGGTCGTGCCGTGCCGAGTGCCGCACCGAGTGTCGTGCCGAAAGTCGAACGTGTTTTTGGAATACCCTCCTCCCTCCGGTGCCGATTTGGATTTCGGGGCGCTTGGTGGTAAAGCGACTCCCGGTGGCCGTTTTAGTTGGACTGCGGACCGACAGTGATGCGGCCGCTTGATTCCGAGGGGTCGTTCCTTCGCTCTGTCTCTCTCGCACCCCCACGGGACGCCCCGTGTGTGCGAGAGAGACAGAGCAACGAAACGATCCTGCGGACTCGAGCGGCAGAAGAGTCGTTGCGTCGCTCTGTCTCTCTCGCAGCAATGAGGCACTCCGCCAGGGTGCGAGAGAGACAGACTGACGAACTGCCGTTTAGAATCGCATCACGGCAGCAGTGGGGGCGTGGTTCGGGCCGTGATCCCCGTTCGCCCTCTCGACGCTTTTTTCTTGGCGCGAAAAACCAAGTGCCGACGAGTGCGGTGGCCGATAGCTCGCGAGGTGTGGACAGAGTGCGCCGTGCGGGGCTTCCCTATGCGGAGCGATTCAGTCGCTCTGTCTCTGTCGCACTCATGGGACTCCGCGCCCGGGTGCGAGAGAGTCAGCCACAAACCGCTCTCCTGATAACAGCCGGGCGCAGGGAAGGCCACGCCGGCCCGTGTTCTCTCGCAGATTGATTCCGACGGTCGTTTTGGTTGTTCCGTCCCTCTCGCACTCACTGGCGGCCCCTGCGCCTGCAGGTGCGAGAGAGACAGAACGACTTTTGGTATCGGTCCGCCGATCGGGATCGGCGTCGCTGTTGGCGTCGCTTCCACCGTAAGGCTGCCCGGCCTGGACGGTCCGCGCGATAACGCAGGTTGCGTTGCACGTTGCGCGAGGGAAAGCCAGCCGAGCCGTCCGGTGGGAAGCGCGAAGCATCGCGAAGCGCGGCCGAAAAACAAAACGCGGCAGCGCCACGCTAAGGCCGCTGCGTCGCTACACTGCTAGAGGCGCGAGCTGCAGGGGTCCATCGGCCCTGCCGTCCGTCCGCGCGGTTTCCCTGACGTGATTAGCGAGCGGCCTCCCTGCCTCCGCCCGGCACCTGTGGCGTGGCCGCGTGCCCGGCCGCGCAGTGTGAGGCCTGCGATGCGAGGCCCCAAGCTGCGATGCCGGCAGAAGGAGAGAGAAAGAAAGGCGCACGTAATTGCAGTGAGAGCGTTGCGGCGCGCGGGATGCTGCGGGTTCGACTCCCGCCGGCTCCGCTTTTGTTTCGCCCCAAACAAACGCTTACGGTGAGGACCCCTCCCAAGGTCACGGAGTCGGCCACCCCGCCGTCACGTAATAACTGGACCAGCCAGCCGTTTTCCTGTTTCCAGACGCCCGCATGGGGCGGGGCTGGCGGGGCCGGCGGGGCCAGTGCGTCGGACAAGGGGCCTCTGTCTTCGGTGAACGATGGATGCCCGTCTTCTTCGCTACACTCTTAAAAATGGTGCGGGCCCATCCGCTCCGGGCTGTGGCGCGGGTTCCGCGCCTGCCGGCTGATTCTGAGAGTCGTTGCAGTCGCTGTGTCTCTCTCGCACTCATGGGCGCGCCACGTGTAGGTGCCAGAGAGACGGAATCAGTCTGCCGGGTAGGGCGGGACGGCGGGACTGTCTGCGGCCGCGGAGGTGACCGAGGGTACGCTCCAGTACGCTCTGGCTCGCGGGGCCCGCGGTCAGCCCACCCTGGCCAGCCTGCGCCGCCGACAGGCCGCCGACTGGCGGTGGACCGGGCTGGGCCGGGCCCCTCGGCCGCCACGGCCGGCGTGCCCCGCGGCGGTACCGGCCGCGCAATGACGTCCACGATGCCCATTGTAATTTTCCCCGATGAAATTTAAGCGCGGCGCGGTGTCGTTTGGCTCGGCCGTTTTCGGCCGCCACGCTCGGCTTGCTCGGCTTGCGCGGCGCAAAGATGATTTGTGCCGCGGCACTGCTAATGGGCCCCGCATGGGAGGGGAGGGGAGGGAAGGGGTTCTGGAACGAGGGCCTTCCGCTGGAGGGACCCCTTGGGCCCCGCGTAGCCCCGCGACCCGCGGCCAGAGATTGCCCCCGCAGGCCGTCTCTCTCGCACTCGCGGCTCGCGGCGTGGGGCCGCGGACGCTTCACCCCGCGTGGTACTCTGCAAATAATTAGTCGAGTGTGAGAGGGCGAACGCGTTCTGGGAAGGGCTGGGCGCTTCCGCTGTCTCGCTTCACTGGACCACACTGTACGCCGGCCGGGCTGCCGCTGGCTGCCGCCCCCGCAGGGCAGGCCGTCGTGGTGTTTCATCCATTTGGCTCGCCTTGTCGCCGCGAGGGCAGTGTGGCAGTGTGCACAGTGTGGGAGGCGGCAGGCCCGAGGCCCGCGAGGGACCCAGCGAGGATGGGGCCGGCGCAGTCTTAGATTTCGCTCCAACTAGAGCTAGGCGGCCCAATTGTCCCGGCCTCAGCCAAGGCCCCGGCACGACGGCACGAGAGGAGGAGGGCTCCAGCGAGCTCACGGCGTTCGTGTCTCGTTGTAGTGCTGCGAGTTGGATCTGAGGGTGGCCGCTGCTGCCCGTTCAAACTGTGGGTGCCAAGTATATGTGGTGGCTCGATGGACTCGAATCCAGCCATCTTATGGAATGGGTTGTAAGTATTTGCGGAGGCGGAGCATGGGTAAGGGCTTCGATTAGATTAGCTAGCTGTAGACAGAATGGTTCCATGTTTTCAGTTAACTGGAGAGCGCGTCTCTGTCGTTCTAAAATTGTCCTCCACCAGCTGCTATTATATTTAATGGAAAAATACAACGACAAAAATTAATGACAAATAAGCTACCGCTCTTTTAAAAAAATGTTTTCAAAAACTGGAGATTTTAATTTATGTTAATTCTTGTGTTTTGCAGCAGCCCGAGAACGACGATGGGCCGCTTAATGAGGAGGCTGGCCGTGAGGAGGAAGAAGAGGAGGAGGAGGAGGGTGAGCGGGAGAACGGAGGCGTGCCCGCGTGGTCAGCTTCGTTCGAACGTCTCCTCGAGGACCCGGCGGGACTGCATACATTTGCTGTGAGTATTTCTCCTTAAACTGCCTTTTCTTAGTGTTTATTATTACTTTGGTTGAAGCACTAAGAACTGTTTGCTTGCCTTTCAGGAATTTTTGAAGAAGGAGTTTTCCCATGAAAACATCTACTTTTGGGTGGCTTGTGAGAGATACCGGCATATTGAAAATGCCGCCGAACGCATGTCTGAGGCTCAAGCTATATTTGACAAACACCTTTGTTTAGGTGCCCCTGAACCTGTCAATGTAGATTCACATGCTAGACAAGTCACTCAGGAACAATTGGGAAATGCACTGCCGGATCTGTTTTTGCAGGTAGCTTTCTTTGTATATTTTTTTTGTTAACATTTTTTAAGTTTACCTATTTCTCTTATGTGACTTTTTCCCCTCTGAATTCCAGGCTCAGAAGCAGATATTTAATCTAATGAAGTTTGATAGCTATCCTCGTTTTATAAAGTCAGAACTGTACAAAGAGTGTCTTCTTCGTGAGATATCTGGTCAAGAGTTGCCTTTCAATGGTAGTACTGAATTAGACCAAGGGCTGAAACTGGAGCGGCCAAATAAGGTATTTTTTAACTTATAATAACACCAGACTTTACAAATTTAAGATATATTCCTTATTTTGACATTGACTGTGTGTGCAGTTAAAAAAGAGCAGGAGTGATGCTGAAGATCGCCGCCGAAAGTCTCTGTTGCCGTGGCACAGGAAAAATCGGTCTAAATCAAAGGACCGTGGTGAATCTGAATACTCCAAGGCAAGAACGCGAAGGGAACAGTTTGATACTGTTTCTATTCGGTCAGATGTGACTAGCAGTCGTTCATCTTTGGCATCATGGGACCTTGCTCTAAGAGGCTCTCTTAGTAGACAAGTAAGTAGTTTATAAGAAACCTCAGTTTGATGCAGTCACTTATGTATAAAATTCAAAATTCAATTTAAAATTTTTATCTTTATTTTTTCTAGTCTGTAACATCTGGAGATACTTCTGAACGAGAAAATTCGTCCCTCTGTCGTGTGATCCTGCCGGACGGGGCCACCACTGTTGTTCAGACTAAATACAATGAAACAGTATCAGACCTAGTTCAGAGACTGTTAGAAAAGCGGGGACTTAACTACCAGCACTTCCAGGTCTTTGTTGGGAGCAACCCAAAAGTAAGCTAGAGACATTGCAATTGTTTCCTAAAGATTCGCTAGAACTCCAATTTATTCTTCATTTTTGTTTCTGTGTTCAGGCTGTTGCTCTGGATGAAGTTTCTTCAATTCTGAGCAACAAAGAAGTGAGAGTAGAACCAAGAGTAGTTTTCCGTTTAGATCTACCAAATCGCAAAACAGTTGGAGTGAAGTCTAGGCCAGGTAAAACTCTAGGAGAGGTCTTGCGGCCCGTGTTGCACAAGTATGGCTACCGGCTTCACTTGGTGACCGTCTGTTTGGTAAGGAGCTGTCACTTTTCTCCTCTCCGCACCTTCTAAAATATCATTGTTGAAATGTTAAGTAATCTTTGCTTGTTTCAGATGAGTGAAAATGAAGTTGTTAGCCTGGGAACTCCTGTCTCATCAGTTGACAACCAGCGACTTCAAGTTCTCACTCGCAGCCCTGAAGAGGTTTCACTTGGTAATTAATGAGCCCTCATACTTGCACATAGTTGATGTTATTTTATTCTAACTTCTTAATATTTTCGTAACTGAATGCACAAAATATTTTTTACAGCTACAAGAGCAGCTCATTCCACTTCAGGATTAAATGGAACGTTATTGAATAATTCCGTCAGTAGCACTACCTCCACACTAATGGCAGCTCCACCACCTCCTCCCCCCGCCACGCCTTCTGCATCACTTGACGAAATCACCAATCGTGTTTTTGAGGAGCTTCTACAAGGCAAAGCCACCCCCTCAACTCGCCCTGCTTCAGACCAAGGCTCTGTTCGGGTGAGGCCTGCTCTTAATTTTTATTTGTAGTTGTAAACTTGATTGCTGAATTTATTAATGCTTCTCTTATTTAGTCTGAAGATTGGGGCTCCGAACATTCATCTGGTATCTTTGGCCGTTTCTTAAGAAGAGATTCAACATATCATGACAAATCTAAAGTACGTCCACACTCTACCTCCTTGTGCATATTTCGATTTTATATTATTTTTAAAACCTCTTGGCATTTTAAAAAATAACTTAACTTTTCCAGGATTTTAGGGGGAAAGGAAATAAAAAGTTTTCAAGCAGTGCGGGCAGTGCCAAAGGTTCCAATACAACTATTTGCAGTGTGGGATCGACCGCACCAACCAAACCAGCGCCCCCTCCCCCTACTACCAAACCACCACTGATTGCCAAGTGGAAACCTGGTGCTAAATTATTAGGACAATCCGAAAGTGATGGTATATATTCTTGAGTGATGAATAGATTCTTCTGTTCCTAAAAATCTTTGTTTTTCGATTTATGTTGTTGTTCAAATTGCAGAGCTGTATGAAGGCCTCAAGAGAGCTCAAAGAAGTCGGCTGGAAGACCAAAGAGGAACTGAGATCAATTTTGAGCTGCCTGATTTTTTGAAGGTATAGTTCTGACCTGCTGTTTTATCTTGGCGTTTATTTTGTCTCAAATATTGTGATCAGACATAAAATCTTTCAATTACTTGGTTTTTAGGATAAGGAGAATGCTCCTCAGAGCTCAAAGAAGCTAAAAAAATTCTTGCAGCCCCGGAGGGATGGTACCAGCAGTGTCTCAGGCCATGAGGCTCAGAGTGGAGCTTCTAGCAATGACAGCAATCGTTCCTCTTCCCTCAAGCACAACCACGGTAAGTCAAACCTTTGATATTCATAACATAAACTAGCTAACTCAGCTGCCAATTTTGGAATTTTAACTGTTTTAATGTCTGTAGAAATATCATACCACTAACATTAAAGATGTAACTTAAATACTTTTCTTTAACTGGTTAATTATAAAAATTACTAACTTGTTAACTGTAATGTGTGCATATTTGAATGATGGGAAATCGAAATCACTGCAATGTTCTATGTCATACCTCATTTCAAAATTGATACGTGGCATTACCTACCTACATTATTTTGCTTATTTTAAGCTACTCTTTTCCAACTCATGTGTATAACAACACTAATAACTCTCTTTCCTTCTCTTTTCCATATTCCTCTTACCCTTTCATCCTTCCTTGGTGGCTCAAATTTCCATTTCCGTCTGGAATCAAACGCCTGCTTTTGTCTCTACAGCGGGCGGTCCTGCTTAGTTCTCTGCGGGAAAATGAGACTCCAAGGCTATCATCTGTCAGGTTTCTGTTTGAATTGCACAAAATTGGAACCTGGTAGACCAGTCACGGCAGCTTTTCTCTGAAACTGGTGCTAGTGCGAATGTGTGTGGCATGGGCTTGGTCTGGTGATACTAACTTACTAAACAATCTGTGGCGTGGGCGTGACAGACAATCCGGCTGACGGGTTGGCGTCCCTGTGTTGACAGCGACCTACAGCCTGGACAGCCTGCTCGGGGTGGGGCACTGTAACGGCAACGGCAGTGGCGGCAGCGAGCCGGACGTCCGCCTGGCTTTGACGTTGACGTCGCCCTGCAAGCCCTGCGCCGACAGGGACAGGGACAGGGACTTGCCGGCCATGGCCATGCCGGGCTCCGGCCCGGAGGGTGAGGCCGCTGGCCCAGGCTCGCACCAGGGTCTGCTGGGCCGCGGCTTTGACGGCTTTGGCCCGGACTCGTACGCGGTGCTTCCCTCCCCCAGGCAGGCTGAGGATTATTTCTCAGGTCAGTACCTCCAGGTACCTCATAGCCTTCTGCTGTGTGCTGGCCCACAGATTCACCTCCCCTTTCCCCGTCATTTTGTAGATTGCCTCCTCTTCAGATTGTATGTGTGTGCCTGTTGTATGATGATTGCATGTTTTGTACTAGCTGTGTGTTCCTTCCTCTTTTTTTCCATGCACTTTTTTAATTGTATATTTTTTATGGCATTTATGTATGGGTAACAAATAGAAACTTACTAGTTTTGATTTTGCAGGTTGCTTGGCATCTGACAACTCACCCTCCAGTCTTCCTGTCCTGTCGCGACTCAGTGACCCACCTCCACTTCCCCCCAAGCCCAAGTACCTGCGAGCCCCTGCCCCTGCACCGCCCAGAGTTCCAGCGGGAGAAATTACAAATCGCCAGGAGACTGTTATGCCATTGATGCCCCCGCCATCTCAGCCCAGACGCCCCCTATTTATGGAAGAGAATGTGAGCAGTTTTGTTTGAAGTTGCTCTTGTGGTTGTGAAAATTCTGCAATTGAACCTAACATCATCTCCAATAGTAATGTTTAAAATATCATTGTGTATGATTTTCGATACTCCTTCCTCTTTATTACAGCTGTTCCTTTTGAAAAACCCACAGCAGTTATGATTATGAAACAACAAAAATCTTACTGCCAAAGGAAGTGTGTTTTACTTGTATGTGTGTGTATTTGAGCCGAACTAATTTTATTTTGTGTGACTGTATTATGTTAAGTGAATTGCTTTTGCCATTCAAGTCTGTAAAATAATTGATGACATTCTTGAAAAATGTCTTAATTGCCATCTGTGATTATTTGGTGCAGCCATATACTACAGATAAGTTGTGAATATAGTTTTGTGCTCTCAACATCAGCCATTTATGTGAATGAATGATGCAAAACATATCAGATGATTTTATTTATTGTAAATAAATATATTGTAAGATAATCACTTGTCACACTCGCCCCCAGTACATTATTTTTTTCCATGATAATTGAATCTCCATTGCTATAAATATTAATTGCATTTGCACAGTTGGCCTTTGCATTTTGGATCATCTTTCTATTTGAAGACTGTTAAATTAATTGACTCCCACTCTGCGGAATGTATATCCATCATGTTAGTGGGTTTTGTTGTGAATTTGTTAGGATGTTTGTTCTGGAATTTATTTATTATTGTCCAATGACTAGATTCAGAAGCACTTTTTGACAGAATGATTGAGATCTTTTGCTATCTAATTTACCACTAAATGGTAAAGTACTGTTATATAATGTACAATGCTAACTTGAGCACTCCAGAAGCAGAGAGATGTGTCCCAATAAAATTGTGGCTTGTTTCCTGTTGTGGGTGGTGAATTAATTTTGTTCTGCCTCATGCTCCTGTTGATACATCTCTGTACTTCTGGGGTGCTCTACTTTGTTATTAGAGAGCATACTATATCATTTTGTATAGCTGATGCTGTGTCAATTTTAAACAAAGAACAGTTTGTATTTTTATGTCCGTAAGCTAAAAATGAGTTATTTATTGCAGAAATATAAGACACTATATTGCCTGATAACCGTTTCTTGCTATTTTCTTTTCCCTTAACCCTGCACAGGACTAACTCAAAATCTTTGAATAGAGATATCATTCGGCGAGCCATAAGATGAAAACAGAACACAAACATGTCCGATATGTAAGACTCGACCAACCAAAAGAGTCCCCCGCTGCTTAAAAAGTGACTGTCGGATGGGTGGCCTGCCCACCCGGCGCTCCTTCATCCGCACCTCGGCGCCCCCAAGTCCAGAGGAGCCACGTGGTGGTGCAAACGAACGTCTCTTTTCCACGAGCAGCTCTCGGACTGACTAGAATTCGTTCGTCGGCGGGCTCGTTTCCCCGACTTTACTTCTTTCAGTACCACAGCACTATCCGCCTGTTCCTGCCGCCAGCGCCAGCAGTGTTGTTGTTTCGCGCGACAGGTGCCGTTGGCGGCGCTGCCTGTGCTGGTGGTGGCGTTGCCGGTGCTGCCTGTGCTGGTGGCGGGGGCTGCGGGGGCTCCTCCTCGTTGACGGTGGCGCCCTGCACCAAGTGGTCCCTCTTGATGGCCACGGCGTAGGGCGGCGGCTGCTCCGTGCCCGGCGGCGGCGCGGGGGCGGAGGGGGCGTCGTCCCCCGGGGCCCTCGGCGTGGCCGCGCAGTAGCTCGGAGGCAGGTCCGACAGCGCGTAGGGCGGCGGCGGCGGCGGCCCCGGGACGCGGTAAGGCACCTGCCAGACAAGCAAGCCGTCGTCAACCTCTTCAAGCACTGCATTGTCCTGCACTTGGTATTTCGGCGTGTCGCGATACCGGCCCAGGTTGACACTACTAATCGCTATCTGCCCTTATGCATATCGCGCGGGCGAGGAGGCCCGGTTGCAGCGTTCGACGCGCAAACACGTTCGGTTTTTGTTGTTGTTTTTCGCGAGGGGCGCTTTGGCGGTGGCTGAGAGTGCTGTATCCATCGAGTCAACCTGCAACTTCCACGTTGAGGCGGAGGGTTAGTGATTTACTGTCAGACCTTTTCCCCCTTAAAGAGAACAGAGAACTGGATGTGGCAAAGCTCAAAGAGAGAAAGGGTCACTGTTCGGGACCCGGACCATTTTGAGGGCCGTCCGTCGAACTCGTCGTTCTGCTTGGAAATTGGAAAAGCAACCGCTGTGCTCGACGCGAGGCGCGAGGCGGCTGTACGCTGAAGGGCAGAGCCGAGGCAGAGCCGGCACGACGGGGAGGGGCGTGGACGCTGGCACTGATTCGATAACGGTCGTTGCGCCGAGCATGCTTTATGCTTCGCTTTTGCTTCGCTTTGCTTCAATAGCCTCACCGCCTTATCCGACGATTAGCATGCGGAACTGCGGACCGCGACGGAGGCAGAAGACACTACACTCGAGAGAGTGCCGCCCAGATAGCGCCGAAGGTAGCGAAGCTCGAGCGCCCCAGTGGCCAAGGGAGAAGGGGGGGGGGGGCAAAAAATGAAATGGTCTAGGCCGATGGCGACACTGGAGTGATAGGACGAGGAGATTGCGAGGGCTAACCGAGGCTAGTCAAGGCTGCAGGCGCCTAGCCAAGGCAGCCAAGGCTAGGCCGGATAGACAAGGGACTCGAGTAGGTACGCCGTACACCGCGGTCGGTGCGCCCAAACCATCGACGGACGTTGACTCGCAATAATGAGTTTGGGCCGAGGGCCGGGAACAGCACGCTGTGTACAGTGGCACGGCGCCACGCGGCCGCCCCGCCGCCCCGGCCGCCGAGGCTGTCACCGACGGGCTGGGCTTAGAGACTCGATGGGGCCGGCCTACATTTCGGCATCGAGGAGTGAGTGCATGACCTTATCTCCTTTACGCGCCCCTTGGCCCTGCTGGGAGTGCAACGAGGCTCGAAAGCCAAAGATAATAAAAGTGGGAAAAAAGTGGGCCCAGGCCGATTGGCGCCGATCGGTGAATTCAGACATGCATCCCAAAATGTTGCTTGACGCGACGCGACGCTAGCGTAAGGTGCTCTTCGTCTTGATAACGGCTCCGCGCCGCGCGCGCTCGAGCGACACCAACTCACCTGAGAGTCCAGCTCGCTCTCCAGGGGGATGATAGCGACGTGGGGATGTCCTCTGGCCCCTGCTCCTCTCGACCCCGATCCGCTCTGCAGGGCGAATTCAAGATTAATGTCTTCCCGTACACACGCAACACACACGTAATCGACGTGAGATACAAGCGTCATGCACTCGAATTGGGTTTTACGCAAGCGGACGCCGTCCACGAAATGCACCGTGCTCAAAGTGAAGGCGTCGACGTCCTTACCGCTGCGTTGCGGCCGCTGGTCGCGCCGATGCCGTAGAGGTCCGGGGCCAAGGCGCCGCCCACGGTGCGCTGCGCCCTGCTCAGCGCCATCTGCCTGGCCAGCATGATGCGCCAGCGGCCGGCGCGCCCGGCCCTGGACGCGGCCAGCTGGATCCACGTGCACAGCCCCAGCAGGCACACGGTGATGGCCAGCAGCGACAGCCACCACGACGACGCGGCCACCGCGTAGCGCGCCACCAGCAGCGAGCTGGCCACCAGCGCCAGCGTCAGGAGGAGCAGCAGCACGGAGCACGACGCGGCCTGTAAGCAGTCTCGTTTCCAGTCTCCACTCGCATTCGAGTCGCATTCGCCGCCCCGCCCAGCCATCCCGAAGAGCCTCTGCCTCCACCCCTTGAGAGCGAAGAAACGGATCGCTCTGCTGGAAGTGATCGACAACGCCAGCGACAACCCGCGGGAAGCCCCCTGCCAGCGCCGCGTAGGCAACGCGTGCCCGCCCGCGCGCGGCGGGACTGCCTACCCCGCCGATCACAGGGGCTCCACGGCGGCCAAGAGTCCTAGAGCGGCGGCGGCTTGGGGTGGGCCTCCCTAGGCCTCCCTGCCACAGCCGCCTGCTTTCGAACAGCGCGTTCGTCGCTTTGTCTCTCTCGCACTTGCGGGTCTCCCCGTCGGAGTGCGAGAGAGACAGAACGACGAGATGCAGTGCGGCACTCCCCGCGTCCTCCCACCCAATTATCCCCTCGGCCAAGGCTCGTTCGAGGCTTGCCCAAGGCGGACCGGGATAGGGCCACAGCGACCGGCACCATTTGGCCATCGTGTTTTGGCCGCGCGCCGCCCCGCTCGTCGCTTATCTAGAGCCCTGCCCGCTGTCGCTGCCGCCGTCACGGGGTTCGCTAATCCGACCAGCTTGGCGTGCTCACCGCTCGGCGCGGCGTCACCCCAGTGCGTCCGGCAGGTTCGGCCGCATCGCGGTACCGGCCAGCGCATCGTAGCGCAAGGATGACTTGACAGCGCGGACACGGGGCGCGGCAGTCTTACGTCAGCGCGACAACACTCATCGTCGCAGCGGGACATAGGCCAGGCGCGCGGCGTGCGCGAGGTCGGAGGATGGAGGCGATGACAGCCGCTGCCGAAGGTTCCCTCCCGCGAGGTGGCCAGGCTGTCCCCCTTACCCGCAGTTTGTTGAGCCCCGAGTTGTTGTCCATGTTGGCGGTCATCTTCGGGCCTTCGGGGTGGCGGCGGGGCGGACGCGTTGTTCCGTTCCGCGCTCCGCGACTGCTATTCCGTTCGAGTCCGTTTCCGTCGTCTGCTCCTCATGACCGCCGCTGGCTCCCACCAAGCTGCCAACCTCGCTGCCGGTGAGGCGGTGGACGGCGCGGAGCTGCGGAAGGGAAGGCCGGCGACTGGAGCCTTCGCGTCTGCGTCGCGCGAGAGCGGCGTCGCTCCGGTTTGGGGAACCCGCGTCGAGGGCGCTAGACGCTGGGCGCTACACTGGCGGGACGCGGCGAACGGGCTGGGCGGAGCGCGGAGCACTGTGCCGTCTATCTCTCTTTTGTTTATCACTCTCGCGGTCCTCTCTGCCAGGTGAAGCTTCATTATCTCTCACCGCCTCTCTAGGGGCAGCCTTGGCGGCGTGCGAGCGTGGCGGCCTACCTAGGCAGGGGCGGGGAACGGAGTGGGGGGCGCGCTGCTGTGGCGCGGCAGCCTTGAACTTGGGGGTGGGGACGAGGCGAGACGAGTCGGTCTAGCCGAGCCGCGAGCCGTGATTAACGCGTTGGCAGATTCGCGGGGACTTTCTAAGGAGACCTGGCGAGGCGAGAGATACGTGCTGTGGCGCTCTTCACGTACGACGAAGGAACTTGAGTTGGCCCCACGCCGGCGGCGTTAGGTTGTGCATGGAAGCATGTAAAGAATAATAAAACTTGAAGTGGAAACTGAACATCGTACTTTTTTTTAATCAAAATGATGTCAAACACAAAACAAAGGAATATCAAAGATAACGGAAACTTAAGTGATGCTCCACAAGTAAGTAAAAACAAACAGAGGTAACATTAAGGCACATTAATCACATAAAATAAGGAGCAATTTTTAAGAGGGCAACGTTTTTTTCATCAAGTCCGGAGTCTGTGAACGGTTAGGCCCGGAACGTCGAGCAGAACCATATCCGAAAATAGGACTAGTGCGATCAGAACTGTATGGACTTTCTGACTTGATTATTTGAGGGCTGTGGTTGTTGCTCACATCTCCAACAGAGTTTCTATGACAAGACCTGCAATGGATCCACAAAGTATGAGATTTATAAGGAATTTATTAAAGAGAACAGTCAATAATTGTGAACTACCACAGTTAAACATACCTGTCATGATTGCTCTGACGGTCATGGTGTTCATCTGACCCGTTGTTTTGGCCTTGCAGAGACTTTCTTTGTTTTAACTGTTGACTTCCTAAAAGAGAAGGTAACCTTTTAACTGATTCGAAGACGTTTACACATAGAATTTAATGGTGTACCAAAGGCTAGGATCTCACTTTCCACAGCTTCAAGCTGCTTCTTCAGGTGATCAACTTCACCTTCCAATGCCATACGATTATTCTCAGCGCTAGACAATTGTTGAACTCGTTGATTAAGTATCACTTGAAGCTCGGCCTGAACATGTAGCATCATGTGGTCTCTGCCTTGTGGCCTGAAGAGAAATTTTAAAAAGGACAATATTAAAACTTCACCAACTTTATGAAATCTAGACAGGTACATGATTATGAAATCTAAATCACCTGACACGCTCCATAATGTCACTCAGTAGAGCTTCCCTGCTTGGGACACAGGCTGTGGTCTGATACTGGGTAGATTGGGGCATTCCAAGATTATGAATTTGAAGAGGAATGAGATCGAAAGTACTGTGAACAAGAAATATTTGTTGCAATGAATTATGCAATGTACCAACATAAGCAGCGTTTCAAGATACTTACCTTTTTTCACTTAGGTAGCGCATGAAGGAATGTTTGAATACATGGGTGGCTTTTGATGTCAAATTGCTGGAGAGAAGACATAGAACGAACAGTTCTGGGGTGCTAGTTTGGCAGAAGTCTTTTGCCATTTCTGTTAACTGGAGATGAATCACTTGCTCTCTCATTGACATTTGATAAACTTCATTCCGCTTAAAGCTGTACCAACCCACAATATCATGGTTTTGGCTCCCATTTTTGACCTGCTGATTCTGAAAATGTCACAATAACTTAAGCACAAAATCAGGCAAGACAATTATCACTACAAATGAGACAATACCTTCTCTGTTTTGACTAAAGCATTCAGTTTCTCCCTGTCAATTCTTCCTGCCCCATTTATTACTCTACAAGAACTGGAAATGGGCAAAATTGAACTAATATCTGAAACACAAAATATTATAAAATGTAGTAGAATGTAACAACAACTCATTTGCATAAAACTTATCAAATTACTTACTTATAATTGTTTCGGTTTTCTCATCTCTAATTTGAGAGTCACTTATTGTGTCAGTCACCCGATTCACTACAGCACCCAGCAGAAACCCCATCTGTAAGGACACGGACACAATAGGACAATGTTAGAACTGATAGCTGAAACGAGGATCCCACTCAACAGCCAATCAACCGTCTCAGAAGACAATGAAGCAAAAATCCCTCGGAGGAGATTTCAAGAATGCACTAGAATATATCAGGGATGATTATCAAAACTTGATGAATTTGATAGCTGGCTTGACACAACTAAGTAGTGGTTTCGAGGTTAAAAAGGCTACTTGTCGGCGGGGAACACCGTCGCAGAGTAGCCGGTTGAGGTGGTCCCATACCTGATTCCCAGATATCTTGGTGTTCTCGTACAGCAAGAGGGACAGGGCCGGGCCCGAGGCAGTCACGTACACACTCGACTGCATCGCTAGCAACAAAATTTCACACTAAATTCACGATTTAAACTCACGCCCCATCACAAGCCCACAGGCATATAAACAAGCAGGCCACTAGTATGAGAAATGTTGTGTGGTGAAGAACATGTAGCCTCGTGTGAGGTGTGAGGATATGCAGGAGAGGCTCCCGCTGAAGCTTTTAATCTCGTATGACTGCAGGACATGCAGGATGGAGGTTCCCTTGAATATTGCAAGTAATGCTTAATACGTTCGTCTGTACCCATGTGGTGCGTGTTGTAGGTCTAGGAAAATTGTCTTTAATTGAGTTAAGATGACGATGGTGTGTCAAGTGCAACATCATTATAGTATTTTAATTTAGTCTATTCAACTCTTTTCATAAATTCACAGCTTACATATCAAGAATAGCTATGATACAAAAGATAATAATTAAGTCTCATATCTCTGTTAAAATTTCAGCAATATGCAGTCTTTAACCAGAACTACAAAGGTCAGCACACAGGGTTGGGTGGAAGGAGCACAGAGACCCTTTGTGTACGGGTTGTTGACATCTTCTTCAACCAAATCATAAAAACAGAGTTGAGTCACTCATTAATTACATTAAGTGTGACATCTTTAAAGAAAAGGGATACACTGCAATAATGCTAAATAATAAAGACACTGTTGGCACAAAATTGGGACCTGATTGGAACCAAGTACATTGAAACATACTACATGTAGAAACAAAATCCTGAGAGAAAATACAACACAAGATAACAAAAAACTGTCTGAATGTTACACTTGTTCTTTAATAACATTAGTAATAATATATTAGTCAGCAACATTTCAGAGACTGGTGTAGAAGTCCTTCCCGCAAAATTTAAACAAATAAGAAGGAAAATGGTCCAAATATCAAAAGATTCTTTACACACCCAAGAGGGAAACCAGACAGTTCCACTAAAGTGATTTGTAATAGGGTTTTGAAGACATTCATGAATCTGTAACTGGTAGAGATACCACTGCTTCATGTAAATATTGGGGCAAGGCCAATAACAAATGACTGATAAGGGGCAAATGCCGAATTTTAACAGGTAATTATCTCTCTATACATAAATCATAGGCAACAATAATCACAGAATATTACAAAATGTATCTAGTATACAGCAGGCAACACATTGTTGGTGACAAATCAAATAAAGGAAACCCTGTACTTCTCACTCGATAAAAACCTGGAATCCTGAATACCCACTTCATCATGATTTCTCTCAATTTTGAAAATTTGATACTTGCATAGGTTGAGCAATGGTTTCCCTTTATGTTTCTATTATTATGAAAGATTTCAAATTTACCCTTCAAGAACCCCTACAGCGATACAACATTATTATGTCCAAAAGAAACAAGGACAGGTATTTTTCAGATTTCCTATTTTATGCTTTTTTGGGGGGAAGTGGGTGGGGCTTAGTAGTTATATGTTGATTGATTATTTGGAGGGAAAATAAAGATTCACTATTTAAAAGTTAACAGATAATAAGCAACAAGAATATTTGTTCAATAAACAAAGATGTATCCTGCTTATGTGATGAGCTGAACTATATTTGTAGGGGTTTCCCAGAGATCGAGCATATCAAATACTGAACAGCAAAACTTGTAACTGGCCAAAACGATTTTCTGGTACTTTGACACTCTCATAAATAAACAGGCTTCTTTAAATCTCCTACTTTCTCATGTACCAGAAATGTTCTTACACATGACAAATCTGTAAAACTTAATGTAAAAAATACACAAAAGCTCTGCAGTGAGGACACATACAAGCTAGTCAGTCATCGGTAAATAAAAGATGGCAGCTTTAAAATACAAAGACATCAACAACAATACTCCTATGACAAGAATTTAAAAAAAAATAATCAAAATTAACACTATTACAAATACCCTAATAAGCATGATTAAACAGTTACAGCAATGTGGACTGATAAAGACAAAACAAAAGTAAAACAGTTATGAATCAGATTCCGTATGGTAACAAGCTTGCATGAAAAACATTGCAAAAGGAAAAGTAGCAGAGTAAATTTGTTAATCACAAAGCAAGAAAAATGGAACAGATTGAAAAAGAGTACTAAGATCAAGGGCCCTGAAGCAAATTTAGTGTTTTATTTTTGTACTAAAGATATTTCCTACTCTTGTAGGTGAATCAATAGTTAAGTACTCAGCAACAAAAACACCTTAACCAACAGGCACAAAAACTAATAGCAAACTATTAATTCACATCAAGAGTCGATCTTAAGTGATAAGATGAATGAATAAACCTTTACCTTGGATCAGTTAAAAGAAATAACAAGTAACACTATTGAAAATTTTGATGATGAAATCAAAGCAAAGTAACAGTTCCATAATGTTTTTAAAAGAGGCAAATGTATGTATGTAATTGCATTACAAATGATTTTGTAAGAACGAAAGCAGCAAGGTTTCATAGTGTTTGCTAGCATCCATGTGCCTTAAACTGTGCCTCTCATTTGGATAAACCTGACAAAAATAAAATGAATTAATTTGAGAAAGATAAATAACTTATGTATAAGATTGTAAAATTGAATCATGCTTGAAAGTATATATAAGGATAGTTATCGTTAATGTACCTGCAGTTGATAGGGCTTGCCTACTTTCACAAGGGCGTTGATAAGTTGGGTAGTGTGCAGAAAATGCACATTTTCATCAATGAGACCATGAATGATAAGAAGTCTGTTCTCTCTGAAATAGGCAGAAAAGTTAGTAACTTCACTGCAATTCTCACACCCGTAATTTAGCTGTAAGGAAACTGTCATGGTACTTACTCATCAGGGAATTTATTAACATATTCCAAAACCGACCCATTTCTGTAGCCTAAAACATTATCATCTGGAAGATCCATATAACGCTCGGTATATCCAGTGTCATACAGTTTCCAGTTTGTTACTGGGGCACCAGCAATGGCAATCTGAAAATATTACACACAACATTAACGGAGTTAAAGGAGTGTATTAAAGAAACTACAAGGAATATAGGAAAATACCTTGAAAATGTGTGGGTAATGAGCCAGACCCATAAGTGACAAGTAACCACCATAGGACCAGCCTAAGATGGCTACTCTATTCATATCAATAAATCCTAAAGAGTCTGCCAGCCACTGTAGAACCTCAACTTGATCTTTCAATTCAACGGTGCCCTGTTGGAAAATGAACAAGGTACACTTTAACAAATGTGTTTCAACATAGTCACAGAGAATAGACAAGCAGGAAATCATACCATTCTGCCTCGCAGATGACCTTCAAAGTTTAAACCTCGGTGGCGAGATCCTCTTGAATCAATAGCAATCACACAATACCCTTGAGCTGCCAACATGTGTAATCGCAACTGTCGCATACCCTAAAACAAGCACAAATAGATATTTATTAAATTCCTGGCGCATAAAATGAGAGAGTGGTGTGGAGAGTAAGTCACTTTTTACCTTGAACGTATTTGATACAACTTGTACTTCAGGACCCCCATAGACATGGAGGACTGTCGGATACTTTCGTCCTGGTTGGAGGTTGTGAGGCTTGAACACCATGGCATGAAGGGTGACACCTTCTGAGATCTTGTAAGTGTGCAAGTCAGGAAAGTAAAACTCACCTTCTGCCACTGGTGTTTTTGGACAGAAAAGGGGAGCAGTAAGAGATAAGCACTTGTTTACAAATGTAAGTACAAAACTACAAAATAAAACATGTAATGAAGAAGCTACTTACTTCTAGGCTCTACTAAGAAGCCAACCGAGTTTAACTGAACTCCTTCTAATGAACCGTTCAAGTGGGAGATCTTCAATACCTCACACACTGGTGGTTTCTGAATATTACTGTATGACATAACTACAAACTTACAATCCTAGGGAGAAAAAGGCAGCACCATGAGAAATGTAAAAGTTTGAATTAAAATAAATTATCATTAAAAATTTCTAATTACCTCACTGAAATCTACATTGTAGGAGTGACCTGGATTAGTTAAAAGTCGTATTTCACCCACATTTCTCAGTGAAACAGCATACAGGTGTTTTTCCAAAGGACCTTCGCGTAAACCCAGAAAATAAACTATGCCATACTCCAAATTGACCCAAATTTGTTGGCCAAGCACTTCCCAATCACCACTGGTTAGAGCCACTCTAGAGCCATTTGACTGACGATAGCCTAGGCAGAGCAGAAAATTATTAACTGAATACTAAAGAACCCTTTTCCATCATGAGCTTTCTCAGAAAGAAAGAAAAAATAAAAAAGGATTCGAAACATACCTGAAGGATCCAGAGCTTCATCAATACCATTTGGAACACCAGCCAAAGGAACTGTGTACAGGTAAAGATGCCGGAACCCTGTTTCTTCACTGACACATATAAATTGGACCTCATTGGCTTCTGTTCTTGGGAAGAAGTATATTAGGTTGTTCACATTTATCCACACTTTTGATTCCTGACTACATACTGTGTGAACCATTTGGTGGTTTTGAATAAAGTGTATATGGTTAGGAGATGTGTTTGATAAAGGTGGTGAATGTGGTGACGATGCTGGAGATGCTGGAGATGCAGCGAGTGCAGAAACCTCTACAAAGTAGTCGACTGATATCAGTACTAATTCAAGATGCTGCTGCTTGCGATCCAGTAGTTGAGCCCAAATGCTGAACAGAAAATTACATGATAATAGGAAGAGTTTATTAGGATGTTAAATTGGAGGTCAATGTAAAAGTACTGTACTCACAAATCTGACTCTGGGGTCCATCCTACCCTAACGAGGTACTCCATCCATGGAAATAAGATACTTAGAGGAGTGACCATTTCTAATTCCCGTATGTCGATAATTTGACATGAGCCTGAAACTTTGAATTCAACCAGCTTCAAGGTTGATCTTGAATTGGGTGTTCCTGCTCTAGGAAACCTACAAAGAAGAAAAATTATTATACTATAGCCATATATCTTAGTTAATGCAAATAATGAAAAAAAAATATACTCAAACCTGAACTCTTCAACTTCTCCATTGTTTTGCAAATAAGAAGGAAAGCCATGGATTTTCACTTCACTCTCATCAACTTCTTCATATGCTATTCGGTAAATATCATCTGAAACCAATACAAAAACCAATGAGCATCTGGCACAAAATCCAATAAATGTAATAGCAAACTTAAGATTAAAATTGTATTACCGTTTGTTGCTCCTTGCCACCAAAACCCTTGAAAACGACAAAACTCTTCCTGTATGACATATGATGGGATACCAGCGGACAAAGGGTCATCTCCAATATTTCCAGTGTTTTTATGAGCAAAAGTCAGGCGCTGAGTATTACCTACAGAAACGGAACCAGTTAACAAAAAAATAAAAGATATAAAACTACTCAAAGCTGCTGCAGCAGTGCAGTTAGGAGGATAATATTGAAAATGAGAATAACATTACCAGTTATTGTATGTGTAACATAAATATCCTGATTGTTGATGAAGGCAACTAGATCTGGATTTGAGGGACATATTTGGGGATTTAGTTTTGCTCCTGGGAGGTTCATCCTTATTTCAGTGGGGTATAATGAACTGCTCTGTAAAAGAAAAGAATAGTGAGCACAACATTTGTTTGCCATTCTAAACCTTAAGACGTGAACCACTCAATCTGAAATACTTACAGAAAATCCAGTATCCACACATTGAAATAAGTTGCTTGCTAATGGAAATATGATTTTCCCTGAGCTTGGATGTAATTCATAGCTAGTAATACCCCATGAGAGCGACTGCCGTTTCCTCTCAACCAACAATAATTCTTCTCGAGATAATTTACTTGCAGTTGCATTGTTTGAGAAATTCGGTTCCAGCAGATGGGGACAGTGTAAACGTTTAGATACACTGCTAAAAGTGACAAACAAGTTAATACTCAAGGTTCCTTAACTTTATAAAAATAGCATCATAAATAATTTAGATGGGTAGTTTGTTACCTTGAGTTGTCTGAAGCACTGATATCCGTGTATAAAAGAGGCACTTCACTACTGTTCATATGGTTTGGCAGAAAATAGACTCTTGTCCTCCCATTTGGGAGAGATCGAAATGTTATATTGCTGGGAATAGTTGCCCCTAACCCTGAGAGTTGATTACGAAGCTCGTTCACAGCAAGCTTCATATCGGCCCATGATTTCCTTGGCTGTGTCATTTTGAATATGCTAGTCTGAAAAAGAAAAAAAAGGAAAAACAAATCGTAATTATTTTATTTGATAAGGAAAAGCACAAGAAAATCATAACAGCAGACACCATTGATTCAGTTTTCATCCACTTGCTTCAAACGCTAGGAGATGAAACAAGACTAGTGACAATAATACTTACCACTCGACCAAAGACCAGTCCTTCAGTGTTGAAGTAAAGACGAGCAGCAGATGTCCACAATCATGGTTTCAATATTCATGCCTTCCAATGAAAGACATGGATAGGGTTAGACACCAGACTAAAGGTGAAAACAGCTGTTCAACAAGCTACGATGCTAGCTGTCAAATGTACGCCGTCAATTTTTTCAACCATGATTTTGTACGAAGAGAGACGATGACAGAAATAACTAAGAGTAGCTTTTAAATTTTGCTGCACCTAAAAATAATACAGAACAGCAAATATAAACACGTTATAGTACTACCCCTGTAACTTTTCCAAAAGTAGTTCTGAGCTACCGGCGATCTGTCAAGTTGTGGTGGACGAAGACGAATGTTTTAATTAAGCCATGTACTGGAATATTCTATAGTGTTTCTAGGTGAAATCCACATGAGACAAGCCGTGGTTGTTACTGATACTTGGCAGTTTCACTGGAAAATCAGTGTTTGTTGTTGTGAGATGCACTTTAACCATTTGTATTGAGTAGCAGAAGTGAAATGGTCGTGTCAACTTAGGGGTACCGAAAAAGGCAGTTAAATCTCTTTGAAACTGTTGAAAAATATTAAGGGTGAAAAAAGTAAAACGAAGAATATTTTCGAGAAACTATGTCGTTTTCATCTGAATTATCTGTGCCTGTGGCGAACTATTTTTTTTAGCCGGCATGCAGCGTAGGAAAAGCAGAAGAGTTCTCATCCCAGAATATGAAAAATTCTGCCATCAAAACTTCTGTTGTCGCGACCCAACACCTAACCTAGAGCATGGTACCCGTTCGGACAGCTGTTTTCACCTGAATTCGTCGATGTTTCGCGACTCGTGAAACTTGAGTGTCTGCTCTAAGATTTGTTGGATCCAATTTTCATAGCGCTGCAATGATGGCCCTGCGCCTCGTGTCGCAGCAGGCTGTCGCAGGCTTAATGAAACGGCCCACGGTGAGTGTGTCGTCTGAAGTCGAAGTCGTCTGTACTACCCAACCACCAATCTTTCTCAATATAGCAAAGCCCGGCTTGTTTATTTGGCTTAAAAAAAAATTAACAAAAACGATAGAAAAGCTTTTCTTCAAAGCTTATGGTCTTATCAATACTTTCAGATGGAAAAATTTTACGCCTTCCCTTCACGTTTCCATTACAGAATTAACACACTTAATTCAGAGATGTTTCTTCAATTTCTTTTAGCAGCGGGGAGCATTGGGCTCTGTTTACGGCAGTCATGAACAAGTCAGGACTGTAGTTAACAACAAGCACAAGGATCCCAAGTTCAAGAACTTGCGAAGATTAAAAGTAAGAAACATTTTAATGATATATCATGAGAACTTTATAAAGTAGTGATGTTACATTGATTCTCTTTTTCAGGTTACTACACAAATGCCAATGAAATATACTAACAATGTTGAGTTAGCTATAAGAGACGGCTTCATTCAAAATATTCCCAATTTAAAAAAGCTTTGGAGAGAACGTGACATGTCTATAACAGGTTCCTCCACTTTGGCGGAAGAATTTGTCCCACCAGAGAATCAGGGGCTGGCCATAACTGAGGTGATGACTCATGCAGCTACTGACATAATAAAAATTACAAACTAACAAAGTGGAACTGACATTCCTCTTTTTATCCAGGAAGTTAAAAAGAAATGGAACAATATAGGGAGTTTTGGAAAAGATAAATTGGCTGTAAGGAAAATAAGACAATTTGAAACTGAATTTAATTTGAAAGCATTTTTAGGGGAAGCTCAAGAAACTTACATTAAAGCACATGAGTGTCTTGCTGAGTAAGTTACTAGATGCTAACAGTACATTTTGCCAGTGTATTTGGTGGAAATTTCATTGAAAATTGTTGCTTTTAGGAGGAGCAACTGGGAAAATCTCAATGACTATGTTACGGAATATGCAAGAGTAGTAAGTATATGTGTACATTAATCAGGTTACTTAAATGTTTTCCTACCAAATTGGGTTAAAACTATAATGAATTATTGCTTTCCAAGGCAATGCTAATGAATGCATCACAACGTACCATTCGCTGGAAATTTCTAGAGTCGCTGGAAGAACCTAAGGCTGTCCAAGTAAGATGTTTTAAATTGGATGAAGATCTAAGTATGTTTGCACAAATCACAGTGAGATTTCATTCACAACAAGTAAGACTCTGAAGTAGAGAGACTGTTCACTCATTTGATCTTTTTCGTTCTTAACTAATGAGTTTTCATCCTACAGTGTCTCGCAGTATATGACAGATTTGGAAGGTTGCTCTATGGAAGTGAAGTATTAGCCAAAGATGTCTTAGAATATGTTGTTTTTGAGAAGCACTTGAGTAATGAATACGGTGTTTGGAGAGTTCATGCCAAGCTTATCCCTCAAGCCCGTATCAGGTATGGTTGATATTCATAATAATCCCTTGAATTTTGACACTTGGACTTAATAAACATTAGACTGTTGAAATCTTTCAGGATGGCTGAGCAAACATTTGTAGCTCCTAAAGAAGAACCCCAAGAAACTTCTTCTGTGGTGACTGAACCTGCTCCTGAAGCGGTGGCAGCCAACACTAACTAGTTTGACGATTAAATAAATTGGTTCAACCTTGATTTTGGGGAAACAATACCAACTTGCTTCGTTTTGAGTTCAGCATACAATGTGTGAAATAATAAAACATGGAATGTTAACAAACTTATCCTTTATTTTTCCCTTTTACTTGTGCTTTGCCAATGGCAGACAGGAGAAATACAATGAGAAGGGAACCGATATTGTGATCAGTACACAAAGTTGTGATGTTACATGCAAGTATAAACATTATGCTAGTCTCTCCCACTTCTGATAGGTCTTCAGAAAATTTGTGCTTGGAATGTTCAGTACATTCAGCAGTGTTATTTGCATTTTGACGAGATAAAATTGCACTGAATTGTCTCAAGCTCAAATTCTTAATATGTTGTTATATTCTTATCATCCTTTTCTTCCTTTTTCAAATTTAATAAATAAAGCTTGGAAACCAACCACCTTAACTTACAACCCCTCTGTAAATGGTCGTATTACTTCCGTTTCCAAATCATCTCCAAGCACAATTTTCAGATTTGGTTTCCTTTTATTAAAGCTGTCAAGTGTTGAATACATTTCTTCTGATACTTGGGTAAGGGACACGTCAAGCAAACTAAGATTCGGGAGAAAGTTTTCAACCAGTTTAACTTGATTTGGATTATCAAAACCTGCAAAGTCAAAAAAATGCATTTCTGCCAGAAATGCATTGTTTCTTAAAAACATATTAAAAGTTTCTTCCTCAATACAGGACTCAAGGCCCCAAAACTCCCGTACATTGTTGAATTTCGAAAGCAAATGCCATACAAATCCCTGCCTTTCGCCTTCTGTCTCCATGAGACTCTGTAAAGTTAATTTCCAAACACCACTTAGCATCGGTGTTTGCTTAAACCATTTCAAATCTCCATCTTCCTTGCCATTGTCTGACACTGCCAAAATTTTGAGATGGGGCATTTGTGACACAACTCTGAGGCAGCCAGTGCTGACCATTAACTCTTCTACTAGTGATCCCTGGAAAACACCAGCATTCAGTAAGGAACTGGCATCGTCAGGCAACTGGCATGGCAAGCAAAGAACTCTTAAGGTAGGTTTACATAACATTATGAGATCACGAATAAATGGACATTCATCAGAAATAAAACTGAGGCTATCAATCTTCAGAGTCCGCAAATGAGGATGCTCCAGACTCAAATCCCACTCGTCCCAGTCTCGCCAATACTCTCCAACCAAATGAAGATGGGAAAGGCGCTTCATTCCTGCTATCAGAGATTGGAAAGAGACCCCATCAGTTGAGTCCTTGGACTTATGGGATTGAATTAATTCTCTATCTACCTGCATACTTAAATGCTGTAGGGTGAGTTTATTATGTGCAAGAAGGGCAATCAAGTCTGCTGGGGTGGGCCAGTTGCGATACCATTCTGACTCTGCAATTATTACAAGTTTCCTGACGGTAGGTCCTCGAATGAGGTAATTCATAGCATCGGGTGGATAAGATGGTAATATATACACTTCCCCAATACAGGGAGCTTCTTTCAAAACTTCCATGTAGAGTGTCTGGTCTTTGTCATCTAGAAAAAGCTGAGTCTTATTCAGTGTACATGGATCTTTAGCAATTCGTTCCCACCGTACACAGACTTTGGCTATAGTTCCATAGAGATCCAAAGCAGAGAAATGCGAAAAAATTTTCTGGAGCAGTTCATCGAATAAGTCATTGACTGTCTGCAAAAAATAAAATATAACATTGAAATTTTGTTATCAAATGAGCTGATATACCTAACATGCAAAAACGTTCTCTTACCAATGGATCTGATTCTAAATTTTCTTCTATATTGCCTTCACAGTCTAGCACTCCTTGAGGATCCTAAAAACAGAGACAAATTAAACAGAGAAATCTCACTTAACACAAGTCATTGATTGACTTTTACTCACTTGAAGCATATCTTGAGAAGTGGAAGACACATCCGATTTTCTTCGCTGAAATATATGAAGTAAAGATAATTATCAGAAAAAAAATCACCAACGCGTGAAAATATTAGTCTAGTTATTGTTACCGTTCATAACTTACTTTCGAGGCTGGCCATTTGTCATTTTTCTCCTGAAGCCCTTGAAAGGACGACTAATAGAAAAAATTAATTTAGAAAATTAGTTTTTGAAATGGATAGAGCCAAAGTGATACACTGGAATAAACCTACCTGACAGGATCCAGACCCCTTTTCATCCATGCTTGCTTTAAAAGTCAATTAGAGCAACTTGCATCTGAGCATGGCCCTACCAGTAAATAAAACTGATAAATAACAGAAAACTGTTCCCGCACACTGGGGAAACAGAATAAAGAAAATCAATGATATGAGTACAGGTTTTCAATATTAACGTCTAAAAATTTGGAAAAAGAAAAAAAGGAGGGCAATGAATTTTATTTTCAACGAAAACGGGAAACGAAGAAATAAAATAAATTGCAGGACATTAATGCTCACCGTGGCTTCTGCTTCATAGAGGACTATAACCTTTATAAGAGCTACCTAAGGCAGACCCTCCAAGTTTTCAGCTCTTCCTTTGTAAATACCTCAAAAGACTCGGTTGAAAAAAAAATGGCAACAGGTTTCAAGATAAATTAAGGACAACGAAAAATGTGTTCCAACATTTCACAACAAATTTTGTGTTTTGTTAGCAAAACAACGATGATGAATTTGTCATGCTGTAGTGTGGTTTGGTATGAAAAATAAGACAACACTCAGCGCCTGCTCTCCGCTCATACGTAGCTGGTTGCCTACGTTCACAGGATGGCCTTCCCCAATGCTCCTCGATATAGTCAAGAGTCACGGAGCTGAGGGGTCAACACCGAAACGATTAGACGAGATAGCCCCAAAAATGGGAATAAAGGCTGGACTCCATTGTGGGTTCACCAAGGCAAGGGAGAGCCGAAGCAGCAATTGACGAACAACAGTCTTCAACATTACAGGGCAATTTATTACTTCTTATTCATACAAGTATGTACAGAATACCGCGATTGCTTGTAAACTACCGCTTGAGCCAGGTGTAGCTTCGGCGCGCGCCCCTCTTGCCGGTCTTCTTCCGTTCAGCTTCCCGCCTGTCGTAGTTGAGCAACCCGGCTGCAACAAAAAGCACGGCGTCAACGCCAGGTTGCCTGCAACGGCCAGCACCGCAGACGTTGCCGGACTTACCTATCTGCATCTCGTTGCGCTTGTCCTCGTTCACGAGCGGGGTGAGCGCCACGGCCGTCGCGTACCTGGCCGCCCCGGCCTGGGCAGAGGATCCGTTGCCCTCCACGGTGATGTCCAGGTCCACCTTCTCCAGCATGCCGGTGAACTGCAGCGGGTACAGGATCTGTAACACAGGGAATGCCGCTGCAGTCGTTCGCCTTGCCCTTTATTGAGGCGAGGAAGTGGGAAGGGGTTGGAATCATGGTGGAATGCGGCGTCCGAGGCGACAGGCAGCGCCAACGCCAAACTGCCGACCCCATTTCTGAAGCGACTTTGGCCAAACGCAGCGGAAGCACAGCGCGACTCGGATGCGGAGCTATAGTGGCTGTGTGGATGATGGAACCATTCTTGTTCGACCGGGTGCAGCCTCTAGGTGCAGCCTCCGTGCATCCGGAAGCACTGGCCGTCCACCGAGGAGCCGAGGCCGCCTCGTCGTGGCCCCGTCTCGGTGCGCGTGGTGCGCGAGGTCCCGATGTCCCGGGGGCGCGGATTCCTCATAAGTCACGGCGATTCAGAAGATCTCTGTCTCTCTCGCACCCTTACGGAGAGCCCCATAAGTGCGACAGAGACGGAGTGACGAAACAACTCTTCTGAATGGCACGGCTCGGCTGAGTGTCGCGGCCATGCGGCCTCTCTATGGACCCTCGGACGTCCTCCCGGCCGCGCGTGACACCAAGGCACCAAGACGTGGACCTGGCAGGGCAGCCCGTCCAGCAAGCCAGCCCATCCCAGCCAGCAGACTGACTGCGAGAGAAGTTGTCACCGCTCTGTCTCTCTCGCACTCATGCGGCTCCCCGTAACGGTGCGAGAGAGACGGAGCGACAGAAACGAGTCTCGAAATCGGTCTGCAGCCCCGCGGCGGTCCCCTCCCAGCCAGCGCGGCATGGCAGTGCTCGGTACCGGCTGGGGCCTGGGCTGGGCTGGCCGGGCTGGCCGCAGTGTGTCTGGAGCCGCGGACGGAGACGGGAAGGCACGGGCCGTCGCATCAGCGAGACGCGCTTCACGTGGCGCAGGAGGCGCGGACCACGTCAAGCACCACGTCCACCACAACGGCGAGCTGCAGAGCGCCAATCAAACGTGTCTCGTCATCGCGATCGCCACGGAAGTCCTTCGGCAAGACCAAGTGGAGTGCCGCCAATGACCGGCCAAGTTCTTTGCTGATCGCCGGCACAGAGGGGCACAGCGGGGCACAGCGGGCTCCAGTGGGTCCGGGAGTCAAGTGTGACACCGCGTACCGCGGAGTGGCAGGAGCCTATTTCGCCAGCGTGCGCAGCGTGCAGGGACACTGTGAGTGCCACTCGCCACGCCAGCAGGACAGCCGTTCCCGCGCCGCGGCATGCGAGCGCCATGACGGACGAGAGCGAAGAGGTAAGAGAGGCAAACGGATGGGCGAGTGTGAAGGCTGGGCGGACGGGCGGCAAAAGGCCGCGACAAAGGGCGGAAAGCGAGGAAGGCGAGGCCTCGCAGTGGATGCTCACCGAGGAGGTCCGGCAAGACTCCCAAGGACGGCGGGGACGGAAAGGGAAAGTCTGTGGGGCAGCACACGTCGGGCCTCTGCCTTCATCCTGGTGCACGACAGCAGGGCGATTCACGAGAGCGGTTTGTCTCAGTCCCCCTCGCGCCCGCCGCGTGAGTGCGACAGAGACAGAAGGACCGCCACAGGGGTCGCGTAGGCAGCCCGCAGCGGGCCGGCGCGCTGCAGACCGCGCGGCTGCCTACCTCCACGGCGGCCCCACACGCCACAACATGTTGTGCACGACGGGCACGCTCGTCCCTCGCTCCTCGTTCCCACACGTAATTCGCGTGAATTAAATCCAGATCAGGCCCGGGCCTTCGCCTTCACCTTGTTGGTCGTTCGGCCTGGCAACGCCGCCCCCGCCACGCGGGCTGGGCCGACGCGCCGGCCCGCGTGCGAGCGTGCCGGACGAGCAGCGCGAAGCGAAGTGGTTAAGTGCGAATCAGCCCATGATTGCAGCGGCAAGGCGTACGGCGAGACGCGGTGCGACGCGGTGCGCGACGCCCGGACGCGGTACGTCGCCGCGCTGCAGCGGCAGAGGAATCCAGCGACTCATCCCAGCCCGCAGCGCGCCGCAGCGCCATGCTCCACCTCCACCGGGACCTCCGGGACCGCGACGGCCTGGGGCAGGGCAGGGGCAGGGCGGGCAGGGCCGCGCCGCGCATTCAAGTCTCCGACCGACGCAGGACAGAGGCATTTGGGCCGCCTGCCGGCCTGCCTGCGTCCCGTCTAGCTTAGCTCGCTTCGCACGCGCCAAACGGGTTCCCTAGTTCGCGTCGTCCACCCCGCGGGCAAGCGCGAAGCGCGACGGAAAGTCTTGATTCGCAGAGACCGTCCCGCCCGCTTGACCCAGCTCGGCGGCTCTGGCGGCCCCATCCAAATGATTGACTCCCCAAGCGCGCGCTGCTGGCGGACTCGCGGACGATAGCGATGTAGGCCGGCGCGACCCCGTCCCAAGAGAAGCACTGCTTGGTGCTGACTGGCAACGACACTAGTGTCACTGTCCAACTAGAGACGCGGGCGCATTGGCCCCTCCGAGGGCCTGGGCACACCACCGTCAGCGTGCTTTTCCACTCAGCAGGCTGATTCCGAGAGTCGTTTTCGTCGCTCTGTCTTTCTCACAATCATGGGGCGTCCCTTATAGGTGCGAGGGAGATAGACGGCTCTCGGAAACAGTCTGCAGGCGGCGAAGCAGGCGAAGCGATGACGGCGAGGCAAACAAAACACGGCACATGATTGTGTCGTCAGCCTGCACTTCTCTCTCGCCGCCAACGCGTCTGCCGGAAGCTTATCGCCTGGGGCTTTGGGGGACTGGGCCGCTATGGGCCGCACGTCACTGTTCCTTTCCCTCTCGTGAGTCAGGCGGCCTGAAGCGGCCTGAGGCGGCCCCCGCAGTCCGGGTCGGTCCTCGCGCCCACCCGCTAATCCGCGTCCCTGCCGTCCCCGCTGCAGCAACGGGGACTCGCTGCACAGCGCCGCACAGCGCCGCAAACCACGGCGAGACGGACGAGACGCGGCGCGCACTTTCGCCGCCCCGCCGCCCAAACGTGGCGGATCCGTATCCGATTTGAGGGGAGGGCCGGGCAGGGGCAACGCGTGGCCTTTCGGCAAACTTTCAAGACGGACACCTACGGAGGTGCAATTATCCTTTTGGCGCCTCCACCCCTACCCCCCATCCCCCCAAAAAAGTATCCGTGCTTGCGTCAAAAACACGTCTATCCGTCCGCCCACCGCGCCGCCCAGCATCAGCAGCCTGCCTTATCGCGGAACTGGCAGCGCGGCGTCCGTCGCGGTGACCGTGTCGTCGTGACCGACCCGCGGACCGGCCGACCGGCCCCCGCGACTAGACTTGACTGGCGGCACCCACAACGACTGGCGAGGCACACCTGCCGCGCCTTCCTGTTCGCAAACTTTAATTTCAACGCTTATAGGATAGAGCCTCGGGCGGCACGACGCCGCCGTCGCCGCCGTCAGCGCGCCCCTCGCTGGCCCCGCGCTCCGCCACGCTCGGCGATGAGTCACCCGGCGTGTGCGGACCGCGGACCCGTCCAGGACTGACCAGGGCCTAACGGGACGCGCCGCATGTAGTGAGCGCTGCGCTACGCTGCGCCCGCCAGCCACTACACCGGCGAGACGCCGGCGCGCATGCCATGCCGCGTGCCACGGTGCCGCGGCCGCGCGATGCGAACCAGATCGGCCCCGCGCCGCGCCCCGCCGCGTCCTGTCCGTGGCGACCCGGCCGCCGTGGGACCGCGGCCGCGGCGCTGTGGCGTGGGCGGCGCAGCAGCAGCGCCGCAGCGCGATAAACAATTCTCCGGCTCGTGCGCGGCGGCGGCAACGCGCGGCAACGTGAGCACGTTGGCCAGCGAAGCGCGTCACGTCGGTGACGAGCGGCACGCCATCCCCTGCACCGCGCCGTGGACGGCCGGACGGCCGCGGGGCTTCCCCACCCTCTCTCGGCTACTGCGGCGCGCTGCGGCGCATCCCAGTGTGCCAGAGTGATTCACGGGCATCGCGGTGCGCAACGCCCCCCTTCTCCCCCACTCACACTCTCACACACGGTGGCCGTTGGCCGGGTACAAGGACGGACAAAGGACGGCACGTCGCGGACCGCGTACGTGTGCGCCAATCAGAGCACTCACAAAACGCAGCGGCCACGCGAAAGCAACATTTCGAAAACATACAAAACATGGCAGCATGACCCTTGGACAACACACTGGGAAAGGGGGCGAGGGGGAGTCCGGAAATTGTGTCCAAAATGGCAGCAGTGCGGTGCGATGCGGCAGCCCGGTGCCCCCCTTCCCCCCGCGCATTTATAAAGCGGCGAGATTAGCGTGCGGTTTGGTTTCCACCGTTTGGCGCACGGCGGCACGGCACGCGTGGTCGTGGAAAAGGACGGACGTCACTGCCGCGGCGTGGCGCGCGGCGCGCGGACCGCAGGGGACCGACGGAGACCGACGGGCGCACACTGATACCACATCTAATACCACAACATTTTCGGGCACCGAGGAAACGTTTCTTCTCATCTCTGCCCGAAACACGCCTTCGCGTCCCTCGGCCCCCGACAGGCGGGCCGACGTCGCCCGTTTCCTGTTGTGTGCTCGCTCGCGGAGCCCCGCCCGACCGCCGGCCCCGCCCCCGCCACGACAACGCCGATTCGCAGTCTCCCAGTTACGGGGAAAGAAAGTCGCGGCGAAGTGAGTGTGTGAAAGGGTCTTACAGAACTTATTTTCGCAGGACTGCCGGCGGCGTGCCCCCCGGGCCCAGAGGAGCTCGTCGGTGGGTGTGGACTCGGTGGAAGTTCTCAACCAGCTCAACCACAAGCGGGACCTGCGGGAGCTGGGGGCGCCGAGGTAAGCGAGGGCCGCGCCACTTTGGGCGCGCGCTCACGACGACGCCCTCCTCGCCGTCGTCGGCCGGCTCAAAGTCCTCCTCCGTCTTCTCGGCCAACAGGTACAAGACGGCGGGGCCGTCCCTGTCGGAGCGATGGCGCAGCTTCCGCCGCAAGCAGCGCGCCATCTCGGCCAGCGTCTCGGCCAGCGACCTGGAGGGGCGCGGCGTCGACGCGGCCGAGGACGACGACAAGGCCATCGTGCTGGACGAGAGCCCGCCCTCCGAGGACTACGGGTAAAGTCAGTCAGGCGGCCAAGTGCGAGCATGTTCACGCGCGGCGCGGTTCCCCCTGAGATGTCCGCGGAACAGCGACCATCTACGCGATGCCGGCTTTGCCGGCTTCGCCGCGCGCACGCCGCTGCCCTTCAGGTTGCGGGATTTATGTCCGCGGGTTCCACTCCCGGCAGGGTGTCTTCTTTTCATCCTCGGGGCGACGAGGCGACGAGCGGCCCCGGACGTAATGGCGCACGCGGCAGTAAAGAGAGGCAGGGGGAGAGGGAAGTCCCCCACTTCACAGACAGCGCGCCGCCTGCTGCCGTCGGCCGCCGTTTGGCGCGGATCTAAACGCCGTTTGCTTTCCACAGCTTCTTTGAGAGCCTGGACTGGCACATGGAGGACGAGCTGAGCGTGCGCATCTGCAAAGACACCATCCGCGGCAACCTCATGAACCAGATGCGCGCGGCGAGCGGCGCCACCAGCCCCGTCCACATGAGCCACAGCAACAGCGGCGCCGGCCAGCCCGCGGTCCGACTCGAGGACCTCGAGAACGGCAAGGTGCCGCCCGACGCCGTGGCAAAGGTACGGCGAGGTGTCTGCCATTTCCCCGTGTCTTTGGTGGGCGTGTTTCAATGCATCCTCTCCTTGGCAGGCGTTCGAGGGCCGCAGCCTGGAGGAGCGCAGCGTGGCGCTGCTGTGGGCCTGCTTCCTGGGCCGCGCCGACCTGGCCAGCGCCGTGCTCAACACGGGCGCCGACCCGCACTGGATCGAACCCGCCGACGGCCTGGGGGCGCTCCACCTGGCCGCCTTCTCCGGATCCGTCGAGTGCTCCAAGCTGATGCTGTCCAAGGGCCTGGACGTCAACAAGGTGCACCGGTCCTTCGCGCCGCTGCACTGCGCCATGTTCGGCAACGCGGTGGAGGCGGCACGGCTGCTGCTGCGGAGCGGCGCCACGCTCACGCCCAAGCACCCCCAGGTGGCGGCCCTGCACCTCGGCAAGCACCCCACCGCGTCCGCCGTGTCGCTAGCGGCGCTGTCCGTGCCTCTGGCGCCGCCCCTGGGCGACATGGGGGCGCCCCTCGCGCCCGTCGCCTCGCTGTCCCGCGCACCCACCCCCAGCGCCAGGGACACCAACCAAGCGCAGGCCGGCCAGGCCGGCGCCCACTACGAGTGCCCCCTGCACTGCGCCGTGCGCGCGGGGGTGGGGCCCGCGGCGGGCGACTGCGTGCAGCTGCTGCTCGAGGTGGGCGCCGACCCGCGCTGTGTGGAGCCGGGCGGCGGGGGCTGGACACCGCTCCACATCTCGGCGGACAGGGGCGCCGTCAGGAGCGTCAAGGTGCGTAGGGCCGTTGGTGTGCAACTCGGGGCACTTCCAAGCGACGGTCTCAGGGCCATTCCGCACAGACCTCGCACCCAGGGCTAGACCCTACCCCCTTCCTCCAGTCGCCCTGCTGACTCCCGTTTCCGCCCACAGCTGCTCCTGGACGCGGGCGCGGCGCTGGACGCCACCACTTGGGAGCGCGGGCTGACGCCCCTGCACGTGGCGGCCGAGGGCGGGTGGTCCGAGGTGGTGGAGGTGCTGCTCAAGCGCGGCGCGGACGCGGGGGCGCGGACGTCGCGCAGGCAGACGCCCCTGCACCTCGCGGCCCGCGCGCAGAGCGTGGACAGCGTGGACCTGCTGCTCCGGGAGGGCAAGGGCCGCGCCGACCCCAACGCGGCCGACGCGGACCAGCGGACGCCCCTGCACGCCGCCGTGGGCAAGGCCATCGGCGCCTACGACATGGTCGAGGTGAGACGGCGCACCCCTTTACCGCTAGCGCAGCCATTGCGCAGCACTCGGACAGAAAAGCAAGCCCCAAAACCTAACGCTGCCGCCGGGACTCGAACCTGCTCCAGGTGTTGCTGAGGTGGCAGGCCGACGTCAACGCCCCGGACCGCTACGGCTTCACGCCCCTGCACCTGGCGGCGCACAACGAGCTGTCGCAGTGCGTCGAGACGCTGCTGTACCACGGCGCCGACGTGAGCGCCAGGACCAAGGGCGGCATCCCGGCGCTCAGCATCATCGCCAGGAAGACGCCCGCCTCCCTGGCCATGCTAGGCCAGAAGCTGGACGCCGCCATCAGCATGCACGACCCGGAGGTAAGGCAGTCGCTCGCGCAGGCGCAGGGCGCAGGCGTTTACGGTGTGAGGCATTCCCATTCTCATTCCCACCCCCACAGGTGTCACACAGGGAGGTGGAGCTCAAGCTGGACTTCCGTCCGATCCTGCAGCACTGCCACCAGGACGAAACATCCTTCCTCAAGACGTTCGTCGACGAGGAGGGCCAGAAACACTTTCTGGAGCACCCGCTCTGCCAGGCGTTCCTGCACCTCAAGTGGCAGAAGGTGCGCAAGCTGTACGTGTTCCGCATCGTGCTGTGGGCACTGTTCACAATGCTGCTGACGCTCTACATCCTGACCGCCCTGGGACACGACTGCTACAATGAAGGCAAGAACGTTACGCTCACACCAGACTTCTGCTTGAACAACTCCATGGTCGGGACGCTCTTGAGGGAAAATCCTACTTTCATAGAAATAGAATGGTAAGCAAAACATTCCTATTCCCTCTGGCTTAAAACTTACAATCCAAATAATCTATGAAATAAGAGTGTCCCTGTTCTCTAGGTATATTTTGGTGTTCCTAGCGTTATGTGAGATTATGCGCAAGACTATTTGGATATCAGCATACAGTTCACCCTACCAATATTTAGCACAATCCGACAACTTAATTGAGTGGCCTGTGCTTGCAAGTGTGTTTGCTGTTTCTTTCATATATTCAGGCAAAACATATGGGTGGCAAAATCATGTTGGAGCATTCTCTGTTCTCTTTGCATGGATCAACCTCATGGTATGATTTTATAGTACTTTATCTATTCCAAATTTGAAGAATTGAAGAGACTAATTTAAATAACTATACTTGCAGGTGATGATTGGCCAATTACCAGTGTTTGGGACTTACGTGGCAATGTATGTAAGGGTGCAAACCGAGGTTGCCAAACTGCTAATGGCCTACGCCTGCCTTCTCATTGGATTCACTATCACATTCTGTGTCATGTTTCCAGAAACACAAACTTTTTCTAATCCTTTTGTGGGATTCATAAAAGTAAGTATTAAATAACAGCGCTGATGATGATGATGAATAGTGAACTGAAATAACTGTCCCTGTTGTCCACAACTTATAAAATTGATTTCCAACAGGTTCTAGTGATGATGACTGGAGAGCTGGACTTTGAGGACCTATTAGATGGTGATAGCACTGGCAGTAAGCCTGCTCTGCTGCTAAGTGTGTCAGCTCACCTAACATTTGTTCTTTTTCTCCTATCTGTAACTGTAGTGTTAATGAATCTCATGGTTGGCATTGCTGTACATGACATACAGGTATGCACAAAATGATAGCAAAGTACTTGCACAAAAATACTCGTACTTGAATAATATTTGTGGTTTTGTTTCCATCAACAGGGTCTCAAAAAGACAGCAATTCTGTCAAAACTAGTGCGTCAAACAAACCTCATTTCTTATATAGAGCGTGCTCTGTTTAAGGGATATTTACCCAGACATGTACAGAAGTTATTACGACAATCAGCTCTTGTGTCCCCATCTGGATATAGAGTTGTTTTACATGTAAAACCATTAAATCCTAGAGAGGTAAGACTACCAAAGCCAGTGTTAGCAGCTGCTTACGATGTAGCGAAACAAAGACGGAAAGGCAACCGTACAATTTCATCTTATGGATCTCATCGACCAATATGGCACGGACACAAAAATGGATCGCAATCACATATCAACCAGCTGACGCAGGAAGTGCGTGAGCTTAAAGAGACTGTGAGAGAATTGCTAATGACACTCAACCCAGACCATGAATTACTAGCATTTAGTTAGATATTAAATAAAAACCTCAATCAATGGGGAACAATAGGCGCCCCACACCTGCTGTGATATAAAGACAAATTAACTTTGAAAGTTAAACAATGGAGTTAAGGTGCTACAAATTTTGTAGGAAATCACATTGTTCTGAAGCAAACATCCTATTCAGTGATACTTATTGTTGTTTTTTTTTTACAAATAAAACCTTGCATAAGCTACAAGGAAAAATTGTTGGTACTATTATTACGTTCAAGATGATGATGCTGCTAACATGAGAAAACATGCCACCAAAGACAATACTATCTAAATCTGATCTAATAAAAAATAACTGGTGCTACCGTAAAGATGCAAATATACTTCATCCCCACCCATTCCCATTGACACGAACACAAACAAATTAAGGCCTCAAACTGCCGCACCCCAGAACCAGAAAAAGGACCGCCAATATAGTATTAAAACAAACACTTCTTTTGATACAGCACTTACCTGTTCACGTGCTTGAACATCCTTGAAGTACAAGATGTCATGCTCTCCATTAATAGTTATTTTTCCAGTTCCTGAAGTACGAATGACAACCGTAGCTACGGCATGCTTTCTTCTACCTGCAAAAAGAATGTAGAAAATAAAAGTACATGCTCATAAAATAGATTAAGAGCATGAGCAAAACATAAGTAGATCAAAGGATAACATACGGGTAGCTTCAACAAAGGAACGCCCATCAGCATCTAATTGAATCTGTGAAAGTTGAAATGAATTAGTCCTTGGATTTTACACAGGATTAAATAAACAATTGAAAAGTCTGATGAAGGATGGGAAACCCTACCGATGGCAGTTTCATTTCGGCTACTTGTTTTATTACTGGTTTTCTGTAATTTGTCAAGAAGGATGAGAAACTAGCAGACATTGGATGTCTGGCCAAAGATTCCAGTGTTTCCATTGTTCTCTCAAACTGGAACAAAGAGAGAATGTCAATGTAATGGGCAGACAGATTGAGTTCTTATCTCCTTGAGTGATCAAACAGAAAATTACATGAGAATCTTTCATGCATTCATTAATGGTTTCTTGAATTTCCTTTTTGTTCTTCCACTCTGTAGATACAAGATCCCTACAAGAAAAAAATAACAAAGTGATATGATCAAAATCTCAATTAAATCCAAGGCAACGAAAATAGCTTTGAAAACTTGCATTTGATGTTCCTTTTCAGGAGTATGACCTTTCTTGTGAATCAGGTCCAACAATGCATCAGCTTTATTGATTCGTTTAACTGTTTCCTGGAAAGGTTGAAACAAATGGTAAAACAATAAAACTAACAAAATTCAAAACAAACATTTCAAAAATAACACTCAGTTACAGGCAGTTAACTTACATGCTGTAGCTCATAAGTATGAGGAAAGCCCGTGTAAAAGAGAAAGTGGAATGGTCGCCCGGTGTTGTCAAACTTTGCCGATTGCTTATATTCAACAGGAGGGAGCATCTCAGGTCTCGCAGTCTTCTCAAACAATCCAGAAGGAAGGAGATACTCAATGGCTCTCTGAAAATTCCATCAAGTTTTTAACACCTAAGTACCAAAACACAATAGCTAGAACCCAAAAAGAGGATATCATTAAATTGCTCACATTGACATCTTCAGCGCTGAAAGTTGCAGGGTCTTCCCCCATAATATTAGCTAAGAAACGTCTGCCAGTTTCATATTCTTCTTTAGCTTGAACTGTACCTTCCTCTGTAACATGAACAGTAGACCAATTGAGTAAGACGAAATTGGGAAAACCACATAACATTAGTAACTATATGTAAAGCAAACAAACCAAATTGCTTAACACGATCGATGTAAGACCGCATGGCTTTGCTAATGGTTTTTCGTTTTCTGATGGAGACATTATCAGTTATTGACTTAGACATGTAAGCGACAGCCTGGTGAGGATGAGGGAAGGAGGTGCGTTAGAATCATAGAAGTACATAACCTCAATAACACCAAAAGAGTGTGTCTGGTAACAATAGAAAAAAATATTGTTCTAATTACCTGTTTACCATGCGGCAAAGATACTCGCATACTACATCGTAAGACGTTACTGGCAAGGGAATTCATGGCGGAAAAAAATGTTTAGCAGGTACGGCGAGCCGCACCACTAACCCCAACCCTGTTCCTGTCCTGGTTGTGTGACTATTTAAATTTTTTTGACGGTGTATTATTTGATTTCTCATAAGCGAGCCAGCCGCCTAGTCTCGCGCAAGGGCCCACGTGACAACTGAGCAGGCTGGGGGGGGGGAGGTTAGGGGGCTAGTGAGGGGGTGAAGGGGTTGTTTAGGATTTGGGTTGTTTGTTTGTTTGGTTTGAGTTTTCATGCCAGAAGGGTTAGAAACGTATTTCTGTGGCTAAGATACTGCAAGTAGTTTGTGAAAATTCGCGCCGTTTGTGATTCTCAGTCACAAGATTTTCTATAGCCCGCAATTTTTGTGAGGTTTTAAGTAGGACTGTTTTCCATGTTTTAACCAAGGCAGATTTAGTCCTAGCTGAACCGCGGATTGCGGATTCACCTGATGATGGCCCAACCTTTGAGCTCAGCGATCGACACTGCATTCAAAAGCAATATCGTGCCGGATCAGGAATATCTTCTTCAAGGGAGTGTGCTGGACAAAGTCGTAGAGGTCCTCCTCCACAGGTTGCGAGGACTCTGCGATAATGTTGACTCAGGACCCGAGCCCTTTCAGGACCACGAGATGTGTTTCACAATCCGTAAGTCATACTGAGTAACTTGGTTCACATTTCAATTTATATAATTTTATCATCATCGTTTTTTAATATACGGCATTGTTATTTCAAGTATTATCCATGGGAGCTTGGTAGCTTAGATATAGTTCGCAAGATAAATTTTTTTTGGAATTTTGCAGGTACAACACCAACTCCATTGAACCTACGTGTTCGGCGAGCCCTTGATCATCAAGAGATGCCTTGGCAGTTGCGATATATAGGACAACCTGAATATGGTGATTCTCACTAAACATCAGCTTCTCATGGCATCTTTAAAAAAAAAATTGAAAGCAGTAGTTTTTGAAGTCTTTACACAGATTAAGATTTTCTGACAGTGACATGATACTTACGCTTCACCAGTTGGTAGATGTTCTTAAGCTTACAACCAACTGAATTGATATTTTGTCACAAGAGGCCCTTACGCTGTGACTTGTTCATAGTACCGTATTTTCTCGATTGTAACCCGCACCCCTGTTTTGACCCCTAAGGTCCTGTAATTCCCTCATTAAGTTGCCCCGCTAATAACCCGCAGCGGGTTTTTAGGTCAAAATTGGGAAAAATTGTGCGGGTTATATACAAGAAAATACGGTAGATTATAATCTAGCAATGAGGACCTTTGTCAAGCATCAAATCATAGATGGTTCATCATTGGGCCATTTTCAGGGTGCAAGACCATTGGTGTAGTGCACGAATCTTGCCACATCTTAAGAAAATCTAAGAATTGACCTGCCTTTACAAAACTTAAAATATACTTCCAGGTGACAAAATGAGACCCACTATCATTCGTAGCAGTATTGACATAGGATGCAGTGCTACGGTAGTAGAGTTCTTGACAGAACTAGGATGCCGCATGGAGTTTGAATATATTGCCAGAGGCTACATGTTCCGTAAAGGGCGTATGAAAATAACAGTTTCCAAAGTATTTAAGGTAGGAAATAAAATTTAAAAAGTAATAATAAAATTGGATTGTTATGTAACTCACTATGTATGTGCTTCGTCTTTCAGATGAATCAAAATAAATCTCAAGAAAGTATGGAACCGCTCTCGGAGTCTTACTTAGTAGAGTTGAGTGTGTTGGCACCAAGGGGCCAAGATGCAATTGCTGAAGACATGAGAAGTTTTGCAGAACAACTTCGGCCCCTAGTAAACCTAGACAAGGTTGACTTCAAGCGCTTGGTTCATGGACCCCCCTAAATTTGTAAATGAGCATCAAATGTTACTCAGAATACAATCCTCCTTTTCAGTGGTACAAGTGAAAAGGCATTTATTCTGTTTGAAATAATTTACTTAAAATTGGTGTAACATTAATGCAATAACAATGTCTGAAATATTATAAAGAAAAATATAAGAGGAAAAACAGTACAAAAATTCAATCTGTATTAGAGACAGTATACATTCTCAAATTTTAGACAGACAGACAAATTTTAACACAATTATTTGGTTCAAGGATGGCCTCATCAGTGATTTTAACCTTTAGCTACAATCTGCTGGAACAGGTTCCTCCTCCAAGTCTCTGCTTTCTTCTTCCTCATTGTCACTCTTCTCACTATCAATTTCATTTTCACCTTTCAGAATATCGGGCACATCAATTTCTTCAAGATCTTCTTTCCCACTTTCTGCTTCAGCATCATCGTCATCTTCTTCTTCTTCCTCCTCCTCCTCATCATCATCATCACTCTTGCTCTCAGTCTCATTTCCTTTCTTCTCTTTGGCTCGCATAGCAAAATCATCAATTATCTGCAAAACAAAATAATTGCATTTTTTTCAAATCCTAAGTATTATGTGAACACAACAACCAAACCATACAAATCAGATAGCTTACCTCATTAATCTTTGTCCAGTGCTTAGCATTTTCATTAAGCTTTTCTTTCAGCTCAGTGCTGTCCTCCGCAGGATCTCCCTTTTCATCTTCCATGAATACTAGTAAAGAGTCAGCAACTCCGTGCTTTCTCTGTTTCTGGAGTTCTCCCCCCACTTCTTCAAAAACTTTCTTAGCTAAATTGAATAACAATGATATCAAATTAATTAAAAGAACAACACAATCATTTCAATGATGCAATATTAAGAGTATGCATACCCATATCTTCAATTTCATATTCCTGTAATTTCATGTTGTCTTTTTCATTTGATTCTTTCATAAGTTCTAGAATGTCCACAAAATCAGGAAACTGACCAGTTTTATTGACAAAATTTTCAACACACTTGTTAACTTTTGGAAAACAAGTACCTGATAAAAGCTCAAAATTAGAGTTGTTTTAGTTTCAACACATAACTACTGTCCTTAGTATTTGAAGGGCACATACCTTTAGATAAATGAATTTTGTTTAGATTTCCTGCAGACTTAGACTCCTTAGTATAATCACAAAGTTTTTGAAAAACTTTCACCGCTCTTTGTTTATATCTAAACACAATCAATTAGAAAATAAATTGTTGAGGGTGGGATGAAACTAAAGAAAAAAGAAAACACTAAAATTTTACTTCATTAAGAGATGGAAATATGAATTAGCATCACCTTTGTAATATTATATAAGCTGAATCAGAATCATCTTCCCAGTCAACTTCTTTTTGTTCTAGTTTTTTTATAATTTTTTGAAGTTTCTGCAGATAAAACAAAACAAAACAAGGTAAGAAAATTTGGACAGTTTTTGGGTACAACAGTTGGTTTAAATGGTATATTTAATGCTTAAGTAGTGGTCAATGCAATCATGTAAATACACTGGTCATGTCATTTCAGTCAAGCATATAGAAATGCGGGCCGAAAATGAGTCGGATGGCCGCGGCTCATAGCTCATCGCTCATTCGCGACTCATTTTCGGCCCGCATTTCTAAACGATTTTCTGAAATGGCATGACCAGTGTATTTACTTGATTGAATTGACCACTACTTAACCATTAAACACTAATTTTCGACATATATATCATCTATGAGCAGGGTAGAAGCATAAATGAGGCATGAGCTATGAGCAGTATTGTGGGAGCACCTTAAGGGTTTTGCTTAATTTCTTCATTTTCATTTCATCACGGGCATTTTCTAGTGCATCATAGTCCACATTCTTTGAAACCTTTGAACTAGATTTTATCTTCTTTGTAGGAGGCTCTTCACCCTCCTCTTTGGATGCCTTGACGTAAAAACAAAGCATCATATCAATTAATAATATTCAGAGATTTAGTTAAAACTGAAATAGAAATGTACACTGTACCTTTCTAGCCTTCAACTCTGTGACTAGTTCTGAAATGTGAACATAAACATTTGTTGGGTCCGTTTTGACCTTTTGGAGTTTATTGGATAAAAGAGTATGGAAAGACGAAGTTTTCTTAAAAGCTTGGCTGGTATTGTTGAAACTTTTCTCTACCTTTTTATCAAGAATAGCCTTCATGTCAAATTCATTATCCGCAGCAGCCAAACAGGCATTTTTAAACTGGAAGGATAGAAGAAAAAGGTTACTCAAATTTGTCAAACAGTAGGCCTTGTTACTTGACAACCACCTACTTCTTGCAATATCGTAGCCGCATCTGCCACCGGTGGGTCGTCCTTTTTACTGACAGACGTAGGTCTTATCTGTAAAATGGGAACAAAACTAATAAATAACGATCGTACTGACATGTTTGCTCGAAAAATAATGAACACAAGCTAAGAAGTTGATTGGGTTAGGATTTCCCACTAGCCCGGTTCCGCTTATTAATGGGAGCTTCCAACATATTATAAGAGAGAAAAATATTCCCCAGTACACAGGAAACTACCTTCTTCTTGGCAGGTTTCCCCATTTTGATGAAGATGTATTATTCTACTTTGTACAGCGGGAGGCGGGAGACGGGCACAATGAACTTGCTGCGAGCGAATAGCGTAGCGGTGCGGTACAGTGCCTGCAGCCCCCCCCCCCCCCCGCACCGTCCCGCCCCCAGCCACACCCCCCCGCCCCGCACCCTCCAGGCGGCGGCGGGCCCTTACGAAAGCGTCACCGCGGGCATTGCTTCAGATTGCTTCCATCCGAAATTGAATTATATTCAAATTCAGAAATACCCCAAACAACACACCACAAGGAAAGGAAAGGAAAACATACCAAATTCACAAACAGGCCCACCCACTTACCCGTTTCCTACTGGTCGTCGGATTGGTAGTGGTATTGTTTGTGTCTGGGTTACTGATATCAGATGTATCTCTAGTCACCATTTTCTCACAACTCTCAATAGGTGTGGGTTTCTCTTCCGCAGGGCCATTCTCAGCCGACATACTTTGACATGCAGTCAAACTTAAATTACTTTCACAGCCCACTTGTAAAGTATCAGATGATTCAGTCTTTAAGTCTTCAATTTCAACACTATTAAAATCTATTGCAGCATTGATATGAAAGCCATTTAAATTAATATTGCCATCATCATCATCCAAAACAATACACTCAGGTTCATTATTCTGCCTAGAAACTGAAATACTTCCGTTGTCAACAATGCTTTGATGATTTTTTAAAGGAGATAAAGATTCTACATGGGTAATAATTGGTTGGCTAATTCTATATGACGACGATGATCTTTTAGTTCTCTGGTATGAAGGTTCATATCCATTTAAAAAAACGGGTTTCTTAGGAGATAAGGATTTAACCTCTGAAATAATAATTGGTCGATTTCTTGAAGGAGACAAGGACGTTACACTAGTAATGACAGGTTGAGGTTGATAATCGAAAGGCGGATTAAAAGTTTTGTGCCAAGTTGTATGTGAAGTTCTTTGTCTCATTGGCGGCTGAGCAGATGAGGGTTGAGTCCATCTTTGACACACAGCTGGTGAGGCAATACTAAAAACATTGCGACTAGTAGAAGGTTGCTGTGAAAGAAAAATATATTTATTACGAAAGTATTGACACTATTTTAATCTCAAGCAAGAATTCCATATTTTAAAAGAGGACCACCAATGATGAAAAATAAGACACAAACGTAAACGTTGCATAAGTTGCATAAACTAAACGGTGGCTATGAATGAGACAACGGAGAAATAGGTTAAGTTTTCGTAACAGCTCACCTCTTCTGTCGAATCATCAAGTACTACAATGTCACTATCGTCCATTGCAGTTTGGAGAAATAATAATAAATAATGTTAAATTTCATTGAGTGCATGACATTTTTTCCAGAAATACATAGGCAGACTGTACAAAAATATGTCAAAATAGACAACAAATCAGACTATCAACGTATACACATTTTGTTGTGGCTACCCTGACTGAGACTCCTCAGAGGTCAAGTTTCTCTCTCCTTTATTTAAGCATGCACGAAGATGGACGTTGACGTTATGACTAACCCCGACATAGCTTTAAAATTCTGTCTAATTTTCAGAAAAACAACCTTGAATATGGGGCCTTCCAACTTTCGAATACAACAACCGAGGCCAGCCTGTATCATGACATGTGGGTTATCTATGCTCCAGGCGGTTGGAGCGCACCTTTCTGCTGCCGAATGGGTTGCCTACTCAGACGGCGTGCTGGACAAAGTACGACTTCCCGAGAACTTTTCAACACCCACCCCTTTTCCTGTATCGGCCTACACTAGCTTCGAAGAGACTTCGTAGAAAGCTGATTTCTTCCTTCCTCTAGATCTTAAATGAAACATAATTTCTACGCTCTCAAGAAACTAGAAACCATAAAACGCGTCTTTGGCTTAAACAAATATGTAATGGCTATCTTGGGCTAAAGCGGGGGCGGTTGCGCGGGCGCCAAGCCACTCGCCGTGCATCGAGCACGTGCGCACCTTGGCCATTCCTTCGCCGAGCCTTGGCCGAGGGGGAGTCCCGTCTAAAACCTTCCCTTTCGTACCTTGCCTTTTCTCCCCCCGTCCCCGTCGACCCCCGTCGACGTTGCATCGGGGGCCGATAGGTCAGAGGTCGGCCAACCGCCAGCCACGCTGCCTTGCCGGCCTTGCCGGCCTTGCCGCCACCAGCCCATCATACGCGGCACCGCGGGCAAGGCGAGGCGCACCGCACGCGTTCGGGGGAAGCGCAGCTAGCGCAGCTAGCGCAGCAGCACGCTTAGCCTTCAGCCATGCTTCAGCCCGGCCGGACCGGGACCGGGAGGCTTCCCATCTTCCCTTCGACCCTCGCCGCGCCTCGCCGCGCCGCCAGCCATCAGCCCCGTCCTTTCTGCTCTGTGAAGCCCAGCGATTCCGAGCAGTCGTTTCGTCACCCCGTCTCTCTCGCACCGCGAGGGTAGGCCAGGTAGGCCCCACGAGCGCGACGGAGACAGACCGTCGAAGCGACTCCTATGCCGCCGCCGCCGCCGCGTGCCGCGCTCCTCCCGGAAGATCCTTCTCGTCTTCCACCCGCGGCAGGAGGAAGGAAAGATGCCCATCTCGTCGGCTGATACCAATCTTGCAGGGGAAAAAAAAGAAAAACAAGAGTCGAATCCCCAATTAGATTAGTGGAAGTACATGCATGGCCGAGAAAATCTGCCAACCACTCACAATTTAAAATAGCAATTCAATCAGAGTTGAGTCTTACCACCTCCCGCGATTGAGCGCGCTTACTCAATTTCTCTTTTCCTTCTTTTCTTTTTTTGCAAAATTTAATTGTAAGATGAAATGTGTCTCGCGGCGCGTGGCCTGCGAGTCGCGTGCTCCTTTGTGACGCCATCATCATCCCGACCAAAAACACCCCACACGTTTTAGTCCCGCACTTTATCATAAAATAGGGGAAACAATAATAAAAGCACAAACTCACCTCCTCGTGCGGCACAAAAAGGCACGCGACAAAATACTCCGATGAAACGACCCAGACCTCTACACATATTTATACGCATGTAAAGTATCGCCTGCGTCTTCTTTGTGGGGGTTTGATAAATTGATTTTTTTTTCCTCACTCGCGGACTTCTTTTATCGGATGTCTTGGGGGGACGGAGGGTAGGTGAGGAGGGAGGCCGGAGGGGTGCCGCAGCCAACCGTTTTTCTGTCTTTCTGTCGCGTCGTCGCGGAGGGACTGGCCTAGGACTGGCTGGCCTCGGGCTGGCTGAGATGCCAACGCGAATTTACATCGCCTTACTACTCAGTCATACGCCACTACGCACACCGTGAGTTCCGACGTAAAATAAGTACGACAGAAAGAAGATACGCCCGTGTGCCTATCCACCCCCAACTTTACAAGGAGACTCAAAGTCACACTCAAAACTCTTTCTCGTGCACACGTCATGAAAATGACAGCAGCCAGCGGATCCTCATGACGTTGCCGTCGCCTTTCCTCACCCAGTGGCGTGCCCGGCCCTTGAGGAAAAAGTCGCACTCTGCCCCTGTGCGTAGGCAAGTTTTGCTACATCCCATCCGCCATTGCCCGCGTCTCGGCACCAGGCGGCACCAGGCGGCACCAGGTGAGGGCGGGTGGCGGCGAAGTCACTGCACGGGGCGCCATTCGAACCATTCGCAGAAAAGCGCCATAAACCGAATGGAGCGCCGAGCGCCGCGACACCGCGCCACGCTATCGCGACTGTATCGCGACCGATAATGCCTTTTATTTCTGGAAGGCGCCGCCGCGGCCGCCGCCTTGCGCCGCCTGCTCGCTGGCGTGACTGGCGCTGGGAGCGGCCGCGCGGCAGCGGCGCTGGGGTGTTTGGAGTTCGCACCTCGCGGACCCTGCGGCGCCCTGCGCCCTGCGGCCGATAGGCCGTTTGGCAAGGCGAAGGCGGCGGGTGGCGGCCAGGGCGCGTATCAACACAAAGGGTGTTGTTACCGGGAATGAGGGCACGAGGGCTGCAAGGCTGCGACACGCCGTGACCGATTCCCGAGTCCTCCACGCCATCCTCTCACGCAGGTGAGTTTCCGAGGTCCGAGTCAATGACCCGCTCCCCGAAGCCGGAGAACCTGACCCACATTTTTTTTCGGGTGTGTGCGCAAGCCGTGCAGGCCCGGTGCGGCGGAGCGGCGAATGTCGCAAAAGAGGCATCATCATCGGGGCACCGTTTGCGAAGGGACTCGTTCGGGCACTACGCAAATAGAGGCAGCACCGCTGGCAGGGCCGTGCAGAGTGCGTCCCGGACTGTCCCGGACTGTGTCCCGGACGACGCCGTTCTGGGGAGTAGATGCCGGTCCGGCTGTGGGGCTGCGGCGCTCTTCGTCCTGGCTTCGCTGGCTTCGCAAGTGTGCTCGGCCCCGCCCCGACCCGCCCGCTCACTTCCTTGTTGTTTTAGCGGTGGCTGAACAAACAGTGCCAATTCGAGAGGGCAAAAAAGAAGGCCAGAGGAGAGGAGCGAGAACAGAGGCCGTGGTCCGATATAGGGGGTGGGTCGAGGGTGGTTCGGGGTGGGTGGGTACGGCGCCACCCGGCGCCCTTACCAGAGCCGGCAGAACCCGCATTTCAGCGTGCCTCCCCCACCCCTCGGACTGTGGGGCGCAAAGATGGCGATCCCACTGAAGCCGCTGAAAAATGCTTCCCGTTGGAATCTTTTTTTGTGCGTCTTGTTGGTGCGCGATCGTGGATTACCATGTAAATCCGTTCCCAGAAGGGCTGCCGCCTCTGGGCCGAGACGATCCATCCATCCGCGGCCTGCCACCACAGCGCGATACACTATCACGGCGACTGAGCCCCGGCACACTGTAAACCAGCCCCACCTGCCCGACGAGTACTCGCCGCGGGTCGCGGTGCCGGCGGTACCGTGCTGGCCTCGCCTGCCTCGCCTGCCTCGCCGCACGGTTTCATGGACCGCGCTGCCACTGCGCTGCAACGGTTTGTTGTTCATGACGGTTTGGAGCCGAGGATGATTCCGAGGGGAGGATGCGGGGGACGGGACACTGCATTCCACATGCGCATACGTTGATCCCAATCTACCGAGCGACCGAGCGACCGGCAAGTCGCGCCGACCAACCCGCATCGCCCCGCCCTCCGCGCCTCACTTGTATTCATGGACAGGCTATCTGGCCGGCCGTCCCTCTTCTAAAGCAGAGGCAATGGAGATAAATAAGTGCATTAATTCAACGCTGAGCCACCCCCGCGGGACGGGGCGGGGTGAGGCGAAGCCCGGGCGAAGCCTGGACAACGGGCCTCCTAGCCTGGCCCAGGGAGCCCAGGCAGCCCAGGCCCCCAGCAGCTTCACCAATCATGCCTCAGCAGCACTCCACGGAATCAAGCGGCTCATTTTTTATGCCCCCTCCCCCCGCGCGGTGCTGCGCGGTGCTGCGCGGTGCCCCCTCCCCCTTTCCATTCCTTCCGCCGCGGCCGCCTCGCCCAATGGCGGCGCGGCCTCGTTTTTTTACTCCGGGGATAAAGCTTATCCGGGCCAAAGGAAATGGACGCCAGGGTGCGCCGCCATCGCGCGCACCGCCGCGGCGAGGCCAGGGAAGGGTTGGCTACGCGCGAGGCACGCGGCACGCGGCCCGGACTACCGCCACCGCCGGAGGTTCTATTTTGACACGACGGCGCACTTGGAGACGGCGTCGGGGTGTCGGGCGGCCTAGGGCGGCCTAGGGCGGCCTGGGGGAGGCACTGAGGCACTGAGGGACAGGCTGACTCATTGACGCGAGCAACACGTACGCGACGCGACGCGACGCAATGAGACAATGAGAGCCTTGCCGCGGACCGCCACGCCTTCGGGCCAAAGCGTCATGTGGCGCGGCCAGCGAGCGAATCCACGCAGTGCTCCGTCGCTCTGTCTCCCTCGCACCCGCCCGGGTCTGTCCGTAAGTGCGAGAGAGACAACTGCGAAAGCACTTGTTTCGGAATGATCGGGGATTGCTCTCGGATTGCTCTGCTTAGCATACAGACGACGTGGCGACACTCGTTGATTGGCGCGGCGAGGCCATTGTTGCCGTTGTTGGCGGCGAGGGCGGGGCGGCCAAAGGGTTCGGGGCTTCGCGGTGGCCGCGCGTCGGCGGGGAGGGTCCGCGACGTCCGCGGCGTCCGCGGCGCGACATGTGGTGTGCGGCGGGCTGCAGGTTCGGCACAGAAAGAAAACGCCCCTCATTTCGCGAACACGGACCAATCCTCCACTGCAGAAGACTGCAGAGTCCGGGACTCGTTTTTGTCGCTCTGTCTCTCTCACACTCATGGGCATAGCGCGCATAGCGTGTAGGTTCGAGCGAGAGAGACAGAGCGACGAAAACCTCGGAATGAGTCCGCTAACACCGCCCTCGGCGTGGGAGGTAGTGGGCGGTGTTGGGGTTGTTGCAGTGCAGGAGTTTGCAGCCTTCGGGCCGCGAAACGGATCGAAACGGGTCGCGCAGACGATGGTCGAATTTTCGTCGGCATTTTTATTATTTTAG